GGTAGCTTTTTACCTTCTTCTAAAATAATAGAATACTCTACGTCGTCGGGGAGCGTACGCTTCGCCTTATCCGAGGGGAAGAACATATTACGAAACCTCTCGAATTCTTTCGGAATGTTTACTACCTTAATCTCGCCGTAGCGGTTAAGCGTAACTATAAAGACACGTGTCTTTTTACCTTATATTTCGTAATAGAATTCCTAAGGGTTAAGGATCTTAACGCGGCTCGCTAAGGCTTTACTAAAGCGCTACGTATCTAAGGCGCTATTAACTATTATACGTTATATACGTCTCTAGGGCCTACCTAAGATTAACTCTAGCTTAGAAGTTTCGTAAGCGTAGAAGGTTAACTCTATTATACGCTTAACTCTATCTAAGTCTATAATACGTAAGCGAATAATATACGCTCCGTAGTAGTATCCTAGTTCTCCTATAAAGGAGGAGGTAGATAGAAGGGGTGCGTTACTCCTAGCTAGTAATTTGTAGCGGAGTACGAATTCCCTTAATACGACATTAATATCTGCCGTATTATCTAATAAGTAGTCGACTTACTATAGACTACTACTCGTCTCGACTACGCCTCGCTAATATAGCGCGCGGCATATCTCGAGTCTACCCTTATATCTCGGACTTAGAGATCGGGTTTCTTCTCTAAGACCTTTACTTTTTTCGACTCGCTAGCGGCTACTTTACTAATCGAAGACTTTTTATCTTAGTAGGTACTACTACCTAGCTATCTATAATCTAGCCGGACGTATCTAGGCTTATCGTAATTATAGTAAACGACATCCTTTAAGGGTACGCCTCGCTTAGGATACGACGGCTCCTTACGTATATATAGCTCGGACCTTAAGTCCTTACCTCTACTCTTACGACGCTATTACTTGTCGCTACCTTTCTCGCGGTTATTAGGACCGTAGGCGCCTCGCTTAGTACTAGTAAGCTAGCTAGTAGCGCCCTTATCGGTAGCTTTAAGTCGTCGAGCTAGCGAYACTATTTCTACTCTYRTAGAGGGAACCTTATAGTTCTTTATAATRTCCTAGCGYAGCGTAGGCTTTAACTTAGCGAGGAACTAGCGAACTAATTATTCCTACGTATAGTTAAGTTAACTTTCGAGCACTTCGAGCTCTAGCGTAAAGGCCTTTACTAATTAGTACTCCGTCTRTCGAACTCGCTTATACTCTAGCGTAACGCTAAGCTAGCGATTCGTAGGGTCTCCGACGCTATTAATAAYAAACGTCTTAAAGTCTTCCTATATATACGTAGTCGTAAGCGACTCGAGGGAGTGTTTATTATACTACGACTCCGCCGCGTCGCCTACTAGCTATATTATACTATAGAGGACGCGCTAACGGTCCTAACTATAGTCGTAGCTAGAGTTCACGAATACTAGCTAAAGCGCACGGATAAATTTACGTACCTCCTTAATAGAGTTACTTACGAAGGGCTTCGGGTCTTTAACCTTTAGTCGGCCGCCTCTACTATTATACGTATACGGTAAGCTACTATCTAGAATACTTAGAGCGATCTCGCTAACTACTAGAGATACGCGGGATGTATTACGCATTAGTAGCGATAGCCTCGCTTCTTCCGCGTCTACGCGATCTCGCGTACGCCTTATAGAGTAAACTTCTAGTTAGAGGTCGCGGAGATATTACTATTTACGAAGCGTAAGCTTCTCGGCTTCGAGTCTCTATATAATATTAGCTATAGACTCTTCTTCTAGCTCTAGGCCTACTCCGTCGCCTTTATCTACTAGCGCTTAGCCTAGTAGGATGTCTTCGTCGGCGTCTTATTCGGCCTAATTCGGCGCGATAGTTAGCGGCTCGGGCGTACTCTCCTTACGTACGGTACGACGGGGAGGCATCGTAGGGTCGATAGATCGCTACCCTCGATAAGGTAGAAGAATTAGAATTATAAGGGTATAAAAATGTAGTAATATATCGACTACCTTCGATTACTCGATTAGAGATAAGACTAATTCTTATAGGTCGATAATGCGCGGTACGCGAGGAAGTAGGAGTCGCTTCGTATACGCTAAGCCGGCTATTACGGAAGCTTTCCTATTCCTCCTTTAACGTAGCTCTACGCTACGGTTAACCTTAGTCTATAACTACTTATAAGGTAGGCCTTACCTAGCCCTTATATYTAACTACCCTTACGTAGTCCGTATTCTCTATAGAGAGTACGAAGTCGCTTAGCCTAGACGATAAGAAGCGTATTATTTAGCGGATAAAGGATAAGGAAGGGCTCCTTAGTATCTTCGTTAGTATAGAGCGTAAGTAGTAAGAGGCTATAATAGAGAGCGAAGTAATAAAGATATAGAGGTAGTTATTACCGGATTAGCCCTTAGATACGGATAGTCCCGTAAATAGGGCTAAGGAGTAAAGTATCGTCTTTATAGTCTTTTTAGAGTAGTATATAGGGCTGTTTTAGTAGTAAAGAATATGCTTAGTAGACTATTCGGATAACGTACTTCTAAGTCGACCGTATACGAAATAAAGGTAGTTTTAACATTATCTTATTACTACTAGTTAATCCTTATCTATATAAACATTCTTATTTACGTAGAGCTAGTAGGCCTACTATATCTCTATTACGATAGCGTTACGCCGTACCRCTATCGAATCCTTTAGCCTAGCATCCTCCGCCTACTATTACTCTTCGTTATTAAAGGTAACGTAGTTAGTATCGTCTCGTACGAGGCTAACTTTATCTAAATAGATAGTAGTACTACTATCTATTAATAGGTTATATAGAACTACGTATACGTATACGATATCTACTTATACGTCTATCTTAAACTATAGAGCCTTCTCGAGGATACGGAACCTTTACTTTATAATACCGAACGACCTTTCGATTACGTTCCTTAGTAACGAGTATTATAAGTTAAAGAGCTCCTTAGGGTTATTCGGCTTTAACTTTATAGCGTATTACTCTCTTAGATAGTAGCGTATACTACGGTATAGAACTAGAGTTATATAGTTATTCGAGTAGCTAGCATCTCCGAGATAATAATACTCCTTAAGCGTAGTAAAGCCGTAGCTAGAGCGAGCATTAGTAAGGATATAGCCGTCGTAAGTAGATCCTTTCTAACCGGCTAGTACGTACGTAAAGCGTATATTAAAGTCTACTACTACTAATACGTTCTACGATAGTACGCCCTTCCGGTTTCGAAATAGAGCTTATTTACTAGCTATATATATATCGATATAAGAGCTATTAAGTACGCCTATATATCGATTAAACTATAGCTAGAAGCGCCCTCTCTTAAGCCTTCGAACGGCTAAGCGGTCGTCTACCTTCGCTAGCTTTATAACCTACGGATATATAGCTACTACCGCTACTAATACCTCGTAAAAGATACGTCTAATCGTCGAAGGGGAATAGCCGAAGTCCTCCGAGAGGTCGCGGTAATAGTAGTTCTAAGCGATAGCCTTTAGAAAGATAACTACCTTCTACTTACGGCTTATTATAGTACGATAGATACGCGCCGCTATATAAGGCTTAATTAATTCGAAGAGTACCTCGAACTACCTTAATTTAAAGCGCGTACTACGTATTAACCGTATATCGCTTAATAGCAGGCTCTAAGTAAATACTTCGCCTTTATTACTATTAAGGTAGATAGTACGGATGCTTCCGGAGGTTAGCGCGGCTTATTACTTAAGGAGTAGTAATATATAGAGGATAATAACAATATTACGGCGTCGCTAGTACGCCGCTACGAGCTAGAGCTCGTCTTTACTAAGGTAGCCTTTAACGAGCTCTATACCGAAGGAAGGAAGTAAGGTAATAATAACGTTTAAGTAGCGCCGTAATCGAGTTATTARTACTACTTAGAGGCTACATTAAGAACTCGATTAACGCCTTACCGAATAAAGCGACAATCGGGCTTTAACGGCGCTATATCCTCTAGCTTACTATCTAGCGTAATTGAACGGTAACTCGCTTGTCAATTAACGATAACAACACCGTACACGAGCCTCAATCCAAGCCACAACTCAATCGAGGACCGTGCGTCAATTGGATTGAATCCAATACCGTACGAGCCCTTAGAATAACTTAGCTGGCGGACGATGAAAAGCCGTTGGGCCGTGGTGTGAAGAAGCGAGGCGGATAGCGGATTTGTAGTAAGAGTTTGCTGTTTCATCTCTCGCTCGAACAGTTGCTCCTACGCGCTCACGACTGTTGGAAGACGGGTGCAGCTTGTCCTGTGCCCACTCACAGCAGCGGGCACGATCGGGATCATAGGTCGTAAAAGGCCGATCGTCTGGATCTTCGAAGCAAGGCGCATTTCTGGCGCTTTGGCCCGTCACACTAGAGCATAGGAGGAGAGCCATAGCGTCTGGACTGGACGCGCCGCCGAGATCTGGATGAGAGATTGGTGATGGAGAGCGCGTCGCGTTCTGCCCGTCGACTACCTTACCTTATTACTTTCTCCCTCTCCAGGGCAGTTTGCCCCCCTCGATCATCATTGACATACATGTGTGAGATGAACATTGGAACGTGCCGTTGTCGTCGCGTTTGGGAAAGTCGAGATCTCCAATCCTGCCCGCAAGCCGCCGAGCCCGTTGGGTCCAAGAGTTGCGCGTAAAACCAGGTATGTTCCTCTATCCCCGCTAGTCTGTGCACGACCGCGTTTTGCCTTTCAGCCCTTCCACTACCCACCTTCTCTTCCCTGCTTCGTCCCAGATCTTCAGCATCGTCTTTTCCCAGACCAGGAAGACATTGCGGCAGTTCTGATGACTCCGAGACAGAGTAGTTGTTCTGCTTCATCTCGACACCCCAAGACCGCACTGTCGGCGCCAAATTGACACCACCTGCCGCCGTTGGCCGTTGCTTCAACCCCCACCGAGAAGGGACAGTCCAGCAATCCCATCGAACAGGGCGAACCACGGCACGCTCGTCGCCGTCTGGAAACACGTTTACGACGTGTCATTCACCCCAAACTACTACATACATATCATCTCGTGCCCTCCCGACCGCCGCTTCAGATGGCAGGCACGCGTCGACCCCCCGCGCTCGAAGTGTACGAGGATCCCGACACTTACAACACGAGCTCCACCACACATGATGTTGAGGCAGCCCTGCTTCATGCTCTCGGACCACTAAGCGACGCGTCAAATAAACAGAACTTCCAACTAAATCCATCCACATCCACCAAACCAGGTTCCTCGCCGTCCAAGAGGGCCAGCTCTCCCGCCCGGCCCACGAGCTCGCACAATCTGGCCGACTTTCGCATATCACCACCGCGGCAACGAAACTTCACAGACTCGCCGCGAAAGAACGACGACTTTTACGATATGTATCCTCCTCAGGCTGTGGGGCAGCCTCTCTATCAGCCTTATCCGTCTGCATCTGTTTCTACCTACGACAAGGAGAACATGTTCGGCCAAGGTGCATCCTTCGGCGAGCTCACGTACCCAGGATCGGAGTATGGGTACAAGGCGCCGATGAAGCGCAGCCTCACCGACTATCTCGCTCCAAAGCCCGTTGCCAAGAAGCAGAAACTTCACAGTGACGACCAGCCGGTTGATTTGCCAAACCCAGAGGACATGCCCGCCGTCACTGATGATGGCTCAAAACCCGCGCATAGCTATGCTGAGCTTATYGGCATGGCCATTTTGCGCGCACCAAATCGTCGTCTGACACTTGCCCAAATCTACAAGTGGATCTCCGACAACTTTGCCTTCTACAAGGGCTCTGAAGCTGGATGGCAGAACAGCATCCGCCACAACCTCAGTCTTAACAAGAATTTTGTCAAGCAGGAGCGTCCCAAGGACGACCCCGGCAAAGGCAACTACTGGGCTATCAAGGCTGGCGAGGAACGCCCATTTTTGCTTGGAAAGAAGCAACCCGTACGTAAAATGGCCAGCAGCCCAGATGGCGCTCAGTACATGCAGTACCCACACATGTCCTCGGACCATGGATCCTTGCGCCCTCCAAGTGCACCGGCTGTGAGCAATTTCACAATGGGTTCAAACTCTATCAAGAGGGCAGAGCCCAAGGACATTGACTCCGCCAAGTTCCCCGACGACACTGAACTTTCCTCGGATGGCACCATCCCGGCGTCAGACCCTGCTCTTCAGGAGGACGAAAAGGATGTCGACGACTCTCTTGCCATGCCACCACCGCCGATTTTCATGCGTTCATCGCCGCCACCTCAGGATCTCGGGTCCTCTCCACCCACAATGCAACCACAACCACACAGCAATGGTACACCGCCTCCAGCACTACGTCTACCGTCTTCCAGCCGATCCGGGGGTCGTCGACGCAAAATCGCTGGCCTTGCTGACAGTGGTTACTGGTCGTCGATCGAGTCTTCCGCAGCTCGGGGAGCAGCTCAACAGCTCGCCTCCGAATCTGATCTTCGAGGCCACCGCATCAAGAAAGGCAGAGCTGAGGCTGAGATTGCTCGCATTCGTAGCTCATCCTTTGACAGTCCCAGCAAGGATCAGACTCGATTCCATGGACTGCCCACGAACTTTGGGTCATCGCCGGTGCGCAAAGATGACAATCCACTGACGCCGGCTGTCGTCTTCAAGCGTCCCGCGAGACCACCGCCATCTGTCTCGCCAAACACCAACCTGCGAGATCATCGCAACCGAGTACGAGCATTGCTAGGCTCGCCGTCGAAGAGTTTCAGCCCCATGCCAGAACAAGGCAACTGGAGCCCAGCTTTCAATCTTGGCGACGAAAGCATTGTCGGTCTCACACCCTTTGTCTCACCTTATAAGCAGGGCAAGACACCATGGAGGCCACTCGCCGAGGGATCCAGCGCTTACAACTTCAGCAACAATGCTTTCGATGTCTTCATCGACGCGCCTGAGCAGGACATTGCTGCCCGTGGCTCTCCTGAGAAGCGAGTGAACAGGCGTCCATCTCTCGCGCGTGCTGCGACCAGCACTGGAATCCTTGCCGACATCACAGGCGCTTCCAAGAGCAATAATATAATGCTACCACCATCAGGTGGCAGCCCCTTCTCCCTCTCGCCTTTTATGGCGAAATCAAACTCAACAAAGCCAACCGACAAACCAGACTCCTCCCTCAAGGAGTCACACTTCCACTCGACTTCAACTTCGGGCGCAGATATGAGCTGGTTGGACGTCGGTCTCGGTGCAGAAAACATGCGCCAAGGCCATTCAGTCGGCAAGACCGACACTTCGGACCTCTTTGGTGTTGATCTCCACAGCGATGGCAGTGAAGAGGCCATTGACATCTTCCAAGACTTTGGCAAGATTGGACAGGCACAGGCAATGCCACCACCAGATCGATCGACTGGCAGCCCAGTTCGCAGGACCAATATGGGTCCACCCGCACGCCCACCAATGGGTCGTAGCAGTAGCAGTCGGTGGTGATGCACATTGCATCCCGGATTACTTGCATGGAAACGAATGACGACTTTACGACTGTGCTACCAGGCGCGTTGGAACAGGCTTGCAGAAACTAGACACGACTGCTGGACACGACATTGTTGTGAATACACAGAAGAACCACCAGGAAATGGATGATGTTTCATGTCCTTAATCGGCTACGCGTCCATGCTCATGCTTATGCTTATATGATTTGACGGCTTTTGATTTGGGGACGGAGTTTTGAATCGTTTCCCACGGGATTCTTCTACGGTGTTATATGCGTGGTTGCGAGACATCTCTTATTGCTTTTTGGGTTGGTAATGACGGTCAGATCGTCGAGTTTGCCGCGTTATTGCTGCTTACTGCTGCACTACCTTGCTCGAATGAAAGTTCGTCTTGAGCCATTTGGCTCAACCTCATTGCTGTCTCATCTCACATTCCCGCCAAAAATCAACAGCAATTATTCCACATTCCGTCATGTTCATCTAGACCTCCAACCGACTCTTCCTAATAAGGACAATGCATTTCATGACGACGGACCGTGGACGCCACCGCCGCATCTCATCGACGATCGTCAGTGAAGGTTCCGGCTTCCGAAACGTTGGATGCGAAATAAGTAGGCAAACGGCACGTGGAGCCGACGGTATAGTCAGTAGAGCCGTTGAATTATTCCCCATGCGTGGAACACAGAACGAATGCGGGAAATTTCGCCATGTTGTCGCTCCCTTGGCGCTGGCTTATAAGCCCAGATTTTACCATTGCTGGTTTATCTCAGATCATCGATCGTTTCGGGTCCGAGCTGTAGGGGTGAGGTTTTGAGGTCGATTTTGAGAGGTTTGTGATGGTTAGGGGGTTGGTTGTGAAGGTCGATGGGATCGCGTTTTGGTTGTAGGGTTCGTTGCGGGTGAATTACCTACATGTATCTGCGTAGTTGATACCGTAGCGTATTGTCTAATTCTCGTCATAGATGCTCACGCAATGGCTGTTTTGAGGAAACGTTGCCATAGCTTTGCGGTTCGTTGAGTGGACGAAGTTGGCAAAAGCAATCAGGAACGCCGTACAGACCAAGGTTGTCACCGACACCGAACACTGACAAGTAAAAGCAATGTAAAAAGCCATATACAACTGTGTAACGTCTTCATACTGACGGCCGACTGGAGAATTGTCAGTGTCGCGCTACCCCAACCCTAACCCTACGACACCACACCATCTTGCACATTGCAGAAGATGCACCCACATGGCCATCTGTAGCTTAACCGGATGGTATAAGACAGGAGTCGGAGGATCCTCCGACTCGGCATGTGTACTCTAGTATTCTGCAGCGTTCATTCGCCGGGTCTTGCGGCTTAGGGACCGACATGCCTGGTAAGGATACGCCACTCATGAGAAAGCAGCTGTCACACGACCGTATTCGAGTGATGTCAAGTTGCATGATGCATGTAATGATAGCCTGCTATGTTACTTAGAGGAGATGCGCCAGCACTTATCACTTCATCTCTGGGTTGCAGGTAAGACATTGTGTTTCACATGCGCATGATTGGAGGCCAGACGGGGCGAAAGCATTGCAGAGCACAGCTCGTATTAAATTTGACATTAAGTAGAATAATGGTAGATCACGGACTTTCATTCTGGCCTCCTCCTGGGCGCTCTTCCTACCAGTACCACAGCCACCGAAGGCTGGCCGCATGGTTACTAGCATCGCCAACGAACTCAACAAGCTCTCTCGAACTCAAGTAAACCCCTCTGTTTTCCAAAGTCGCTCCTATTCTCGGCGAGAGATGCTTGGCCAAAGTATCACAGAACTCCGCCGTTCCGTTGGCTTTCCAATACTCTTTCCGATCCTTTGAATCCGATGTTCCTTTTATCGTAAAGATGTGGTTCTGACCAATATGTGATCTGGTGGTGGGGTTGAAAATGGGAGCCTGGAAAATGTATTGCTCCCCAAGCATGATCGATGGCATATCAATGGTGGATGTTGCAGGCCTGCTGCTGACTGATGTGTCCGTTTGTCCTGTACCGTTCGCAGGTACGTACGATGCGACGTCGTTCGATGACACTCGAGCGTTGTGGTTCAACTCGATATTGATATCGACATAGTTCTCCMAACGCATGGTGATGTTTCGAAGTAGCCTGACGTTCGACTCGCCAATGCTATCCAGCCAGTGGATCAAGTTTGCACACGGTAYTGCTTTGCGGACGGCGAAGTGGACTTTGACTTTGCTGAAATATAAAGGGCCGGCYTCATCGCGAAGGTGTCGACATGTTCGCAGGATAGGAGAAAGTGCAGGCTGAGGTTGCTGCTTTGATGGAGATGTTCCGGTGGGTGAATCGATGTAGAGGCACTCATCGTCGAAAAGATGAGAGTAAATGTTCAGCCGAACCTCCGTTGGAAGGCTGAGTAGAGATAGAGAGCTCATGTTGATGGTTTGGTATTAAATATGGGTAGTCGAGAATGTGAGATACTGATCCAAGGAATGAGATGTGAGATAATCGATCAACGATTCTGTCAAGTCCAAGCAAAGGTGTAAAAGAGTGTTTCGATCGAAGCGATACCGAACGAACAGCAGGGATCGAAAGAGTATATATGTGGATCGAAAGATACCGTGTGAGATGGTAGGTGCAGTGCCGTCTCTGTCTGGTCGACTTAATGGCCCAAGTGTAGTTGGCGATTGCGGTAAATGAGGCGTAGTCTATACTGCGTGCTCATGATGGCAATGATCCGCGTCCTCGGGTCATTTGTATCTGGAACCCGTGCCATTCTGCACACAATCCACCCCGGGGAGTCTTGTGGCATCCGGTGAACTCTTAGGTAAAGWCGTCGGAGGCGGGGCATCTTTCTCGACGCTTTCCAGGGTTTAGGAACAACGGTTGTGCATGAAGTCTTCCATTTCCTTGGCTGAAACCTCAATCTTCGACTTTTCGAGTACAGTGAGGTTTCATGTTCAAGCCTGATCGACTCGACGCAGATGTTGAGGGGGATGTTGCAGTAGAGCATGTCAGCAGCAACAACTAAAGTGAAATGTTGATTGACTTCTCGGAACGCCACGACGCGGTGGACTAACTTACTTCCAGCGCCGTCGGCTTCAACAGCACGAGCTGTAAAAGCTTACTCGAAAGTTGCTGCAGCCAACGGCACAGCTTGAACTCAGCGCACAATAACTTCCCATGCCCACCACAGATGCCGTCAGACTTCTCGGCGGTGGCTGACCATTCAGGAAGCAAGGTCCCGGATTCCAGAAGTTGTATGTCTCACTTCACAGCCTTGCTAGCAAAGCAAAAAATGGTCAGTGCCAGACAGCACCAAAGCGGGTTTCCTTCAGCCGATACCGAGATCGGTTCTGAAAAGATGATATGCGGTTCGTTCGTTCAAAGCAAATTGATTGCCGCATCGAAATCTGCTTTTATAGTGATGGGTTTTCCTCTTAGTTCTTCTCCTGCTGATAAGCCGTCAACACGTACGCCGCACGTCTCCATATGTCATGTGCAGAATGCTCCATCACGAGTGGAGCTGTGGTAACTCAACAACTTCATTGCTACCACCTCGTGAGTCTTGTACCTAACGTGTCCATACATTGATGTCCGAGTGGATCTTGACGGACGTCGCTCGACCAGGCAAATGTCCACCAACCAGCGCATCCCGCGTCCTGCATCTCTCGTAGGGATTCGAGGCGGAAGAACATTTATGTCTCGATCCTGATGAATACCCAAAATGTAGCCTTTCTGTATCCCAGGGTCGCTAGAGCCGTCCTGTTGTTCGTGCCGATTGCAGTCCACGATCCGACAATCTCAAGGTATCTGGCCGTCTATCATGCATCAATTCATACTTCGTTAACTCCTCCCGACCTCCCTCCTCAATCTGCCCGCAGCAGATTCAGATCTGGCTTCCGGCCAAGCATCCACTACCTCCTCCACTTCGTCCAAGAAAGAAGCACTGTTTAGCATTCCCGTACCACCTAACACAACCCTCACACCAGGACTGCTCGCATTGACTTGTGCAACCATCTTAGCCTCCTCGTACGTCGCGCCACCAACCATGAAGACGATGATGTCTTGTGGCTTGTCCCTGGTCTGCCCACCACCTTCCACAAATGGAAAGGCGTTGGTGTTTAATCGTCCCTTGATCAGATCCTGCAGTGTGTTCTCCAATCGAGGGGAGTGCTGAGTGTACACGTTCTCCACGCCGCGCAGACCACGGTTGAAGCGGGACCGAGCTTCCGAGAAAATGTTGCTTGGCTGGAAAAGATCTGGTATACCGCCGCTCGTGGGAATAGATTGCAGGGAATGTGCGTAAGACAGGAGCTTTGGAATCAGGTTGATACGGTTTCGGCTGATGTTCCCGGCAACCGCAAGTAAGTCCATCAAAGCTGGAGTGCTGTTGTTCGAGTGCCCAGAATATCGCAACGCGTAGATGGCAACCAATCGGAGCTTGTTGCTCGGCGGCACTTTGGGGTCCTGTATCAGTTGTTGAAGAGTCTTGACATCGTTGGAGTGGTTGTCGTTGCAAGCCAGACTTTGCTCGAGCTCGCTGACCTCAAGCAGACTGTCTGTGCCAACCCTCCTGCTGAGCTCGGTCACAAGTGTGACGTGCTTGGTGACATTACCCGAAAGACGGCGAAATTCTGGATACTCCTCGACGAATCGTTTCATGTCTTCGATGCTGTCGAGCTTCTGTCCAGATGCCTGTTTGGAAGCGAATTGTTCGACATACTCCTTGGCATTCTGGCCCAGATCACCAAAGTTCAAGTACATGTTCTTTGCGAAGAATGGATCCTGGTCTTGAGACAATATGATGTCCTACCGATGGTCAGCTTGGATGAAGGGTGGTAGATGAGGGGAGATTTGACCTTAAATTCAGGCCTGACATCAGGAACATCGCTCAGGTTGACTCTGCCATTCTCAATGCCTAATAGCTCGTGCACCATGGCTTGATATGTCCACTGCGTCAGTAATGGGGTAACAGGATCGTCTCTCCGATCTACCAAGAGCAATATGGGCGGCGTGTCGAGCTTTCTGAAGTCAAACAGCTGTTCCTCCTGTGTAATCGAATACCGCACTTCTGTCGCAAGCTTCCTGCAGAGCATACTGTTTTTCTCGAATCGTATGAGCGGCTTCTTCTTCAACGCGAGTAGCATCGCGAGAACGCMTTCCAMCGTTCGGGTCAGACTGTCATGATTCCACGAGTCTGGCGAGGAGGAGAAGATGCGTGTGGGTAGCGGTAACGAGCAGAGCTCCGGGTTGATGACTAGGAAATCGGCGAAGTATTCCACAATCGACTTGACGACTTCATGGTCATCTGCTTCGGCAAGGCGTTCAAGGGTGGACTTCTTGACTATGTTGCTGAAATCTGTGTCAKTCAGAAGTCGTCCTCTCTGTTTGGCGTTCCCGCAGACGTACAGATGTAGTACTCGCCGTAACGCGGCTCTCTGAATTCGTCGATGAGAAGTTGTATACTATCCGAGGATGGTCTTAGGAAGCAGAGACATCGTAGATGTCGCATCTTCTCGCGATTTTGATCATCGAGGCGGTTTGTGAGGTACACGGAGTGGTTCAAGAGCGCAGACTGGGTTGTTGCGGACGAGACTATGGGTACCTGAGCACATTAGCATCAGAGTCGCCATCCACGACGCCACGCCCTTCTGAAGCACATACAGTGTCCTTGTCGAGCAGCAATATCTTCATCTTCGCGGCGCCGCCATCTGTTGTAGCTGCACTCTCGCCTTGAGTGATAATCTTGGTGATGTAGCTTTGCGCGCTCTGAAAGACATCCATGCTGGGCCACCTCAATTCTGGCGGATTTCAAACGAGGGACGAGTCCGTCGTAGGGCGCGACTGGAAGCTGTCTCCGTATAGTGTCCTGTAGCTGTCTGTCGGTCTGTCGTAGTCCGTCACATGCATCAATCGCTAGCGCCTTGCGCGGGAGCTCGCCGGCTGCCGACTTGCCGTGATCGGCGAGCCGACTCGGCAACGATGATGGATGATGAACCACGGTCCACGACCATCCCCCTCGTGATGGACGCTCCCTGGCCTGTTTCTCAATCTACCGTCACGCCCCGACCTGTTACTCCCTGACATGCAAGTTCTCCTTCACTATTACAGCGTCACTTCAAGATCCTCTTTAGAAGACTCCTTCTGCCTTCGATTTCCGCCGGATGCGGTGCCGAACTCTGCTCACCATTCACTCGACTGATCTTCAATAAAGACCTCGAGTCGACCGAGACACTTCATCATCCTTCATCAACACCCTTCACACTTTCCCTTCCCGTGACTCCATCAACAACATACTCGCTTGAAGCCTGCAGCACCAACAAGTCGCATCAGCAGCACGCCTGACACACACGGCATCGCCGCGCATTGAATCCGGCGTCCTCACTTTCACAGTCTCCACCCGTCACCACCATGGCGGAAAAAATCCTTCAGAAAGAGTTCAAGGATCTCTCCAAGGAGTCATGGACCAACATCTCCCTCATCAATGAGAACATTCTCGAGTGGAGCGTCGCTCTCATCGTTCTCAACCCCGACTCTGACTACTACGGCGGCTACTTCAAGGCGCGCATGTCGTTTCCCCAAAACTACCCGTACGAGCCACCAAAGCTGAGATTCGRGCGGCCTCTGTGGCATCCCAACGTGTACCCCGATGGCCGCCTGTGCATTTCGATCCTCCACCAACCCGGCGAAGACGTCATGAGCGGCGAAGCGGCTGGTGAACGCTGGTCCCCAGTCCAACGTGTCGAAAGCGTGCTCCTCTCTGTTCTCTCTCTCCTCGATGATGCTGAATGTAGCTCTCCGGCCAACGTCGACGCAGGCGTGCAGTTCCGCAGCGACCAAGCTGGCTACAAGGCGCGAGTTGCGGCAGACCGCGAGACAAGCAAGGGCGACATCCCGGCTGGGTTTGAGATGCCAACGCACGAGACCGCGTTCAGAAAGGAGGACAAGCTCGAGCCGGACTTCAGCTGGAGCGACAGTGAGGCGGAGGATGACTTTGGGGACAGCGACGACGAGGATGAGGAAATGTTCGATGACGATGAGGGAACTGATCAGGAAGATGACGAGGAGTGAGGAGTTGGGGAGCAGCAATGTGCGGTGGCTACGACGATAAGATATGATTTTACGATTTGGGTCAACTGATAAGGCGTTTTGATATTCTGCATTCAGCGTGGAGTTGGCTGGTGTACTCTCGGTCAATAGAGAGCACGGTGGTGGCTGCGCGTACGTTCTGACCCAGAGGTCCTCGCAGACTATGCATAGCATACGAATAGAGCTCAGACATCAGAACAGACTCTTTCGCAATCGCCGAATATCCCAAGTGCTGTCATTGTCATGTATTGATGCGTGTCGTTTTGAGTTGGACACCTCGCTTTCGCGGACTGCTGCTTCAGTGCTCGGCGTCTCTTTGCATGTCAAGTTGTTCAAACCCACGGAGTCCTCTCGAGCACCTCAGGAATCGATACTCGCAAAAGTGTGATGAAAGTGTACCTTTGGTCGTCAGACACCACCCTTCCAGCTCCTTCCGCAGTGACGCTTTGCACCAGCAAACCGACTTTCAGCCTGATTACAGAGCTCGGCGACGATTTCTTTCACCTTTGAGTTGATCATGACTGCAGCAAACACCAAGTCCACTCACCCGTCTGCCGCTGCATGCTGCATGACATCGCGCTGCTCACGCGCCGTTTGCCGATCAACCTGACGTAAGCGCAGAAGTTGGACGTGGAAGCTGCTCAGATGGCCAAGCGACCTCTCATCACCTACTCTCATGGCCGCAAATCTGCTTCCAAGAGAGGACGTTGGGTCGACCTCACCACCGACGACGACGACTTCATCTCCGCCAGCATCGACATGGGCTTCGTTCCAAACACCCTCTCCAACGATAAATTGATCCCCACGAGGCCAACTTCACAAGCCGCCGCCATGGCATCCGAGCCCTCGGATGAGTCCATTGGCAACGTCGTGGCCTTCACTGGATGCACACCATCAGTTGCCACCAGGGCACTCAGAGTGAAGAACAACAATGTCGATGCTGCTATGAATGCCGTCCTTGATAATGAGGATCTGGAGAAGTTGGAGAGAGATTTGGGCTGGAACGAGGGCTTGATGAGCAATGTGCAACCATTTGGAGCCAGTGCGGCACCTACCAGAGGGAACTCGCCAGTAGGCTCTATGCAGCCTAATACTCAGGATGAAGCAGACCACCAAATGGCCGCTGCCTTGGCGGCCTCGCAGCAGGAGACAGGCGTAGTGACTGCAGACGGTACTAACATGATTGGACCATCAAATCGAAACGATCCCAGTAATCAATGGGCGATGGTGCTACACGGTGCCCAAGAAGTGCTGGGTGATGCGGAGATAGGGAAGCGGGTGCAGGAAAAGGACGCAGTGGAGCCACGCCTTCTGAAACACCTCACCGATGGTGACTATACGCCCAACTTCCTCACCATCTGTCATGAAATCCCAGCAGCACGAGAGGCACTTTTGTTGAAAAGCTGGGTCAAGGATGAGTACGGATATGACGAGGGTTGGTGGAGAGGACAGCCCATTCCTACGCCTACCGTGGTGCATGTCGCGGACGGATCTTCGGCCGCAACACCAACCGACAAGCAAGAGGAGCTTATTGCCGAGCTGCAACGTTTGATGGTATTTCTTGGTCACAGCGACAGGATTTACGCCTCGACAGGAGGACTCACCGAGACGAAGATGATCAAGGAGCATAATTTGAGTGACGGCTCTCTATTGGAGCTCGTCTTGAAGAGCTGGACTGCTGCTGCTGCAAACAAGAACCCTGCTGTATCTGATATGTTCACTACAAAGATGGGCACCAATTCCAAGGAGGGCATGGACACACCCTACATGCCAGTGGCCGAGATCACCGTTCTGTCCGACCAAAGCTCCAAGAAATACCTGTCCGAGCTCCTGGACGACCTCATCTGGTCTCAAGATCTTGCAGACGACAATTACATGGAGCGGCCTGCCGATGTTCTCATCATCAATTTGAAGCAAGCAGATCCTGAAATGAAGCAGCTCAACGTAGACGTGCCTGCGTCTTTCTACATGGACAAATATCTCGAGGAGAATCTAGAATCGTCAAGGATACTCCGTCGTGACATGATGCAAGCGCGGCACAAGCTTGAAAGGGTTGAAGCCGTCGAAAAGAAACTTACAACTTGGTCTTTTCGTGATTCGAAAAAGGCGGAGAAGGAGGCGGCCAAGCTCGAACAAGGGGCGAAGGGCAAGGATCAGGTTGGGTCGAAAGAGTCTGCGAAGGTGTCTCATCCTGTCATCGGGGAGGACAACGCTGAAATCAAAGTCAAGGATCTGTTCGCTCACTCAATTGCTCATTTTTCTGGCGAGAATCGCGAGGAAGCAGACGCTTCTGACACTCCCCTCCAGCCCGACCTGCCTGAATTCCCCGAGATCGCCGCCAAGCTGGAGCGGGTAATGTTGAACATTGAATTCAAGTTGAGAGAGCTTGCTGTCCTCAAGGAAAAGACGCGCAGCATGCTGTCTGACCTCTCAAAATCAACGCCTTCAACAAAACATCAATACACTCTACGTGGCGTCGCAACCAAACCTAGCATTACATACGTGTTGAGCGCAAAGCCCAGCCCAGATGTTGAGATGGTCGGACAAGCTGCTACCAAGCTAGTCGATGTGGACGACAACACACCGGCAGGCATGCAATGGTGGCGACTAGCCTACGAGTCCAGCGGAAGCAACGCAGCCATTCGTCGTACCCCAGCCGCAGACTATGACGTCTTACGCGCCGTAGAGCTCGAGCATACCTCTGCGCTGCTTGTATACGCAAGTGACCGCGCAATTGCACCCATACCAGACTCCTTCTCTGATATACCGGAACCACTCAAACAATTCATCACGCGTGATAACCATCAAGCCAACCTTGAGTTGACAGCTGCGAGGCGCCCTAACCCTGACTTCACCTACTTCGATCAAGTTAGAGACTCGATCGAGCCACCAGATAGCCGCAGAGGTAGTGACAGCAGCTTGAACGTGAACGGCCGGCCATCACCATCACCGCCGTCACCGCCAGTGGATGAGATCTTCTTAGACCCACCGGAGGAGGATAGCGCTGGGGTTGTGGAAATGGCGCAAACGGAACATTCGAAACCGCTGACGCTGGGTGATACGGCTATGGGTGGACTCTCCGAAAGCCAGGGCGCCGGTGCTGAAGGTGGGGAGCATGTTGAGGATGCGGACATCAAGATGGCAGAATAGATTTCCTCTTTCTGATGCTCAAGTCACCGACAGGGGCCAAGACGGAAGGCACTGCGATGTGGTGTGAGGGTTGGTGACGCTAGATAATTTCATGATTCATTATTCGTGAATTGCATCTCAGATATGCTCTCTACAATGCAACGAATCCGTCCCTTTCCTGCCACGGCTCATGGCCCTTTCAGTAGCGCATGGGCCTATATCGATCATCAGACCGCATACGTCTCATCTCTCATACCAAAGACTTCTTCTTGATTCCCAAGGCCGCCGAAAAGTCCTTCTTCTTTTTCGGTTGTCGTACAAAGGAAGGTGGTGGGGGCATAGCAGCCTTGTCTTCCCTCTCCCTGGCTGCCGTCTCCCCTTTTGTCTCCACTACCGGCTCATCCAACAATAATTCGTCGCCCAACCTCCGCACYCTCTCGCCCGTACTGCTTTGAAAAGCCCGCCGTGCCTGTTCCTCAATTTCTTTCTCCACCCGCTCCGCCTCCTCATCCCTCTTCTCTGCAACAGATACCGTGCTAATCTCCCCTTCCTTCCCAATCCTCTCCCTTGCAGCATTCCGATGCCTCACATCATCCAACGCATCCGCAATCGCCATCTCCGTTTTCGCATCCATAGTCTTCTTCTCCAAATCCTTCATCGCATCCCTCTCCTCCTCCTCCTTCGCAATTCGATCTAATCGCTCCTCCTCCGTCTCCTCCGCCAACTGCGCTTCTCTCCACGGTTCATAATTCCGCTTCGCTCCCCTCTCACACGTATAGTCCATATTCTTCGGRTCCGTCTTGAAGGTGATTTCTGCCGAACATCGCGTGCATCGAATGTAGAATCTGAAGATGGAGATTGCATAGTATTTCTCGTCGGTGGTCTCTTTCCGCGCGTTGAATTTACGACCTTTGTAGATGTATTCGCCGCAGGAGGTACATCGCATCGGGAAGGGTGCCATGAGACGGACGGTCTGTACTTTGGGGCCGACTTGTTTGGGACCTCGCTTGCGTTCGATCTTGGAGGGATCGAAGTCCGGAGGGTAGTATTTGGTGAGGACCTTTCGTTCAGACATGGTTACTGAGGTATGATATCGGATATGGTGGTGATTGAGGAGGTCTTTGAGCTGCAGATGAAGAAGTGAAGGTCATCCTGCGAAGGAAGATCCGCACGTGCCATAATGTTCTTAAGTCCGCTTTACCCCGCCAGCCATCGCGCCGCGTTGGTAAACAAATAACAGCAGGATGGATTGTCATTTGACCTCGACTTTGTCAGGTAGGTACGTTTACGGCAATTCCAAGAGGATTGGATGGGACTAATCTATGGCAGGCGCGGATGATCCTTGTATTGCTCATATGCCTCCCATACTTATCCACATGACATTCGCCGCGAAATATGGACAGCTACCTACGAGCCTGGCGCGAGGATGCGCTCAATAAACACCAATATGATTCCGCCATCTTTGTAGGAGACAAACTGTTGGCCATAACAAGTGCGCATTATTACCACCGACACTGCGATTCTGGCGCGCCTCACTGACAGCGCTGCGCAGACTCCGACTCGGACGCTTTCGCACTCGCGCAAACCCACTTCGCTGCTGGAAACTACACACGCGCTCTGGCTTTTGTCTCAAGATCAGACTTGACAGCGCGATCGCCCGCATCGCGCTAWCTCGCAGCACATTGTTACGTCAAACAGGGTCGACACGAGGATGCTCTGGCTCTGCTGGGAGAGAAGAACCCGCTCCACCTGGTCACGTCCTCAGATCCTACCCGGCGCAAGCTGCAGCATGTCAGCAATGGATTGTCCGTTAAGCAGCACGGCAAATCGCGAATTCCAAATCAAACCGACAGAATAGAYCGGAGTGAGGAGAGAGACCGAGAGTCCCCAGACAGCCTCAAATATGAAGCCGGAATGTGCTACCTAAGAGGACTGTGTTTTGCCAAACAGAATGCCTTTGATCGTGCAAAAGAGTGCTACAAAGACGCGGTGCGGATAGACGTGCAGTGTTTCGAGGCATTTGATCAGCTGGTAAAGAACTCTTTGATGAGCCCGGGCGAGGAATGGGACTTCTTGGACAGCCTCAGCTTCGACAGCATACGTACCGACCCAGCGGAAGCCTCCGTTCGTTCAGAAGCAGCAGACTTTACGCGGAATCTCTATTCGACACGACTGTCAAAATATGCCCGACCGGAAGTCTTCAACACTGCAATTGAGACCTTGTCTACACACTACCAGCTCGGTAAGAACGCTGATATCCTGCTGTCCAAGGCTGAATTGCTCTTCACGAGCTCCCGGTTCCAGGATGCGGTGGGTCTTACAACACAGATCCTGAGTGTGGACCCGTACAACTTTGCATGCGTACCTCTTCACCTAGCACTCCTTGCTCAGCTTGGCCACACACACGCGCTATTCTCCCTCTCACATGACCTGGCCGACACTCATCCCGGAGAGCCATGCACATGGCTTGCCGTTGGTACCTACTATCTCTCCATGAACCGCATCCCAGAGGCGAGATCCTACTTTTCCAAGGCKAGTTTAATGGACCCTCATTTTGGTGCAGCTTGGATTGGTTTTGCACATACATTTGCTGCCGAGGGCGAGAGTGATCAGGCGATTGCGGCATACAGCAYGGCGGCACGTCTTTTCCAAGGAACGCATCTACCTCAGCTCTTCCTCGGTATGCAAGAGATCGCACTGGGAAACCTCACAATCGCCCGAGAGTACTTGACTGCGGCCTGGGCTCTTTGTGACCGTGACCCTCTTCTCATCAACGAAATAGGAGTCGTTGCATATCTGGAGGAGAACTTCGAGAGTGCAGTGCGGCACTTTGAGCTTGCGCTTCACATAGCAGAGGACAATGGAGCTCCGCCACACCAGTACAGCAGCACTCGTCTCAACTTGGCACATGCACTTCGAAAAAGTGAAGACTTCCAAGGCGCGCTCGATCAGTTCGATGAAGTCATCAGGTTGGGCCTACGAGATGCAGGCGTGTTTGGGTCGAAAGGTCTTGTCCTTTTGGAACTGGATCAACCTTTCGAAGCCACCATCGCCCTTCATGAGGCTCTTGCGCTCAGTCCACAAGACCCCATTGCGAGCGATTTACTGGCCAAAGCTCTTTCCCAATTGGAAGATGTGGGAGTTCTTGGAGGTGCAGACGAACACGATCTGGACCTGGGCCTGCAGAGCAAACTTGCACAAGTTCGAAGAACCCGCGGCGCTCCTGGCGCCCGAAGGAGAAGGGCAATTCGGCAGCTTGACGATAGTATGGACTTGGACGGCGGATCGAGTATGCGGAAAGGACAGCTGGGGTTACCTTAGAGAGGTGTGCACCGGTCGAGGCCGTAGGCTCTCCCTGCACTATGCTGTATGCTTTCGATTGTAGGCCGCTGAAAATTACGACGTGATGGATCTTGGACGGGATTGTGTCTTTTGCATAGCGTACGAGCGTTTGGGACGGGTTCCAGGCACCGGGGCCTGCGTGCATTGCATTGCATCGAATGGCGCGAGAGAAGGATAATTATGCCGATCACTTAGGTCGAAATCGCCGATTGGGTATGTGAGCAATTGAAGATCAGTCTTCATGGTGGCTTTTCTCCCACGGAGCTCGCGGAGATGCCCAACTATTCCACACCGCTGGATTCTCTCGGCACCGCCAAGCCAGGCAGTATTGCAGCACATGATCGTCGATCGTTTTGATCAAAGGTATGAGAACGATCAACGCTCATCTCAACTACGAAGTGCACCCCGAACTCTTGATTGCATATCGGTCATTTCATCAAATGTCAAATCACAACATGAGACGTGGTACAAGCTACCGATTTGCTGACACTGCAGTGAATGGATCAAGTGCTTACAGCTTTTCTCTGCGTGTGAGTGGAATACGAGATGCAGAGCTGAGCCACAGYAGGGTGGCTATAATGTTTAGTTGCTCCAAACAAGAAAGCCATCCAAATGGACTGTTCGGCAGTGTGCTCTTCCACTCTTTTCCCAAGTGAACAAAGAGGGTCGCAGATTTGACATTCTCACAGCTAGATTGCTCAGCGAGAGATAAAGGAGACATGCACAAAGGTAATGCTGAAGTGGCGCAGAGAGAACATTTCATATCGCCGCCCGAACAGAAAGATTCTTGTCATCGACACAGCTTACCGGCATACATATCTGACAAGCTCATGAGGACTTACAGTCGCTTTGCTCCAGCAGTATTGATTCTCCCATCGATCGTTCAAATGTCAACAGCCACGGCAAACTTATCTGCCATAGCAGCAACAATCCCAAGAGCGGTCTTCAACTTTGGCACTCAGACCTACACAGCCATCCAAACCGCCGGACCATCGCAGGCTGCCATCGGCCAAAATACCCTCACAGCGGGAGGCGCAGCCTTGCAGCTAGACGGAGGATACGCCAGTCTAGCAAGCAATGGACTCATCCATGTACCTGGGTCCATCAATTCAACATTGACCACCTCCACCTCCGTCTCTCAAGTAGTGGTGACTGGAAGAAGAGTCGAGTTGACTCTCGCCTCCGCGACGGTGGTATATCTCGCCCCGACCGGCGCGGTTCTGAAAGGCACTAAGAGTGTCGCGACGAGTCTTGAGTGGGTGATAGGTCAACAGACGTTGATTCCTGTTTACAATGGCGTCGTTGTGGCAAGTGGTTCGGAGAGGGAGACTTTTAAGTATTCGTTGACCAACATTACGAGAGCTGCAGCGGCGACCTCGAGGGTGAGGATGCCTGTGAAGTCTTTGGAAGGGTTGTCTGTACCAGCGGCGACAAGTTCGTCGAGCGAGGTCGCATCAGTAAGAACGACAGCGGCGAGCATGTTGAATGCGGTGGCATCAGCGATTCTGCCAGCAACGAGCTCGTCGAGCGCGGTGGAATCGGCTGCGATGAAGTCTTTGGAAACGTCATCTCTATCAGCCAGTTCGGCAGCAACAAGCATGATGGATGTGGTGGCATCGGCTGTTACGGAACCTGCCACGATCACTGATATGCCCAGCAATGAATCCCCAAGGAGTGGAGGGAAGTTGGCATGGATGGCCAAGGCCTTGGTCCTGGTCAGTTTGTTAGCCATTTGATTCATTATTTTCGTTTGATATCCAACGTGAAGTGACATTCAAATGCTTGTAATCACATTCCATTTGCCTTCTGGTTCCGTCATCTGCCTCCAAACGTCGTCAAAGATGTTTCCAGAGGCTCAGCTGTCATTCTTCATCCAACCGCCCAGAACGCATTTCATACCAATGCCTGTAACGGTGAAACATCGCCGAGGATCCTGAAACCAGATTGTTTCTGCAGCGCGACCATTCCTAGCTGGACGAGTCTTTCAAAGACGTGCRTGGAGGTAAGCAGCATTCCCGATGCCTGGAGGCTGGGAAACAATGTCCTATCAATATCTTCCTACAGCCCCAAATTGGAAGCGCGTTCAATCGGGACCGACCCCAGTGTTGCAACAAGGATGAATACCTCCTYGTCAACAGGGTGTCCCGCGCGTGGCGTCGGTAGACATTGCTTAATCTTGAGCGTTTTACGTCGGCTAACGCTGTGCCACAACGTGTGGGCGTATGCTACTTGGCGCTGCAAAGCTCAGTCAGCCGAACAGGGAACATCGTGCATGACATTCATGCGATGTTGAAAGGTACGACATGAGGTTTCATGAATGTAGCGACCTCCGGCAGATTTGATGCGCGCGATCTTGTGGGTGAAATTATGGGGATATCAATCGGGAGGGTCTTTTGATTATCATGTACCGTGCAACGCGGATGTTATCCGCTTGCCTTCAGCCCGGCGACGTTGAGCCGGTAGATCTGATAGGGTCGTGTGCCTTTGTGCGCCTTTACGAAGGGGTCACCGCTTTCCTTGTGTTTATCGCCATTCCCGTTGGATCAGATGCGGGTCTCGCACTGCACATGGCCTTTTAGACGTCTCGATGTGCTCGATCGCATGGAGAGGGCAGAAAATCTCTCACGTTGTCAAATTAGACGCTTTGAGTTTGCGAGCTGTGCAAGTTAAGCCTCGACCAGCGAGCGTCACGTTCCACGCGTCTGAAGGCTGATAGATTTGGCCGCGCTTGTGCTAAGCCCCTGGATGCCGGATGCAGGCTGGCAAACTCACAGGCTGTTCACTGCAGTTCATACGCCACGTCATGGAGGTCGAGAGTCATGTCGGACGATTGCACTGACGGAACCATGTGAGAGCGTGTCTCCCAAACACCCTGCTCCTACACGGAAGTCGGCAGTGACATCAGCGAAGCGACCGTACCTGCAGCGAAATCTAATCTTAAATGCTACCCCTAGCGTCCTAGCGCAATTTATTAGTGGAGCGTTGGACGTTAGCCCTGAACACAGGTCCATGCACCTACAACTCCTGCAAGCCTCCCGCTCTTCTTCTCTCTTGACAAGTCCGGCGTTTCCTCACCACACTCCTTTGCAGTCAGTCATTCTCTACCACTCAGACTACCTTCAATGCAAGCCGAGCGCTTCACTGAAGTCGTCGTTACATTCATTTGATCCCATCAGCAAACGTACCCGACAGTCGAGAAACCCCCTTACACGCCCACATTCCTCACAACACAAACCGCGCAGCCTCCCCATATTTTCGCTACCGCATCGCCTACTTGGACGAACAGGTCAAACCCTCTTCTGGTTTGAACCTCTGCCTAGCATCTGCGCGCCGGAAACGCAGCAATAACGCGCAGGCGCATCATCACCCATACCCTTCATCACTATGAAGTCCTTCTCGACCACCGTTGCCACTTTGGCTTTGGCAGGCAGCGCCGCCGCTTTCTGGCGCATGCCTTGTCGCTCGCAGACTGGAGTCGCGCGTATTGATCCTCTCGTTGCCCCGGGCTCAATCGCGGATCACTCCCACATCGTCTTTGGAGGTGGCAGTGAGTTGCCAACAGATTCACGACGACTTTGGAACACGCACTAATCCGTGCAGACTTTGGCCAGACCACCAACTACGAGGACCTTGCGCAATGCGCCGAGCCCGACTACAACTGCACCTCTTGCGGAGTGACGGAAGACATGTCCGCTTACTGGACCCCGCCGCTCTACTTTCAGCATGAGGATGGCACTGTGGAGATGGTTCCTAACGTCGGTGGAATGCTTGCGTACGTGGGACTGATCCATGCAACTCGTTCCCTTTACTGACTTAGTCAAAGATACTACTTGTTCTACCTTGATAACCTCAAGCCATTCCCCGAAGGTTTCCAGATGATTGCCGGTGATCCCACCGTGCGCAACTTCACCGGTCCATTCCCCGACGAGCAGCTCAGCTTCTGGCCGACCGACCCCACCGACCAGTTCTTCCTGCAGCAGCGTGCCATCGGCGTAAACTGCCTCAACTACGGCAAGACCCCAGAGCCGTCTCTCTACCGCCACGAGTTCCCCGACAAGGCCTACATGGATGCCAACTGTGTCGATGGAATTCGCCTCGAAATGGCCTTCCCCAGCTGCGGTACTGGCGAGAAAGACTCTCCCGACCACAAGTCCCACGTCGCCTACCCAAGCTTGGTCAAGGAAGGAAACTGCCCAGAGGGTTACGATGTGCACTACCCCTTCCTCTTTTACGAGACCATCTTCGCCACCAACCAGTTCGCTGGCAAGCCGGGCAAGTTTGTTCTCTCCACTGGTGACCCAGTCGGCACCAGCTACCACGCCGATTTCATCATGGGCTGGCAATCTGCCGACTTCCTGGGTCAGGCCATCGACACCTGCACGAGCCCCAGCGGCCAGGTAGAAGACTGCCCCATCTTTACTCTTCAGTCTGACGATGAAGCCGCCAAGTGCAAGTTCGCCATGCCCGAGGATCTCGATGGCGAAGACTGTGCTGGTCCTCGTGCTGATCTCCCGATGGGTGTCCCAATCCAGCACGGCCCAGAGCCCGCCACGAAGTACCCCGTGAGCGGCGCTGGCGCAGCACCCACATACGCCGCCAAACCCACCAAATCTGCCAAAGCCTCGAGCGCGGCTCCAACTTACACTTCAGCCAAGTCGAGCTCATCAGCTCAAAGCGCTGTTGTCCCATCCGCGTACTCATCCGCGTCGAGCAAGGCTTCTGCCGCGCCTACCACCACCGCAGCGCCTACAGTCTCATCGTCAACCATTGATGGCGATGTCACCACCAAGTACATCACCAAGGGCTACGAAGTCGTGGAGATGGTCATCGTGGAGACCGACGTCACCGTGACCGCAACTGCTTCGGCTTCTGCGGCTCCAGCGTACTCCACACCAAGCTCCTCACCAGCTTCCGCGGCTCCAGCCTATTCCGCACCAAGTTCTCCAGAAGCACCAAGCTACAAGCACAAGCGCCACATGGAGAAGCACCAGCGTCGCAACATCCAATAGCTTCGCTGAGAGAGCACAAAGCGTTTCTTTCCATATGTTACATTTTGAAATGTGTCTGCTTGCATCATCAAGGTGTTGAGCTTGGGGGTTTCTAGCATGTCGGACTGAGCGTGCCCACGGGTACAGCCAGTCGTAGGGAATACCAAGGAGCAGTTTCACCTCTGTCCGCAGGCTGGTTCTGCGTCGCTGATCTGTAGCATAAACGATTCATTGTAGGAATGAGCCCGACGGCATTCACCAGGGCAGGCATATGCCTCACGGTTGCTTCTATAAGTCGCAACCATTGCCCGAAAATTCATCGCGTAAATACTTATTTCTTCATTCTGAGTTCATCAAACAGTCATCACACAGTGTCTCATCTTTCACAGTCGCAGCTCGCCTGACAGGTGGGAATAGAATTCATGTTCTTGATCTATGAAAAAGTGCTATGTAATTGACCGATTGCTCTAGCTGTGATGTATGGAGCTTGAACATCAGGCCGTCGCAAATATCGCAGGAAAACCCCTTTCGCTTTCTCTAGCCCTTGCGAAACTCCTCCTCTTGCTCCACGACGGTAGCAACATGAATATGACACCCCGGACTCGAAGGCGGCGTCGACTGGTCCTCAGACATGACCTCCAGACTCCCCTCCTCTGCAAGCTTCAGGTCACCGCCAATGAATCTTCGACCAAGGCGTCCACTTGCTTTGCTCAATTGGCTACAATTGGCCGAAATGCGACAGATTGTTGATTTGGCGGACCGACTGAGCTCGACCGGAGGTGTGAGGCGATTCGATCCATCACTCGAGGCGAATAGCTGGGGGAAATAGCGGGATATGCAACCATTCAGAGTTGGAAGACAGCTACAGATAATCCCCGAGTTGACTTCGAGACTTGACCAGATGGCTGCTAGAGGGTTGTCCCAGCTCGTGTCTTTCGTTTTGGAGACTGCGTAGAGCGCTGGTAGGCGTAAGATGGAGATGATGCAGGTTACTGCCCCAAGACCAAAAACTGCCTGCGAAGAAATCAGCAGAGCTCGCAATCTCCTWTCTTCTCAACGTACCATAAGCATGAAACGTTGCTTCTTGGGAAGATTAAGACTTTTCAGCACCGGTAATGGAAGTACTGCCGTGCAAATGTCTGTCAAGATATTCACGGCAGTATTCGCGAACCTGCATTCGTCAGCCAGTGCTCTTCGCGACGTGCAGGTCTTTGCCTACCATACTGCCAATCGATCGAGACAACTCCCTTGAATAGAGGAATCCCAGAAGTATCGTATCGGCCGGCAAGCAAACACAGCACTGAAAAAAGCAAACATTGTCCAGCCAATTACAATGCCTATCAATAAGAAGCACTTGGCTCTGAACTTCCTCTCGGGGAATAGCCGAAGGTATTGAATCAGAATTGATAGCTTCGCAAAGCACAAAGCAAGATAGTACACCCAGACAGATGCCCAAAACCAAACCAACGATTGCACATGGTCCTCCACGCTCAAGGAATCGGCGTGTCTACCCATACCGTACTTGACTTGTTGGCACATGGCTATCGTAAGCATGATGGACAGTACAATTGCGATCGAGATGACCAAGTCATCTAGACCAGCGCTGTGAACTATCCCAATTCGCGTTACGAGTCGCGCGACAGTCGCAAGGCCGGCCAGCACTGTGAATGAAATGGTGACCCCAACGACGGCCTCCCCAGAGGCATGTCCAGAAGCCGGCATCTAAGGCGAATAATCCAGGAGTTGTGGCTATCCGTGGAGTATGGTGTTATGGTAATAGAAAAAGAGTCAATGAAGTCATCCCTTGGTGGAGTCAAGATGGGAACGATCTTGAGCACTACCTCGTGCGCGACTCGCTTCTAGCAAACCATCGCATCAGAGTGCTGCCGTGATCAGACATCAGATAGTCGACTGGGGAGAACCGGTAATGACCAATGCAGAGAGAGTGCCACATGGCTTACAAGACTCTAATCAAGATGACACAAGCTTCGATGCCACGCTCCACAGCCCGGCGTACGCCTTGCGGGTGTAATGGCGGCAACCGAGCCATTCGGAATGGATCACCATCCGATGTCAGTCCCAACCGCCGGGGACTGAGCCGGTGGAGAGAGAGGTTGGGAGGTACTATATCTTACCTGAGGCCATCCTGGACATGCATTCCGAATCGGATTCATAGTGCTTGACGATCAACGATCACCTGGCGGCAATCTCCATCGCAGCCGTGGATGAGTTGAGATGCAGGGTCGTCCTCCGATCCAGTTATTTMATGTAAAATAGATCGCGTTGGTAGCACAGCAGACGGTTCGCGAGAAGTTTCCTTTGTTCTCCCTTTGTGTTCCACAGCAACGTCCAGTCACGTTTTCCAGTGGACCACGTCTGCGGCGTGCTCGACTAGGGGAAGGAGGTGTGGCTTCCCAGTAAGTCCGTAGTTTTGGTGGTCTGTACAAACATTGCTGGCGAGCGACGCAAGATGCAGTTGGAGTTTTGGAGAGATGGAGCTGGGCTGAAGGCGGAGGCCGGGCAATCTTTACTCCGTACGAGCCAAACGAGGATAGCTCAGAAGTGAACACCTACATCACCTCGAGACATAAAGTATACCACAAGATAAATCAATGCTTTAGACACCATCACCCACAGCAGCACAAGCTGCTGACACCCTTTTACAAGATGCACTCCAGTCTTGTGCGCGTACAGAATGTGTTCGGATTCTTCACATCGGTCGCCTTTGTGAGTAACGACCGACGCAATGGCTAAGAACAGCACAACTCATACGTTCACTTACAGGCCGTCGCTGGTGCCATCGCATTGAGTGTCCTGCTGAGCCCCCAGTCGCCTTCCGCAGCACTTGAGTTGAAGAACATTCGAGTGTAAGTAGATTAGAACAACCATCAAGCCTTCACATCTGACAACCACCGCAGCGCAAAAGGCCGGCCATACTACCACAGCACCAAGCGCGAAGAATACGCGCACGTCACCTTCGACCTCGACGCCGACCTCTCCTCCCTCTTCAACTGGAATACGAAACAAATATTCCTCTACGTCGTCGCTTCATATCCCTCGAAATCTCCATCTACGATCCCACGATCCGAAGCCGTGGTTTGGGACGCCATCATCCCCTCCGACTACGCCCCGCTACATGTCAATACCTATATCCACCCCGCACCCAAAACTGCGTCGTCAAAGGACAAGCTCAAGGCAAAGAGAGTAGCGAAGCCGTACCCACCAGGAAAAGAGCCTGGTATCGTAAGGCTCAAGGACCAGAGGCCGAAATACCAGATCACAGATGCGACTGGAAAGATCGCAGAGCGTGGGAATGCGACACTGACGCTGCATTGGAACGTGCAACCTTGGGTAGGTCTGTTGACATGGACAAACACGAATACCTATGGACGGTGGGAGGGCTTGAAGGGAGGCAAGACGGAACCGTTTGCATTCCCTGAACTGAAAGTAAGCGAAAAAGCCAAGAAGGAGGACCTCAAGACTGAAAAGGGAGCCGAAGCTTATCGTCTACACGTGGGATGATGGGAGCATAACGGTAGTGATAGCAAATTGTTCATGGATCGCTGTATCACAAGATCGAAGTGCCATTTTGCACTCGTGATATTACGTATGTGCATGTACTCGAATGCCATACCTGATCTTCGATGATCTTCGATGAGCATGTCCGCATCAATCAGTCGCCCGGTGTTCTAACCCTCGACATCAATCTTGGGCTTTTTGGCGTCTCCCATGACGACATCCTCAGCCTTGCGCTTCTCGCCCTCGCGAGCCTCCCGATCCTTTCGTCGAGCATCACGGTCCTGCTTTTCCTTTTCCTTTCTGAGAGCCTTCGACTCAAATTCGTGCCAGTCGCCCTCCAGGCTTGCGAGCTCCACGACCTGGGCAGGCTTGGGCTCCTCGGTTGTGAAGTAAGGATGCTCCAGGACGTCCGAAGCTGTTGGTCGATTGTCGGGATCATATTGAAACATTGCCTGCAGAAGCTCAAACGCTTCAGGTGACACTCGTTCGCGATACTTCTCTGAGAAGGTTGAGGATAACCGCTTTTCCGGGCGCAGAAGCTCGAACCACTGCAGCTCAGTAATACCAGGCCACTCACTGCGCGTCGGTGTTCCAAGGACGTTGTAGATCTTGTCGAGCTGGTTGATTTCTCCACCATCACCGGGGAAGATGGCGTGTCGAGTGAAGATCTCCACCAGTACGCATGCTGCACTCCAGATATCCACAGCAGGTCCGTACTGTGTCTCGCCAAGTAGCAGCTCGGGGCTCCGGTACCAAATGGTGATGACTCGGTTGGTGTAGTCTTGCTTTTGTCGCTTCTGATAGAACCGCGCCAATCCAAAATCGGCGAGTTTGAGCTCGCCAGTATTGGACACCAAAATGTTGGCGGCTTTGATGTCGCGGTGCAAGACGCCTCGCTTGTGAAGATAGTCGAGACCCTCGAACAGCTGCTTGGCAAGATGTTTTTTGTGCCCTGCAGTGAGTGCGAAAGAGGGATGGTTGAGCAGTCCAGTCAGATCGTGGGACAAGTACTCAAAGACCATGAARCAGTCGTTGCGCTCGACCATGACCTCGAGGAGTTCAACCACATTGACGTGGTTCAAGGACTGCAACAGCTTGATCTCGCGGATAGCGGTGACCGGAAACTGTGACTGTTAGCGAAGCCCTATGCCATTCGGTCGGACCACCAAACTTACACCATCACGTTCTCCCTCCATGCGGATTTTCTTCAACGCCACCATGCCGCCAGTGTAGACGTGAATGGCCTTGTAAACCTTTCCGTACGTGCCGCTTCCCACCACCGATTCATTGCCAGTCTTGCGATAGTACACGCTGTCAGAGTTTGCAAAGTCTTCGGTCAACTCTGGGCGAGGCTTGAGTCGCTTTTTCCGAACCATCTCGGTGCGAAACGCTGGAGGTGGCGAGGGTCTACGAGGCAGCTGGCCGACTCGGGTGTTGCCAACATAATTCGAGCTCTTTGGCACGTGACCTTGCACAAGAGGAGATATCGTGGAGGGCATTCTCTTTGAGAGAAGAGGCGAGGTCTCTGATTTGGATATGACTGGAGTTCTGTCTGCGGCAACCATGGTGGCGCGTCCCTTGATAGAGAAGCTGATCTTATTCTTGTCGCGCTCCGCCTGGGCTGTCATTTCATCGGCAGTCTTTGGAGCGCTTGGATTTGCTTGGCTGGGAGTAATGTCAGTTTTACGCTTTTTTCTCGCACTCTCGTCCTCTGCGCGAAGGTCCGCCGGAGGTCTGAAAGGGTTGTCGTCATCCTCTGGATCGGGCAATGTGACTACAGATTTTGGCTGGGCCGCGGCAGGTCCAGTGGATCCGTCCTTGGTCTTCTCGCCAGGCTGGACCAGGTGGCCACCCTTTACTCCATCTCCGGGTGTCCAGGAAAGGTTAGCAAAGTGGGCTCGGCCTCCTCTCGTACCTGGCGCGCCACGTTGCGGAGGTCTAGGAAACGGATCTCGTGATGAGTATGCGGAGGGGTTGGGCGAGCTCGCATATTGCTTGCCTGCTTGTGACGGATATTGAGGCCCGCCGGGCTGAGCGGGTGGAGGCTGCTGGTATGCATATGGCGGTTGCTGAGAGAAACCGTGAGCGGGTGATGCAGAGTGTGAAAATGGGGCGGAAGGGGGATAGCCATGAGGAGCGTAAGGAGACTGTCCCTGCGGATAACTGCCGTAGCGAGGATCGTATGGCGGGCGGTTATACATTCCCGAATCCTTGTCGCGTTCGGTCTGGCGGGACCGATGGCTTCCACGACTGAGAGAGCGCTCACGAATTCGGCCGTCGGCAATGAGGTCGCGCGGCCCACGTCGGAAGCCCTCGCGGCTGTCGCTCCGTAAGTGTGGACGTGGCGAGCGAGTCTGGCGTCGGGCCTCTTGGCCTCTCTCGACACTGGCAAGAGCTGGTGAGCGCCTTGAGTACGAATGGCGATGAGTGTCTTCCTGCCGGCTGTAACGCCTGTAGTTTGGGTCTTCACCTCTTTCTGTCCGACTTATTTTATGCGGCGGCGGCGGAGACCGCGAGTGCCTGCGCCTGTGATCGTGCCGATGACCGTGATGTGTCGCCTCTCCTGCTCGCCGCCTCTCCGGAGAAACTACCCTCCTTCCTCTTCCAGAGTCAGCGTTGTGCCTCGAATCTGTAGAGTGCGAGCGGCGGCGTTGTTGGGGTGCTGGCTCGTCAATGTGCACGACGCTCCTTGGTTGCGCCAGAATGTCTCTGCCTCTGCAAGGCGCGGGGTTTGATGATGGGTGTTCGGCACCGCAGCTTCGAGTTTCGTGCGATGGCACTGACACTGGTGGTGTTGATATCCGCGTGCTTGGTTCGTAGTCGATAGCTGTGCGTGGAGCGATGCGAGTGCAAGGTTGTTAGTTGGTTGGGCGGAGGCGGAATTCGTGAAAGCGAAAGCGACCACTCCCACCCGCACTTCGACTTCGATATCGATTGTGCTTGCGGTCCTGAATCTCTTGTGTTTGCTACCACTGGACTCCGCGCATGCTGTAGACAATTCGCGTTAATCTTTGCACGCTCGTACAGTGGCCGCAACATGCGCGAAAAACGCAGAAATGTTATGGAAATGTAACCCCGCCTGCCAACGACGTGGGCATCGGTAAGAAGCGGTCTCTCGGCGCATCAGAGTGGACGCGAGGTCATGATGCTACCACGCGTAGCAGAGACAATATTGAACCTAGCAGAGGGGAGCGTGCGCAGGACATCGCTCTGTGTCGTTCCCTCCATCTCCTCCTCGCCAATTTGACAGCCAAAGCTGTATCGTAATGGGGGCCGAGACATGCCGGTGCCCCGATCCCTCCGTTAGGCCATAGACACGACGACACGATAACGTGCTGATGATCATCYCGCATGGCCGATTGTTACCTGTACGTGGGAGTCCCTGTGTGCCTTCCGCCACTTCGCGTGCTCCAATTTGCAACGCGGCACTCTCAAAGGGCTCGTTCCAACCGACGCGGCCTTGAGACCTGATGAGTCTGGACGGTATTGACTTGCTGCTGCCCCGCTGCTGGAGGTGCTCATCTTTAATGACTTCAGCCTCGTAAAGCCGCTTGCCTTCGCCGCACTTGTTCCTAGCAAGATGACTCTGGTAGGTGCTTTGTGGCACGTTTTGATTCCTCCCGTGGCGCTGTCAAGCTTGCCCAGTACACGCATGGTCAAAGATCTATATACAAGCGAGAGGATGATGTGCACATCCATGGGAGGAGCGCCGTATGTACGGTGTTAGTGCGCCATGCTGTAGGATTGGACGTCCGAGACCTCCCTGGCTGTCCGCGTGCGCCACCGGTGGGTTGTGATGTYGCCGTAGCCGTAGATTGAGCCAAAAGGCAGAGATGCGGGAGACGTCAACGTCGACATATCTGCAGGTGCTCGCGGTGCGCAAAAGGAGGGTGCCCGCTGAACGCGGTGGGCGCTGACGATGATGGAAAGGGAGACACAAGGCTAGAGATTGCGCAGATGTGACACCCGAAAGAGATTGGGTTCTGAGTGCTGCGGCCGGTTCGTCAATTCGCATTCACTGTGCTGGCACGATGACGGGAAAACGAGGTGGTGTTGTTAGTGGGATGAGACGGACGAGGTGGAGTGGGTGTTCGATTGCGCCCGCTGCTTAGTCGGACAGGTCCGAGAGCGGTGGGACTACTTCTTCGTAAAACCACGAATTATGACGGCCCATCGACAGTACCAGCTTTTGGGACCGTGAGATAGGACTGCATGTGTTGGTTTGGGTGACACGTCGTTCTTGACTTCAGCAGTCGGCCTATTCTATTCACAGTCGACTCCAGTTGACGTCGCCGAACGATGTGCATGCTATAGAGAAACTCCGTGCCTGGAATGTGAACAGTTACGTCGATCCTACCACATTTTACTATGTATCAACCTTCGACCGATGGGAGCCGAAGAAAAATCCAACCCTTTGCGCTCTTTTCCCTCTTGCTTCGGAGCTCGTTACATGGCGACTTCCCTCGAATAATGAACTCACTGTACTACTTATAACGCAGTCATCAGACATACCTTACTCTCGAAACCGCCGACCGAGGCCGAACATACGGCTGAATACATAACACCACACCGATCTCTGCCGCCGTCCTAAACCTAACTTACCCGGATGGCCATGCACAATCAAGAACATGGGCAGCCCGACCAGGCTTTACCCTCAAATAACGGTCAATCATCCTCGAAGTCCTCGCGACCCAACGGCAAAGGCTACGAAGAGCGCGAGAACGCCATTGCCTCGATCAAATCATCCATTGGCCCGCGGAAAGTTCCCATAGACCTTGAAAGCCTTAGCCTCGATCCAAAACTTCCACCGAGCATGTCACATGGCCCCGCCAAAAGGAATGGAGCATCTGCGAAGCATTACAACGAGGTCGAAGACGATGACCTGGAGGATTTAGAGGCGCGAGTTGCTGCAAGGAAGGATGAAGAGGAGGAGGGCTCGTCTGCACCACCTGCTACAAATGGCGCATCTTCCCCGTACATTACCTCTGCTCCTGCAGTGGACTTTGACGGACTTTCATGGCCAAGCACTGGCACACTAGCACGTCTTCGGGAGAAGGAGAGCCCAGAGGAAGCGCAGGCGAGATTGCAGAAGCTCGCAGGCGCAGTACGGACTATGTTGGAATGTATCGGGGAGGATCCGGACAGAGAGGGCTTGCATGGTACACCGATGCGGTACGCCAAAGCCATGATGTTCTTCACCAAGGGCTACGAGGAGAATCTGCGGGACATCGTTAATGGCGCCGTGTTCCACGAAGATCACGATGAGCTGGTCATTGTCAGGGATATCGAGGTCTACAGTCTGTGCGAGCACCACTTGGTGCCGTTTATTGGAAAGGTAAGACATGTGGTGGTGGACGAAGTCTGCATCTTGTCTGACGTGACATAGATGCACATTGGGTATATCCCGTCTCAACGAGTAATTGGCTTGTCCAAGCTGGCACGTATCGCGGAGATGTTTAGTCGTCGCCTGCAAGTACAGGAGCGATTGACGAAGCAAGTAGCCCTTGCTCTTCTAGAGGTACTGGACCCGCAAGGCGTCGCCGTTGTCATGGAGAGCACGCACATGTGCATGGTGATGCGGGGAGTGCAAAAGTCAGGATCCATTACCACGACGAGCTGCATGCTTGGTGCCATGCGCAAGCGGGCGAAGACCCGAGAGGAGTTCCTGAGTCTGCTTGGGCGCAGGTAGCGCTGGATTTACGGCAACTAGGGCATTGCGCGGCACAAGGCGTTCACATGGAGGTGGGCGGAGGTCGTCTTTCAACAGGCCTGTAYGATACCCGCTCAACGCAGCGTAAGTTGTTGTTTTGCATTTAAAATCAATCTCGTGACTTCACCAATCATCAATGCGCCCTGCCGTGGCAACCATTTTCTCCTACGTATCTTTTCCCACAATCCACCACACGATTTTGACAACATCATCTGGCGGAGAAATCACCGCAGCGAAGAGATTCGTTGCCGTCTTCCAGCACCAGACAGTGGAGGGCCTTCCGAAAGTGAGGTGCGCAGAGTCATTCACTTCACGTGCTCGTTCTTGCCTCACCGCAGCCGTTCTCACAACTTTCAACTGAAGCACCAAACACCAAACACCTCGCTCTGCATTTGGCGCGCAAACACCGCCACATCAACTCGTCAAGCCATCAAGTCATCAACATCTTCCAACTGCACTGCAACATTGACAACCACTCTCAACCAGTTCAACGGCAAGATACTACCCCAATCAGTCAAGAGTGAGGTATGGGGATCAACTCGACCGTAAGTTCACAGTCCCGGCAGACCTCGACATCGCTAACATCGGCAGTACTACTATGGAGGTGCCTTCATGCTTGCAACACTCTACCTCTATTCCCACTGGACACCCTTCGATGGAGCCTTCCACCGACCAGGCAACAAGTTCAAAATCAAGAAGCAGAAGGCACAGCGAGATGCATCTGCCCGAGGAGACAAGATCGCCGGAGAGGTCGGAGAGCCTCAGAAGCGGCGTCGCTCCGAGACACCCGGCCCGCGACCATCACGAGCAGACGCGAGCCGAGGCCGGTCTCGAGAAGAAGTGTCGCGTGCCAGATACGGTGGAGAGAGGTACAGACGTGGAGATGGCGGATACGATGGCAGATACGATGACAGCTCCAGCGACGAGGGCCCTGACGGATACTACGAAGAACCACCCCGCCGCCATCATCACAAACACTCAGGACACAAAGTCAAAGTTCAGCAGGCCCCAGGCGGTGACTACGTCACAGAAGATCAAATCCTCGACGACCACCCCAGCCACTCTCCCCTCCGTCCAGTCAATGCCCATCACGGAAGAACTTCCAGACGCAAGCCGTCCGACTTCAACGTCGAAGATCCCGCCCGGCGGGGCCACACCCTCCAAGAGACCAGACACGAGGCCATCAGCCAGCTGTACGGAGGCCGCGATACCGGGCACGAGTTCATCGAYGGTGCCTGAAGTCAGCAATGACATTAGTGAGCCGCATACGCCGGTACATGGCCAGCGCGGCAGCCTGCACAAGCGACGCGCATCTGCGTCGCCGGACAAATTCAGCAATACACGAATCGCTCCTCTCACGATTCCCGCCGGCGTTCAAGACAGATCTGCTGCATCACCGACACCGCGCGGCCGTACTGCARACAAGCTTGAAATCTACCACAACTCGACTGATGCCCTTCAGCTAGGTGCATCGCAGAAAGATGACCTTTCTGCTGCTGGCGAATCATCTCAAGCGATCTCGACGTCAGTTACGCAAACATCTGGAGGTACTGCAGTAGCAAACCAACAGCCCCAGATTAAGCGCGCTGCTACAAGACGCAATAAATCGTTCAGTTTGCTCGAGGCCATCGTGCGCGACAACGCGCTTCTCATCACCTTTACAAGCTGTCTCGACGTCCCATCCATCATCTCTCTCTATGCAATCTCGAAGAGCTTTCACCTCTCATTCAACAGGCATGCCACCGCCTTCATCCTCTCAAGCATGCGTACATTGGCTCCAAACGCAGACAAGATCTTTCCCTGGCGATGTTACCGTCAGCTCTGTATCAAAGATCCAATCAAACGGCAGAAAGCAGTGCCAACAGCATTCGGAGCAGATATCGAGCGCCTGGGAGATCTATCCCGCGACGTGCCGAGCCTCCGATGGCTACAGATGGTCGTCTGGCGAGAGGCTGTCGTGCAAGACATGATCATGGAGCTCAATGCCAAAGCATTGAGAACGCCACGAGCCACCGGCGATGCGGTCAAGAGGATGTGGTTCGCACTGGATCTTCCCTCGAGTGCCCATCGTCTGGCCCTTTTCCGAAGCCCGACCTACATAACCGAGAAAATCATCATGCTTGCTACTTGCTTCTTCCTGAAGTGCGACATGGCATTCACAGACCCTGGTATCGAACCATACCCATTCAATCATCCGAATCAGGCTACATTCCCCAACCAGTGGGCACATGGCGGGGCTGTTGGCTGCACTCTCAGAGAGACACTATCGGCAGAGCGCAACCTCACATCCCTGTGGAGAGTCCTAAAGGGATGGACCTGGGGTGAATTCGACGATGACCGTCGTCCCATGGATTCCACGGACGTTGTGAGGCTGAATGTCAGACACACCTTCAGATGGCCGGCCGGAACACCAGATAATATGCTGAAGACTMCAGTCCTGGGTATGCGGTACTCGGACTTCATGTTCACAGGCTGTGAGCGGACTTACCGGGAAGACGATGACGAGGACAAGAAACTGAAGCGGCCGCTGCGTCCGCTTATCCCTCTCCACAAACTGCTCATAGGAGAAAGCGTCCAGCGAGACATGCGACTGACAGACCAATACCTCGAAATTCTATCCTCTGGCTTTCTTGCTCCAGGATCTCATCAGAGGCTGCGAGTTTTCACGGTGGAGCAGCAGAGGAAGTTTCGGAAAAGGCCAGCCCGTCCACGAGCTTCGGCTAAACGGGCCGGGAAGGTGGTGGAAGTGAGAGCAGCTTTGAAGGGAATGAGCTAGAACGAGATGTCTCTGGCGAGCTATAGCATGGGATTTGGTCTCTGCTGAGGCTTTATGGCGTGACATGAAGGCGTGAGTAGTCAGCGGCACAGATCTCATTGACCTTTCGGCGCGAGTCGGCAGGACAGACGTTTGTGATGGGTACATAGGAGAATTGAAAACTTGACGATGATGATTAACTCCGTGTCTGCATGTCTCGCGATTTCACCTCATGCCGAGGGTCAACTTCCTGGCGTCGGATAATCGAATACTTCTGCAGGCAAAGGCAATGAGCAGTAGCTTTCCTGCCGACTTTGCCTCTCGATGAGATGAAATGCCGTAGAGCTTGTTACGGAGCCGTCTGAATGTACACAAGCATTATGCTTTTGAGAGAGTCCAACTTAGCTTCGACAATCTCAATCCTTGCACAGCTCCCTTCAGACAAAATCTATCTCGCTGCCCCCCTTATTCATGCCATTACAAGCAGCATCCAAGTTCCACGTTCGAATCGACACCTTGCCATTGCAAACCATGCCAATGATACTGCTGCTGCGTGGAAAATGCCCGAAGTTAAAGTCAATCATCGACCATCAAGAACCGGACCGCATGCCTCTCTTCACCGGCGTYCGCTTTTTCTTGAGCGAGACTTGAACTATCACCGCCTCCTCCTTTCCAACACAGTCCTTTGTAGGTGGCACATCGGCATCGTGCTCATGATATCTGCATTTCGAGACTTCCGTCGAGCTCTTATATGAGACCGCTTTGTCGCACGAAGCCTGCGCCCATCCATACATGAGAGATGTAATGAACTCTTCCGGCAACTCGTTCCAGACAACCCGCAGCCAGTCAGGATGAGTGCCTGCCAGAGCATTGTCGAGCAACAGGCGGCAAAGAGGAGTGGTACCCGAAGAGTTCTCGTACGCATGCTTAATTGCCGCGAAGGAGGGCTGATATCCGCTCTTCTCTTCCAAATTGACAATGGCTTCAATCACGGCGTTGCGTAGAGCTTTGTCATCAAGCGTGACATCAGCGAGAGAATACAGCTCAGCCAGCTGATAGAATGTTTGACGGGCTTCAGGGTCGCTCGCTTCRTCGAGCGGCTCTGCACAGATGTCAATTTCGCCGGTGTAAACATATACTGCGTAGCTCTGGAACACCTCGATTGACGTCTCCGGGAGAGTGATTTTCTTGCTCAAGGACTCCTTCCATGGTCCAGATAATGCGGACCGAAAGAATTTTGACCCGGTGACAAGGAAACTGGGGTGCAGCGTGAAGATCTTTTGAGATGCGCCCACGACGACAGTGACCGTGGGCTCGCTGAAATCGACACTGGAGAAAGTGTCAGTGGCGTTGAAGCATCATGATCAAAGTGAACATACGCTTTGCGCTTGCGGGGAGTGATGGTCGCCATATTGCAATCTTTGCTCCTGGTGGTGCAGGTTTTGAGAGGAACGGGTGGAAAAAAATGTGCGAGGTGGGGAGTTGGGTGCCTCGTGTGAGGTGAATACGAAGTGAAGCAAAGGCGAGCGAGCGAATCCCGGAGATACTCACAGTAGCAGCCAGATTCGGACGCGGACTCGATTCACTGATACTTCGCCCCGACCGCATGGCACGCATGGCACTATCGAGACCGGCAGTCTGCGACTCCTTGACGCATCGGGTCAAGATGACAGAGCTACTTAGAGAACTGATAGATGTCCTTCCTCAATGCTCGTTGTCATCGCAATGGCTGAGAAGCCGTGATTCACATCTCTAAACGCCGGATTCCACCTTGATGCGACTAGACGCTGTAACGTGCTGGATGTAGCGGCGTTGGTAATCCACTGTCGAAGCGACGGGTCGTCCAGAAAATGAGGTCAGTCACAACGTTCTAGCGCACTACAGTGCGAAAGACTCGGAACACCTGCGCGTGGTACGGGTCGATGCGAAGGGAGCTGAAAAGCTAGGTATGGCCGTCCACTCCTAGACCACATGGATTACACTTGTTCTTTCCCCGGGCGCCATGTGAATGCCCTCTCCTATACTGCGGTGTATGCCTGTGCCACTCTGCGGTCTGCCTGCAGGCGTGGTTCATAAACCTCACAACAACCCAACGGCCCTTTTCACATCTTCCATGGTCTTTGAAGCACTCGTCCTGGCGTCGTTCGCGCCCCGAAGCGCGACGTCCGAGAGAAGCTGATCATTCTGGATCACTTGCGCATATCTCTCACGGATTGGCCTCACCACGGCTTCAATAGCGGCAGCAGCTCGATCCTTTACAGCTCGAAGACTCATGTCTGCCATGTCGCCTGCTAGAGCTTCTTGACCTCCATCGAGACCATCTGGATGCGCGGTGTGGTAGATCAGATCCAACAGGTTACTCACTCCCGGTCTCCTTTGTGTGTCGTATGTAATACCGTCGACGGAATCTGTTACAGCAGTCTTGACTTTGGACCTTATGACTTCTTCGCTATCTGTGAGCAAGATTCTTGACTTTGGGTTGGGATGAGATTTGGACATCTTGGATGTCGGATGGCTTAGCGACATAATTCTTTTGGCAGGACTAATGAGAGTCTCTGGCACTGTTAGGAGTCCATCTCCATAAACATGATTGAACCCGTTTGCGACTTCTCGGGCGAACTCCAGATGTTGTGCTTGGTCGTGTCCGACAGGGACATGAGTCGTTTGATGCAACAACACATCAGCAGCTTGGAGGACAGGATATGAAAACAGGCCCAGTTTGAGCCGCTCGCTGTTATCTTTCTCCCCAGAGGTTTTCTCTTTCCACTGTGTCATACGACCCAAGTATCCGGTGGACGCCTGGCAGGAAAGAATCCACATTAGCTCTGAATGTGCTGGCACATCGCTTTGGTGGAATAGCGTGCTACGCCGAGGATCCAGTCCAATGGCAAGGAGCATAGCAAGGGATTCTTTCCTCCATTGCCGCAGTTGATTGGGCTGTTGGCGAATAGTGATGGCATGAAGATCAACCAAAGAGTATATCAACCGCGTGGAGGGCTCAGCCTGGTTTTGAAGTTTGACCCATTCTCGAAGCGCGCCCAGGTAGTTGCCGAGATGTGGCACGCCTGTAGGTTGGATGCCAGAAAAGATGGTTTTGTTACGCGCTTCGCATCCGCTGCTCAAGACGCGACGGGATGCAACAAAGGCATTGGGCAAGCTGCCTCCACGTCTGTACAGACTGACCCTTGGCCGCATCAAGCTAGATGATGTTGTTATCGGAATAATGAAATGGAAGGAAGCACAAAGGTATGGCCGGAGACTTTGGTGACACCCTTGTTGTCGCGCTAGGTCGGATTTATTTTCAAGGTTCCGCCCACGAATTTTGACTTTGCTTTTGACTTCCAAGTTTATCGATAGCCAGACTTCGGGTACCTGCGTCACATTTGCGCCTTTGATTGTCGCACTTGACTTCACCTCGCCACGCCGGGGGGAGCAGCTTCGGACCACAGGACCAGGCATGAAGTTTGCCAAGGAGCTCGAGGACACGGCCATCCCGGAGTGGAGGGGAAGCTATTTCGACTACAAAACCGGCAAAAAGAGACTCAAGGCACTCGCAAAGGCATTGAAAAATGCGCCTAGGCGTGAGACACACCACCCGGATCTTCCTCTCGTGCGAAAGAATAACAATGTCACTCCCGCGACCTCCGCTCATCCGGTTTCTGGTCTGGTCGACGAGCTTAGTCCGCTTCAGCCCAAACAAGAACAGCAAGGTGAACGTCCAGAGAAGCAGCGGATGGCCAGCTACGGCTCAATCATTGGCAGTCCCTCAAACAGCCCGGCAACTCGGCCCAAGAGCAATATCACTCTCGTACCTACTCTAGAACTTCCAGGTCCGGCTGCCCGTACGAGCGAAGACATTGATCGTTCGCGCTCCGCCAGTCTCAAGTTACCCGCATGGCCATCTCCCTCTGTGCATCCATTCGGGCGAGCAGCGTCCTCTCAGCTGGCACATACTGGCAATGCATATGAGATTCGCTCCCCCAAAGATCGTCCCGTGGAGGGTGGGGAGGCACCGCCTCGTGGCTCCTTGCGCTTTCGTAATTTGCTTCCCAATCGCACAAATTCTATGCCTCTTCCGCATGGGCTATYCGCTACAGAAAGCTCCTCTCCAAAAAAGCACCGCGACGACAACGACGTTGCTCTTGAGACCTATAAAGAAGCCGACTTTAGAGAGGCCGAGTTCTTCTTATTTCTGGACAGGGAGCTCGGCAAGATCGAGAAGTTCTACAAAGCCAAAGAGGATGAAGCCCAAGATYAACTCGTCGCCATCCGTAAACAGCTCCACATCATGAGAGATATCCACAAGGCAGAGAGGGAAGCTTACGGTCAGCGGCACCGGGCTGGTGATGCCGAATCGCAATTGTCCAGTCGCGAGCCTGCAGATCGACGCAGCAAAGAAAGCCAGAGTATCCTGAACCAATACATGACTCGTCCGTTTGTCAGATCGCTAGACCTGGCCTCAGAGGCCTTTGATAGGCTTCGTCCTGGAAATGCTGGGAAGCCGCCGACACCGCAGGCCATGGAAAATCTTGCTACCCCCGACGACAGCAACTGGAACCCAAACCCCGACCAACGCGATTATCATCGGAAGGCTCTGCATGATGTTCCCTACAGAGATGCTAAAAGAAAGATGAAACGTGCACTAGCCGAACACTATCGATTCCTGGAGCTCCTCAAATCCTACGCCGAGGCGAATCGTAAGGCCTTTCGCAAGATCAACAAGAAGTACGACAAGACTGTCAATGCAAAGCCTCCGCAGCGTTATATGAACGAGCAGGTGGCCAAATCATATTTCAATACATCTGACGAGGTGGATTTGATAATGTGGCAAGACGAAGACATTTACGCTCGCTATTTCGAGAAGGGAAACCGCAAAGTTGCCATCAGCAAGCTGCGAGCAAAGAAGCGCAATGAGGATGCGCATTCAGGTGCYATAGTCAGGGCAAGTGCACTGCTTGGGGCTGGAAGCGTTCTCTCGCTCTTGGGTGTCATCGAGGGAGCGAATCTTTTAAATTCGCGGGACTCGACAAAAGCGACGCAGACCTCGTTCTTGTTACAACTCTATGGCGGCTACTTTCTCATGTTTCTTCTGGCCATGTTCTTCGCTTTGTGCACTCGAGTGTACACTGCCAACAAAGTCAACTTCCAATTCGTGTTTGAGCTGAACCGGAGACACGCTTTGGGCTGGAGGAAAATTTTGGAAATTCCGTCTTGGTTTTTATTCTTACTTGGACTGGTAATGTACCTCAACTTCAACGTCCAAGCCGGTGGAGAAACTTTTTATCGATATTGTGAGTATCTTTTCGGGGTGTCCCATCCAGACATGTGCTAATCGAATTCGCAGGGCCTGTGGTGCTTATAGGTGTCGCCGTTGTGATCCTCTTCTTTCCTGCTCCCATACTGTACCACCGTGCCCGCAGGTGGTTCCTCTATTCAATGGTAAGTCGCCCTGACACAAGATAAATGCTGTGCGGCCGAAACTAACAGGCCAACAGGCTCGTCTTATTGCCGCCCCATTCCTTGAGGTGGAGTATCGAGATTTTTTCCTTGGAGACATGTTCTGTTCCCTCACCTACGCCATGAGCGGCATCGAGATATTCTTTTGCTTATACGTCAACGACTGGGACCAGCCGGCACGGTGCACTTCATCGCACAGCAGGATCCTTGGCTTCTTGACTACGTTGCCGGCTATTTGGCGTGCGTTACAGTGTCTGCGCCGCTACTACCCCACGCGAAATATCTTCCCGCACCTGGCCAACTTCGCGAAATACGCGTGCACGATACTGGTGTATGTGACCTTATCGCTGTACCGTATAAATCGCACTACGGAGACGAAAGGCCTTTTCATGGGGATTGCAATCATCAACAGCGTTTTCACCTCTTTATGGGACATTCTTATGGACTGGAGTCTGGGTGACTTCGAAGCAAAACACCGCGGGCTGCGAAAGACTTTGGCTTATCGTGATCACATATGGTGGTACTATGCTGCCATCCCGGTCGATGTCATCCTACGGTTCAACTGGATCTTTTACATTATAGTCCCGCTGGGCAGCCAGCACTCTACCATCACCTCGTTCCTGATCGCCCTGTCAGAGGTGTTTCGAAGAGGGATATGGACCGTCTTCCGTGTCGAAAACGAGCACTGTAGCAACATTAGAAATGAGAAGGCGAGCAAAARGTTGCGCCTTCCCTACAAGCTGCTCGATAATTACGACGAAGAGCAAGGTGTTGGCAACGCCCATTCTGACGCTTCTAGCGAGGACCACACATCGGACACTGCGAACATGGACGACAAGCAAGTCCCGATGCGCGATGACGGAATACCTCGAAGTGATTTGGACAACAGCCTGGACAACAAATCTCCCTCGAAGAAATCTCCAATGCCTCTGCGATCTACAACAGAAGCATCACAATCTCCTCGTCTGGATCGCAATGGCAAGTCAACAAGATCAACAGGCAACAGCGCTTCGAATGCGTCAGGTCAGGGCGCGCTTGGRGCTGAGAACGCCGGCAATCTTGGCCTGCACAGACAATCAACGACAGAAAGTGCCAACTCCTTGCGGCGGCGACAACTCCAGGGAAGTAACAGCGGCAGTGGCGGAACGGCAAACTCGCCCATTGTCAGTGCGTTGCACCGTGTGGGCAATACGCTGCGGACTGCTCATGAACAAGATTTTGCCAGGAAGAATCCTGAGACTGATGGGGCAGATGACAGTTTAGATGATGAGGATGACGAGGACGACAGCGATGACGAGTAGATGCATTGTATATTCCCTGCTTTTGCGAAAGATACCCTACAAGCGACTCACAGTGATGAAGAAAGAATGGCATTTGAACACTCATTCTTGGACCAGCTGGCGGTTAGTTGTGAAGTACAATGCTACAATAATACCCATTAGCAAGTCTGGCAAGGTAGCTTGCGAGTCTCCAGTTGTTCGGTAACTTCATCTGCATCATTCGTTCATCATGTGATGATGAAGAGCTGCGTTGGCTTGGGTTCAAACGGGCCTTTACACGCTCTGATTCGATGAGGCATGGAGGGTCTTGCAGCTTCCCGTTCACTGAGAAGACAGATGCTCTCCAAACAGGGGCGAAGTGGTAAGGTAGAGCTCAAGTGTGACGAGCAAGGCCCGCTATCCCGGGCTATTGGAATTCAAGAATGTCTACGAGCGGCTGTTCGAACCATCATCCTTGACACAGTCTATTCTTTCTCATCTTGTGCAGCATCCGAGTCTTACTCAAGCCATTACGGTGGCCTTCCAAAATCGTTTTCCTCGTCGTATGCGGTACTTGCAGACTCTGTACAGCCAATGCCTGTCTGGGGAGACCATGGCCTTAGCAAAGCCAGATGGGTTCCGCGGTCGGTTCAGACCAGTCATGGTGAGCATATGCAGACCATTGAGATGTCATCCGGACGATGTTTTCCGAACGATGTTATTGTGTGCCAGGCCGTGAGCAAGGCTTCCATGGGTGGAGAGACTAATATGATTGCAAAACTTGTGTCAAGATCCGCATTGGGAGGACGACCTTGATGGTTCATACGACAGTTTGCATGCATGCATGCATGACTTTTGCTTTCCGGTGACTGGGAAGTGGCTAGTCGGGTGGGCCGAATGGTTCACGGCTTGCATGGAGATGCAGCTGTACCTGGTAGGGCTGCAGGTCACCAACGGCAGCTACGAAACCGGGCAAACAGTACCGATCGAAGAACCGATCAACGATGAGAATATCAGACTCTGCCAAACGGCCGCTGCTGTATTCGTTGTTGTCTGCATATATTCCGGGATTGAGTTTCGGTTTGTTTCCCCGCCCCAGGGATCGAGGCGCGGAAGAGATTCACATTAGCCATCAAGGTGGATTTTCTGAATCAACTCCTGGTGAACAATATCAGACTTCCCGCATTCATCAATGCTGCTCGGGAACAGGAATGTGGGCATCATTACTTTCAACTTGAACACCTTCACCAACATCGCCACCCGCAGCATTCATCGTTCCCGCCGCCACTTCGGCGCATCACGTCCACTCCTTCTCCAACGACGTCAGCAACCGTCGAGTGTGTACAACATTTACATTCGCCATCTTCACCGCCCATCCTCCCGTTCATACACCCCCTCCATCCTCCCGGTCGCTCAGCATCGCACATTCGTCAGCATGGAGGAAACACGCCTCTACAGTAGGCCCGAAGGCACGCAGCGCCTTGCGGATGCCTTGGAGAAGCCAATGCTGGACGATCGATCATATCGCGTGATAAGACTTCCGAACCAGCTCGAAGCTCTTCTCATTCACGACCCGGACACAGACAAGGCATCGGCAGCCATGGACGTCGATGTTGGAAGCTTGGCAGACCCCGAGGACATGCAGGGTATGGCGCATGCCGTAGAGCACTTGCTGTTCATGGGCACGGAAAAGTACCCAGGCGAGAACGAGTACAACGCATATTTGACCAAATATGCTGGTCACTCAAATGCTTTCACCGCGCCTACTTCGACCAATTACTATTTCGAATTGTCCGCGACGTCTACATCCAACAGCGCAGCCTCGTCAGCGAACAACAGTCAAGCCAGCTTGCCGATAATCAAGACCAAGGCGCCTCTGTATGGCGCCCTTGATCGATTCGCCCAATTCTTCGTCAAGCCGCTGTTCAGCGAGGATACACTAGACCGCGAGTTGCGCGCTGTTGACTCGGAGAACAAGAAGAACCTGCAGAGCGACAACTGGCGCTTGATGCAGTTGGAGAAGGCATGTTCGAGCAAGGCACATCCATATCATCTGTTTGCGACTGGAAACTACAAGTTATTGCATGACGATCCCATCGCGCGTGGCGTGAAGATACGAGAGGAGTTCATCAAGTTCTACCAAAAGAACTACTCGGCCAACCGCATGCGACTGGTCGTTCTCGGTATTGAGAGCTTGGATGAGATGCAAGGTTGGGTTGAGGAGCTGTTTACAAATGTCCCCAACCAGGATCTTCCGAAGCTGCGATGGGACGATATTCCTGCACAGACTGCCGAGGAGCTATGCACTCAGATCTTCGTCAAACCAGTGATGGACCAGCGATCGCTGAACATCAACTTCCCATACCCAGACGAAGAGGACATGTACGACTCCCGACCTAGCCACTACATTTCTCATCTCATTGGCCACGAGGGTCCAGGCAGCATTTTGACGTACTTGAACGCCAAAGGCTGGGTCAGCGCGCTCAGTGCGGGCGCTAACACCGTGTGTCCTGGGACTGCATTCTTCAGCATCAGTCTTCGGCTTACCACAGATGGACTGAAGCACTATCAAGAAGTCATCAAGGCCGTTTTTCAATACATCGCCATGCTCAAGGAGCAGCCGCCGCAGGAGTGGATCGTTGAAGAGCAAAAGAAGCTTGCTGAGATCGACTTCAAGTTTCAGCAGAAGATCCCAGCCGCGCGAACCACAAGCCACCTGAGCGGCGTCATGCAGAAGCCAATTCCGCGGGATCGACTTCTGAGCGGACAGACTTTGATTCGGACATTCAACCGGGAGGGCATTGAGCGTGGACTGGCTGCTCTACGGACGGACAACTTTCGCTTCACTCTCACTAGCCAGGAATTTCCCGGTGATTGGGATAAGAAAGAGAAGTGGTACGGCACCGAATACAAGTTTGAGAAAATCCCTCGCGAGTTCATGCAAGAGCTAGAGGATACGCAGCGCGTTTCAGCCGACCAGCGACCGGCGGAACTTCACCTGCCTGCAAAGAACGAATTCATCCCTCAGCGTCTTGATGTCGAGAAGAAGGATAACGTAACTCCCGCACTATCACCAAAACTCATTCGCAACGACCCCAACGTCCGAGTCTGGTTCAAGAAGGATGATCGCTTCTGGGTGCCGAAAGCCAATGTCAACCTTTACTTACGCACGCCGCTGCACAACGCGAGCCCGTTCACCAACGTCGTCATGCAACTTTACAAGGATCTTGTTGAAGACAGCCTGATTGAGTATTCCTATGATGCTGAGCTGGCGGGACTGGCTTACAACCTGATGGGACACGTCAACGCTATTGAGGTCGGCGTCAGTGGCTACAATGATAAAATGCACGTTTTGCTTGAGAAGGTCCTTGTCTCCATGCGCGATCTGGAGGTCAAGCAGGACCGTTTTGACATCATGAAGGAGCGCTTGACGCGTAGCTATCGCAATGCGGAGTTCATGGAGCCATACCGACAGATCGGCAGCTATAACCGCTGGCTCAGCAAGAATCGAGTGTGGGCAAACCATGAACTTCTAGAGACACTGCCATCCGTCACTGCAGACGACATTCGCAGCTTGTACCCTCAGATATTGCGCCAGATGCACATTGAGATCTTGGCGCATGGAAACCTTTACAAAGAAGATGTTCTACGCATCGCAGATCTCGTGGACGCCACACTCAAGCCACAGCCTTTGCCGTCGAGCCAGTGGGAGACATCTCGCACACTGAACTTCCCACCCGGCAGTAACTACCTCTACGAGCACAAGCTTGCTAACCTGGAGAATGTCAACCACTGCATCGACTATGTCCTTCATCTTGGAGATGCACAAGAGCGACCTGTGAGGGCAAAGTTGCTCCTCATCGCACACATGCTCCAGGAGCCTTGCTTTGACACCCTGCGGACCAAAGAGCAGCTCGGCTACATTGTGAGCAGTGGTCCCGTACTCAACGGAAACCAGGCCGGTTTCCGCGTTCTGATCCAAAGTGAGAAAGACTGCCAGTATCTCGAGCAGAGGATCGACGCGTTTCTCAACGCCTCCGTGGACATGATCCGAGACATGCCTCAAGAAGAGTTTGATGAACACCGCATTGGCGTGATTAACCAGCGTCTTGAGAAATTGAAGAATCTCAATCAGGAGAGCGGCCGACTATGGCATCACATCACTTCGGAGATGTTTGACTTCGAATCTGGTAAGGAAAACATGCTCTCGTGCGTCGATGTTGCGCAATGCTAACGTGAAGCAGTCAACCGTGATGTGGAAGAGCTTGAAGCTATCACCCAGAATGATGTCCTGGAATTCTTCACAGACCACTTCAAGCCCGACTCGCCTACGCGATCCAAGATGTCCATCCATCTCATTGCTCAGGCTTCCGTAGATGACGTCGCCGCGGAAACTGACCCTGCGGAGAAGATGGAGAAGCTTATTGGACAAATCACTGACAAGTTTGCTCAGTTGGGGCTCTCTGTCGACAAAGCGGCTTTGTCAACACGCCTGCAGCAGGTGGACGTAGCAGCAGGAGATGCCAAGGCAATCATGTCATCGGTCGGTAGCTACCTCAAAGAGTCTGCTGGTCTGGCCGAGGATCAGTTGCAACAAGTGGTACAGCAGGGTCAAATGATCATGCCCCAGCTGCTCGCGGCTGCGGGTATCAAGGTGCCTGTGCCAGAGCCTGCTAGCAATGGTAACGGGGTGGAGAAATCGATTAACGGCAGCTCTAAGAGCGAGGCCGTGGTTATCGAGAACGTCCAGGCCTTCAAGAACACCATGGCACTCAAGCCTGGTCCGCGTGCGGTGAAAGACCCGGCGGAGTTTGAGGATCTTGAGCCGAAGCTTTGAACCACCTTTTCGGGAGAGAATTGGCTGTCTATACTGAGCCATACTACTCACTGATTGGCGGAGTATTGTGAGGGAAATCGCAGGTTAGCGCGGCGTTGCAGGGCCACTTGCGGAAAAACATGAACTTTTCATGATACATGTAAGAACGAGAACAAACATTACAATCGTTTATTGCTTTTCGTTCTTCGCTGTGCTGTCGAGGTCCATTTGATTAGCCAAGTCGCAAGTCGCTCGTGATTCTTCGAAGTGGTCGCCTGTGGAGACCAAGTATGGGACACGTTCATCGGGCTGGAAGACCACGAGGCAGTCCCAGTGACTGCGAATCACGCGCGATATCGCTGTCAAGTTTGCTCTGCAGTCATTCGTCGATGCAAGCAGATCGATACTTCGTGGCAGACTTTTACTGCCTATTGCAAGTACTACGGAGCAATATCACTACCGTATCAATAACCATATCTACTTTCATCATGAACAGAGATCAACAACTCGCCCTCAGAAGGCACAGCACTTGTAAGAGAGTTGAAATGGTCGGAGTATGCGAAACACATTTGCTAAAAATTACACGTAGTCAGAACGCAACTCGGGCTGCAACCCCTGATCTGGTCGTGGCAACTCGCGGAACACGCACAAGATCGTGCAGATGCTTTGGCGGAGTCGATGGAAAAAGGCACACAATTTGAGGAGACGGCTCTTGAAGGAGAGAGTGTGGCGGTTCTTGGAAGTGTTGGGATCAAGTATCCACTCGACGAAGCGAGTCGGCTGTGGCAAATCAACCAGGTTCGAGGCGAGGATGGACAGGAGAATGGTGTCCTCGAGGTATCTTCCACCTGGGTAAGATTCTTTGAAGTCGATTGTTACGAGTATCTTGCGAGCTAATTGATGTAGATGGCCGCGGTGGACAGTACGCATGTTGGCATGGCGTTGACGACTATCTTTGGTGTCACGTATGTGGTGGCGAGATACTCCCCGAAGAGCAATCCTGTCGGCGAAGAAACTTTGAGACAAAGGTTGAATGCTACAACAGAGCTATCCTCGAAGGTTGGACCTGATGGTGGAGAAGAATCAAAGTTCTCTGTGGACATTCCGAACTCGATCGAGGAGGCCAGAGAATGTTCCGACAGTGAGGTCGCGGGATGGTTTCTATAGGGGCGGTGGTCAGAGTCTTTTTGACAGATAGACCCGAGCGTCATTTCTTCTTCTGGGATATAAAATACCTGCTCAATTTCCCGGCTGTAGTCCGCAAGACATGTGCCACCACAGACACAATCTCGCCATGCTGTGCCTAAGAGGAGTAGAAAGCTCTGGCCCTCTGGGCTGACTTCAACTGCATCTCTCGAGGCTGACACCTATGAACAACGAAGAAAGTATCAGCAAAGGCCCTTTTCATGCAGCAGGTCTCGCATATCGTTTTATAATGTGCTCCGACCATGGGAAAACGTACATATGGGTTAGCAGCGGGCTTTACGAAGCCATTTTCATCAACTCTTGAAAGAACAGCACGGCGTTTCTCGTTGGCCCAATCGAGATACTCGTCGGTGGCGAAAATCTCGGGCGCTATGCTTGCCATGCGATATACGGTAGCAGCGAGGAGCGCAGTGCCAGAAGTTTCGCCGCTCCAGGTATCTGTACGTGCGATGAAGAAGATTAGTATGTCTACCTGACAGTGAGAGAGCATGCGGCCAGTCATCAGGGTCGCTCTCTGAGCAAATCCTCAGTATGCGCAGGCTCAGTCGACTGTTAGGAGTAGAAAGTAACCCCACGTCTGAGGAATGTCCACGCACGGCTCTTGCAGTATGATTAAAGTCACTTACCGTCACCCAGATAGTTCCTCAATAGCTTTGATTCATCCGTGTCAGTCTTGATCGCTCCACTGACAATCTCCGCGATCCAACCATGAAGCTCAGCTCTCTCACTCGACAACGAAGAGTTGCTCTCCGTCCAGGCAGCAACTGTAGCGCTTACACGAGCCATTCCGTACGCCGCCCAAGCATTCCCGCTTGACCAAGCGTTGGGATCTTGGGACGGCCCATCGACATGCTTCCAGAGGCCCTTCTTTGGTCCTTGCTTTATCATCAAGACCTCTCTATATAGCCTACATTGACGGATGGCCTCTTCAACAATGCTCAAATTCTTCGTGGCCACGCCATAATAGGCAAGGAAAGGCGAGAACATTCCCACAGCCTCGGATCTCAGCTCGACATGATTCAGGCGGTGACTAATAGCACCATTCGCGTGTCTTGGAGCTTGCTCGAGAAGAATGTGTGTTTGTCTAGTCGCCGCGGGCATATAGTCATTCTTCCATCTCTGAGCCAGCATCAAGGCCGCAATTCCCACCGTCGCGGGACCCGAAACGCTCGCGTCGTCATCTACAAGCGATTGACCAACGATTTTGACTCGGTCTCGTGCGTATATAGCAGCTTCATCCATCCTCATCCCAAGCTTCGGTAGATCGCCTCCCGGAAATGGGTCTGGCCCAAATACACTTCGTTCCGGGTTATAGATTTCCAGAGTAGCATCGTATGCAATTCCAATTTCTCGACTCAGTTTTGACCAGTCGTGAGCTTGGGTAGAGGCAGCGTTGATTCGGAAAGTGTAGTTGAAAGTTCCAACGCAAGATGCGTAAGATGTAAGGTCGACTTCCGCTTGCTTGAAGAAGTTGAGATAGAGGAYTACAAGCAATACGGCTCCAAAAGCAACATATACGGGCRTGTATTTGAGGTCGCTGGACCAAGTTCCGGGGTCAAGCCAATCGTGGCTTGGAGGAGGTGGTGGATGTGCTGCTGCTGCCTTCTCCCTGGGACTCGTGCCCGCTTTGGGTTTTGTTTCCGCCATGGACTGTCAAGATGGAGACTTTCGGTGACTCTTTGGGAGCAGACTCTGCGGCAGTTGCGGAGATAATTATCGTGAGAGGTTCACCTCGATGGGGCCGTCTGCGTCATGCGCCAAGACGATAGTTGATCGATTAATGAGTGTACGTATATGTTGAGGGCTTGCTACAGTCGAGGTGATGTTGAGAAAGTGCTTTGCCTCGAATTCAAGGTTCATTCGAGCGACCAATGAAAACGTCAGGACAAAGCATTCACTCAAGGTAAAATTCAAATTTTTGGGTGTCTCGACACTCGTGAACAGGAAGTTATCGTGATATGAATGAGTTAATGAGTGCTTGAACTCCTTCTTACAAGCACCGGGACGGACTGCGTCCGTCATGTATTCAATTACAAACCATCTATTCTTTTGATAACGACACTTTTTTTCCCCTAAATCAAACGCTATGCCCCGCCCTAAATGCGATTCGACCATCTCCCGTCTATCTGCGGTTAAAGTTCAAGTACCGACTGCCAATAAATAGCAGGATCAAATTGCTGCCAATAAATGCGGTGAAGATGCCAAAATCTCTCCAGCGCGTATCAAAAGAGATGCCCAGCGGCTCATAAAACTGGTCTCCGACGCTGAAGGCACAGTACGAGCAGTCGGAGGTCTGGTTGTTGGCGAGATACCCGGCACCACCAGACGCGAAGAAGTCAGACATGTATTCTCCGCAATTTTGACCGGCTGGCGCTGTGAAGGTGTTGTACTCTCGTTCTTTGCAGACTACGGGTCGGTCGTGCAATTCGTTGGAGACTAGACCGGCGATGAGACGAGTGAATCTACAAAATACAATGTAAGCGTTGTGATCATAACGATCAAATGGACCAGGATGTGACTTACGGATCCAGTTCGTACAACCACACTCGCCAGAACTTGGGAATCTGCGGTTTCGGGATAGTCACACCGCAGAACAGAGCAAAGACGATAATGATGAATGGATTCATCAAAACCGCGATGAAGGTGCTGGGTGTTAGAGCAGACACCATCTGGCCAAGAGTGACAGAGAAGAATTCCGTGACCAAAACCATCAAGAAGTTGTATCCGGCTCTTGATGATGAGGACTGGAAGCCTGGGATATAGTATAGCGGTACAAAGAAGCCGACAGCACAGAGGATGCTGTATGGGATCTCTGCAACCACCATCGATAGAGCAAAGGGTAGCTGCTTGTACGTCTTTGATGCGGCCTCACGGTAGTAGATGAGTCGACTCAAATCATATTTGGGCTCAACTTGCGCCAGGATGAGTGCTGGAAGGACGGTGACCTGGAAGATGATGAAAACTCTGTACTGCAGGGATGTTCGAGAGTCGTCCAATTGCAAGAACATCAGACCAGTGAGCAGAGCGATAATAACGTGGTTGAACAGCCGTGTGAAGCCGTAGTTTGGCGAGCGCCAATAGGCCTTGTTCGTGCGGGTTTGTACAGTCTTGATCTGGTGCCAGAGTGGTGTCGCAAACTCCTTCTGCTCAACCTCAGGCTGGGAACCAACTTCTCGCATGCGATCTTCTTTGAGGCCTGTGAGACAAGTCAGTATGGATTTGCCCGCAATCACAAAGGATGAGACGTACGAATGATCGTTGCTTTGGTCTCTGCGAGTTCTTCCGAGTCGCGCCAGATTTCACCCCAGTCCTTGTCACCAATGCGTGTGGCTTGACCGGCGCCAATGGCGTCTAGCATCCATTCTGCAGGGTTGGCGTTGGGAGGACAGTCGGCGCCATACTTGTGGAAGTAGTTGATGAGTACATTAGCATCCTTGCCAATGTCGCCGAAATATACCGTCTCGCCACCACGTTGAAGAAGCAAGAGGCGATCAAAGTTCTCAAAGAGGGAGGCGTTGGGCTGATGAATGGTGCACAGAATAGCCTGACCAGCTGCTGCGAGCTTTCGAAGGAAGCGGACGATCTGAAGAAGTCAGTAAGTAGATCTTCAATGTAGTGAATATCAACTCACATTGAATGCGCTCTGAGAATCAAGACCAGATGTGGGCTCGTCAAGGAACAGCAGAAGCTCTGGTTTTGCGGCCAACTCGACTCCGATGGTAACTCTCTTACGCTGCTCGACAGCCAAGCCGGCCTCGGGCGAGCCAATAATTGCATCGGCAATGTCCTCCATCTCGAGAAGCGCAATGATCTCCTCGACGTACGCGTATTTCTCCTCTTGTGGTGTCTCATATGGCTGTCGAAGGACCGCGGAGAAACGCAGAGCCTCGCGGACTGTTTGACTGCCTTCGTGTACGTCCAATTGTTCCGCGTAGCTAGTGCCACGTTGGAAAGCGGTACCGGGCGGCTTGCCATCGACGAGCTTGTCTCCGGTGATGACACCAATGTTCTTTCGAGAGGCCAAAACGTCGAGAAGTGTAGTCTTTCCTGCTCCACTGGCCCCCATCAGCGCCGTCAATTGACCGGGCTTGACATATCCATAAATATTCTTCAGCAAGCGCAGCTGACCGGATGGAACAGGCACATCGTAACACATGTCTAGGGGAAAGTCAGCATGTCGCGGCAATGATCAACCCACATTCACTAACCTTCCCAAGTCAAGACAGCCTTGGACTCAATTGACAACTCAGATCCCTCTTCTGTGCCCTCTTTTGTTCCTCTTCGTGCCTTCTTGGCAGCAAGAGCATCGTTGAGCTGCTTACGCTCCTTGTCCTCCTTAGCAAAGAAGGTCACGGTTTTGCCGCCTGCTCCCCACTTGATGTACTCGCCCAAGAAGACATTGGTGGTCAGAAACCCGACGACGAGAGCGAGGATAATACCCCAGTTGCGCCAGAGGTCAGCTTTCGAGTATGAGAAGGCGGTCTCAACGTAGTTCGTGCCTGAAACTAAAGCGCTACCTCCGACACTGCCGGCAAGGGTGCAAGTCTGGTGCTGAATGTCACCGTAGCTTGGTCCGTATGGAATCAGATTGGCTCCTTCGCAGGTGAGATCGATTCTGCCAAACTCGTTGACCATCATAGCAGCGAAACCAAGTCCAACAGCGTTGACGTAAAACATCCATCGAAGCCAGACCTGCTGGGTGTCGTATTGGATCAGATAGCCTGAGGTGAGTACGAAGAGCGTGATGATTGTAGCTGCAAACTTGATGGCAGAGTCAAAGTCCGGGCAGAGGCAACCGACCGTTCGGAAGAAGAGCGTGATGGCAAGGTAGCCGGTGATAATGATCAGGTAGAATGTGAAGAAGGCTCCTGCGTCGAGAACGAGCCCGCACATGAAGTAGACCATGATAGWGAAGACCAAGATTTGTAGCGATGCGAATGCAATGTCGACGCAAATCTGTGCTACCCACAAAGCAGACGGCCGATGGAAGGTATACGCTCGATGCTTGTTGACAATCTGCCGTCCCAACATGGTAGAGGCCAGTTCGCCAAAAGCTTGAAAGCAGTTGAAGAGCAGCGCGATGAACAAGACACCTCCTCGGGTGAACGCGCCTGCGCTGTTTTGCGGGATCTGCAACCACACAGTACCGATGACAATGGCAATGACAATGCTCGTGATCCAAGATACCACAAGTGAGAAGCGATCTTGCCACTTCAGGATGAATTGACGCTTCATCAGAGCCCAGACTTGGGCATGGAAGGGAATGGAGTACACGGAGTTTTTGGGTGCATGACGCTTGCCCTGGAGGATGGCTGTCTTGAAGTCTTCGTACACGTGCTGCTCTTCCTTGACCCGGTGACTCCACTCTTCCATTTCGCTGGCGAGGCGAGTTGCGTACGAGGACTTGTTAAAGGCTTCCACAAGTTCATCTGACGTTGATGGTGTGTTGGTGGCATCCCGACCCGCCTGGTACTCACGCTCCCACTTGTCGGTGCAACCAGTGAGGTAGTCGGGCGTCGTCTGTCGAGGTTTGGGAAGGAATCCGAGTCCCTCAAAGTATGCCCTGGCTTCTTGGGTGGGTCCGAAAAAGACCTGGCGGCCTTCATCAATCACCATGACCTTGTCAAACTGGCTGTAAATGTTTTCACTCGCTTGGTAAAGCGATACAAAGGTTGTTGTGTGGTAGATGTTGGTCATGACGCGGAGTGACTTGGCATAGTCCAGGGCAGTCGATGCGTCGAGGCCTCGCGTGCTGTTGTCGTGCGAGCACACGCTGCCGCCAGTGATCATCATCTCGGCGATGGAAACGCGCTTGCGCTCTCCACCGCTGACGCCCCGTACGTAAGCATTGCCTACGATGGTGTTCTTCGTGTGCTCTATGTTGAACATGCGCAAAAGCATGTCGACAACCTTGTCCTTGAAGGCATTTTTGCTGATGCCTCCTGGGCGGGTTCCGGGGACTTTGGTGTCCAGGGCGAACCCYAGAGTCTGTCCTACTGTGAGGGTCGGATGATGGTCGTCATCCTCCATGCAGTACACAGCCTGTCCTCGGTATCGCTGTTCGAATTCCTTGGCGGTGAAAGGTCCATAGGTGACATCTCCTGTGATGTTCGTGTAGCCAAATCGCTGGTTTGCAATGACCTTGAGGAATGTCGTACATCCTGAGCCCGGACGACCAAGCACCAACACCATCTCCCCGGGCTTGACCACACCACGGAAGTTGTGTAGGATGTTGGACTCGGAGCCCTTTTTGCCCAGACCCAGGAGTCCCATGGCAAAGGTGATGGGAAACGCAAAGAAGCCGGTGAAGGCGTCGGGGAAGGTGGGCACATAGATCTTTGCGCCGCCCATGCCAGTGACGGTCAAGTTGTCCCACATGACACCAATCTGCTTGGACTTGACGCCGGATTCCTCCTCCAGCTTGCGAGTCCCTCGCAGCGTGTCCTCCAGATCAAACGGCTCGCCCTCATCGCTGGAGGAGGAGGTGGGCGAATGCGACAGCGACTTTTCGACATCTTGGTCGCTCTTGCGAGGCTGCTGCTGGCGTGAGTATTGCCTCGAGATGCCGCTCAGCTCGCGCTGCAGTCCAGCAAACTCCTGCTCGGCGCCTGCAACATTGACTCCCCCACGTCCATTTTGCTCCAGAGATTGGCGTGAGCCCTCGCTGCTGTACTTCTCCTTCTCGTTCTCATTCTCGGGTGGATTCGTCGTGCTTCCGAGAGTTCCGTGTCTAGCATGTTGGGTTAAGCCTTCAACGGCCTTTTCCGTGCCTGACGACTCCGTCATCATCCTCGAGGAAAACAGTGGAACGTGAAACGCTTAGGGTTGGGCTTCGGCACGAACTCTCTCTCTCTCTCTGCGCTGTCATTCGGGCACGCGGAAGAACGACAACAATTCCAACCAACACTGCAAGACAAGACAAGACCAGGGCAGGACAGGACACGAGTGACTTGATCAAAAGTTCACCAGCAGCCAACCTAGTTAGTTAAAACACCCTAGCTAGGCAGGCAGCCAGGCGGCGTCCTCGGTCCCATCGATGAGTCTTGACCTTATCCGCTGAGCTGATCTGCTCTCGGACTAGTCGCCTGCACGGATCTCGAGCTTCCGAATGCCGTGTTATTGCTTACCTGAGCATTCATCATCGTTGACGATGGGCAGTCCATGTTCACTCATCTCAACTTACATTGTTGTCCAGCCTGGACTCGAGAATAACCTGGCACATGTGTTGGAAGGCCGTTTTCACCAATCCTCCGAGCTGCATCGACCTCATAATCAAGGCAAAAGCTGCCATTTCACAACGCTCAACGCCGAACTCCGCTGAGTTATGCAACGATCTTTTCACCCTTCCATTCTCGGCCAAGTGGGGCAGTGGGGATGCTGGCCTGTATACAAACAATCTGTGGATCGGATTCGCCGTGTCCACCACGTTTTACGCTCCACCGGGCCGGATATAGGAGGTACGAACCCTACAGTTCAGCCGCCCGACGCGCCCTACAGCACGTCGGTCAAGTCAGCCTACAGGCTCGAGTTGCCCAGACGATAACACCGGTCAATGGTACCAAAGAATCTCCTTCCACGTGAGACCAGTTCTTTCAGTACAACGTATATAGGTAGGATACAGTATACTACTAAGCAGGCTCCCCGTCGGACCTGGCTTTTGCTCTCCAAGAAGCCCGGAGATCCACGAAACAAATTTGGACTGCATTGACTCATCGCATCAATACGAAATCAGAGGAATGCAAGAGGCAGGGGTATGATACTGGAAGCGAGATCAGATTCACCGCCAGCCCAGTTCGTATGAGCAGGCGAGGTCACCGCTGCACAGCATAGGCACAGCAAAAGCCGACGGGGATTCTGGAAGAAAGTCAACATCTTATCTCCGTCGCGCCAAGACGAAAAGTGGAGGAAGGGTTCCACTGCACAATCAAAGTAAAGTGGAAGTTGGCACGACCAAGCTCACGTCAAAAGACACCGAATGATTGATGATCATCTCAATTCTCGGATCATCAGCTGACCAAGCTTCGTCGCGTCTTGATACAGCTCCGTAGCGTGTCGACTCCACGCGTCGGAGTGAAATGAGCAGTCGAGATCTGACAAGAGCAGCCTTGTATAAAAGGCGTCTGTTCGCTGACATTCATTTCCATGCCAAAGAATGCACGAGTCATATGACCAGCAGAATGGTAGCAACAGACATGGCCGAAATGATTACAAGAGGTCCAGCAACTAAATCCCAAAATATGACACCAAAGTACAACCCTACGAGCTAATCTACTCCAAATTACGAAAATAGCACGACAGTAGAAGCCGTAGTGCAGGTAGCTAGTGTGTTTAGGCCATAAATACTTCCTACGAATTACCGGTAAGTAAGTAACTTACGCTAAGTTATAGAACTATAGTAATCTAGCTTACGGTAAGCCGGATTATCTGTCTTACCGGTATTTATATAACTTACTAGCTCGGTTGTTTAACTTACTAGCTTAGCGTATATCGCTAACCTTATCTTATCTCGTATGTTGTTCGTGTACGTAGTTACTATATACTCGTTAGCTATACCTACTACTAAACCGTCTAACCGCCGCTCCGTAATACTACTAACTACTACTAGCTCGTCGWAGAGGGTACGTAAGCCTTAGAAGAAGAAAAAGAGGGAGGATTCGTCTAGCGACGAAGAGCGTATAAAGAAGGTACGAAGGAAGCGCGCGCTAGCTTATCCTTAGATAGATAACTATACGTAGATAGTACTAGATGCGCTAGTAGACCGTATTACTATATAGAACGACAATTAAGGGTTTTCTAATGCGTATATACTAGAGGTTACTAACGAGCTAAATACTAAGTATTTACTTACCCTTAATTCGAAGTAGGTATATAATAAGTACGACTCCTTTAGGCCTATATAGAAGTAGTAGAAAGCGCATCTAGGGCGTATTAGTAGATAGAGCGGCTAGCTACCGCGTACGGACGATAATATAGAGGAGGCTTATTACGAGGCGTATCCGGAAGATAAGATATATAGGTACGAGCTACCGCAATTTTTCGACTAGCTAGATACGCTATTCGGCGACAACTTAGTAACTAGTAAAGGAGCGCTAAATGCGGATAATCTCGGTTAAGAGGATACGKAGKATAAGGCTAGCCGGCGTAGTATATCTCGTACGAGGTAGTAGTAAGCGGACGATAACCTCTATCTTAATAAGGATAATATTAAGTAGCCGTAGAGTAATAACGAGTAGAACGAGCGGTCCTTATATATAGTAGCGCTAGCCTTACGTAGTAGCGGCAGCTCGGTAAGTCGTAGTTATAGAGGTAGACGTAGCGGTAGTAGCTCTATTACTAGCGAAACGCTAACTCCTCGTATCTACGTAAGGAACGAGATAGTAATAGTAATCGATAGGCTCGAGAAGCCTATTAACCGTATATTATCTATAATTATTACTAGCCGGTAGCAAGTAGCGTAGCTATAAGCGACTCTAATCGAGGTAGTAATACGGAGGGTAATAAACCTTAAGGGGATCCGGAGGCTCGGCTTCGCGAAGAGGATAGCGTTATAGGATATTATCTTAGAAAGCGAGTCTATAGCGGCTCGTATACTTAGCTGTCCGGATAAGGATATTAAGGCTATACTAAAGTATCTACTAAAGAAGAAGGGGCCTATAGAGGTAGTTAGCTAAGTAGACGAAGAGCCGGAGGTTATTATAGCTACTAGCGCGTTACTAACTCTAGCTCTAGCGACACTAGCTCTAGCTTTAGCGGTATTAGCTAGGCCTCCTAATATACTACTACACGATTATCTAGCGCTCTAGTATAGTTATCTTCCGCTACTACCGTTTATAGAGGAGATAATATCGTAGGAGTACGGTATTAGTATATAGTAGTAGCAAGGGTAGACAAATTATTACTATAGATTCGAAGGAAGATAAGTAATAACTAGCGTCGAATCTATAAAGTATTTATTCTATAGTTTCTTACTTTAAGCTACAACTACGTAATAATATTTTACGTTCTTAACGCTATATCGCAGCTAATAATTAGCTCTATAGTTTAGTATATATTTTATATAATAATGTAGTAGTTATGTAGCTCGTTATAAGTATTAAGAATACTACGCTAAGTTTGTAGTATTCTTAGCAAAACCGAGCTAGTTTTAATAGTAGCTTGTCTTTAGCCGTCTGTACTTAATAATAACAACTATAGACCTTTTAATAACCTAGCCTTCCTCCGGACGGGATCTAGTATTAAGTTCTACGTACTAAAACCGGCCTTAGCGCCTATTATATAGAAACACCGCCTATTTCGATCCCTACTACTCTTTTCCTTAGTTACTATTATATAGATTACCTGCTTCCTATCTCGCTTAGTAATCTTGCTATATACTAGTAGCAATTCGGTCTCGAAATACTACTATCTTGCTTCTTAGCGCTATTATCTCTACGTCTATTATATTAATATCCTCGATTACTTCGTATTCTAAGAAGCCTACGTTAATATCCTCTAAATACTACTCGAAGTCCTCTATATCTACCGTCTGTCTATAGAGGTTTAAGAAGTTATAAAGAGCGAGCACCGCTACTACGAAACGAGCCTACGAACGGTTCGAATAGTTCTTCTACGGACCGTTACGAAAGATTAGCTAGCGTTCCTTATTAATACCGAACAGCCGCTCGATAGCGTTCCTTAGTTAACTATAGCGGAGGTTAAAGAGCTCCTCTTTTCGTGCTAGCCTTATCTTACTAGTATACTACTCCCTTAAGTAGTAACGAGTACGCTAGTACGGCACTAATACGTACTAGAGGTTCTTCGAATAGCTACTATCCGCTAGGTAGTATTTTCCTACTAGTACCTCTATTCCCTTCTTTATAGCCGTATTAAGAATAGTACCGTCGTTTGCTAATCCTTCCTAACTAGGTAATATAAACGTAAAGTTCCCTTTAAAATTACACGCTACTAGTACGTTCTACGTAATAGTACCCTTACGGTTACGGTACGCTCTAGCGTTTAGATACCTCCGCGGAAAAAACGGTACGTAAGTGCTATTAAGCGCACCTACGTAACCTAAGAAATACGGCTATATCTTACTATTCTCGTATATAGTAGGTGGACTATAGTTAGTCCTCTTCGGCTATCTCGTAACCTCCTTATATAGTAGACATAATAKCCGGCTAACCTTATAGATTAACCGGCGAATACTTAGAGGGGAGTATTAATATATTAGCCGAAGGTAATTGTTCGTATCTCGCTAAGCGGCTATATTTAGAAAGATAATTACCTGCTCTATAGGCTCTACCCTATATCTACCGGTAAGTCTATACTTATTTACTAGCTTCTAGATTAAGGCGTATAAAATAGGCTGTCGTAAGCGCGTAGTAGTATAGCTATAATCCGGAGGTCCGTATAGCATTATTTTCGTCTACTAGTAACCGAGCTATAGGGCTATTAGAGTAGTTATCTTGCTAACTAGCCTATATCGAGGCTAGTCCGCCGTATTTACTAATAGCCGGAGGACCTATAGTACTATAAACAGCACTAGCGCTATAGCTAGTTCCTTATTATCTACTTAATCTATAGCTATATTAATAAATAAGGGAACTAGCCGTAATAGGCTAGTAACACTACTCCGCCGTAGGGCTAAAAGCGAGCGAAGGGCGGTAGTAGTTAGTTTTTATAATTCGAGCAACTTACTAGTTAAATTACGGTAAGTTGACTTACTTACTAGACTTACGGTAATTCACTGACTTAGAGGTATTTAYGTTAACTTAGACTAGCGCCATTTAACTTACCGGTAAGTCACTCAACTTACCAGTAAGTTGTAGAAAGTATTCATGGCCTCAGAGGGTTGATAGCCTTCGCTACCATTGCAGAAACTAAGCGGCCAGGGAAAGTCGCCGCATTGGTGACTGCGAGACAATACACGCCGTGTTCTTTGAAAGCGCCTGCTGCATAGAAGAATGGCACGTAATATGCCGAAAAGATGAGGAATATGGCGATGCAGAAGGCTACAAAGGGCGTTTCACTCGGGGCGCTTGCGTTGAAGAAGGAACGTGGCATGATCGGTTCGGCCTCTTTCTTGCTGTTTCATAGGACAAGAGGGATGCTGACGACGAAGGTGAAGGAAGAGTGTCATCATCCGCGTGGCCCACCCGAACCCTACCAACGAGTGGAAGAAGTTGCCGCAAAGTCGGGGACATCACCCTTCCTAAGGACAAGTCAAGCGGTGTTCGTACGATGCAAGGTCATGGAGGCAAGCTCACCAATGGCTGCTTGTCACTGTCGTCAGAGCAAGGGCTAGATGTTCTTAATCCTCGCTTGTCATCATCTGCTTTTCAGATCCTCTCAGATCTGCATCTGCATTGCGGTCAAGGACACAATTATCGCCATCTCCATTCATCCATCTGCTCAGAGGACTTTTCATCTCAACAGGGCTTGACAAAATGCGAACCCAGATGAACATCCAGGATGAGAATGGCGTTATTTGACTGCATCAACAAGACCTTTGCTGCATGCCAAGCACGCGGATAGCTCATGTAGAAAAAGACCAAGGCGGAATGGCAGTCGACGGATCTGGGATGCTCCTACAATTCATGGCACGGGGTTGCGGGAGCCAGAAAATCACTGAATCCCTTTTCCAAATTTGATGGTACTTGATACAGAATTCATGAAGCAGCTGGAGACCGATTGGTCTAACTAGGGACCGGGGAAGTGAGGGGCAAGATTACTACAGTATGCCAAGTCAATCGGCGAGTCGGCAAGAGAAAAGGTCAGTAGAGTTCGATATGGCGGAGTTCCGGCGCATGGCCGGGCAATTGAGCAAGCCACCCGTCGAGGATTTGGTATTTGGACTTCACGACCGACATAGGGGTTACAGACTACGCGTTGTACGACGACCCAAGCAACGTTCCATCCGCGGTCGGCGGTCCCGGTTACCGGTCCACGGGCAAAATCGAGTGGAAATTGCATGGAATTGATTCTGAACAGATGCGTGTTCGGTCGCGGTATCCACCTGCAAGTCATTCGCAACGGGTCGTCTGACATTCAGTCCGCTGCGACTGATTCAGTCGAGCAGAGAAGTGTAACCTTTCACATTGCATGCATATGGAGCTCACTACTGTTGAAGTTTACCACTTCACATGGTATTGAACCAACTCAAAATCCTCAACCTAAGGACTCTAAGATGGCCGATCAGTGACCTCGTCAAGTATATGTAGACAAGAATTTCCCATCAATCACATCTCTCATCATTCAAATCATCAAACAACCAACTCCAGCCTTCTACAAACACTCTCATCTCTCTCAAGAACATTCCACCACTTCCTCCATCAACATGCAATTCTTCACCATCGCCGCTCTCTTCGCCAGCGCTTTCGCCGCTCCGGTTGCTGAGATCGAGGCTCGCCAGGACGCCCAAATATGCCCCAGTGGTCTATACTCCACCCTCGTCTGCGCCAACGTTGACGTCCTCGGCGTTCTGTGCCTCGACGCCGTCACCCGTAAGTCGCATTCTTGAAGGAGTCTCCGCGCATTTGAGACTAACGAAGAACCATTACAGCCTCCCAGACTCCTCAGGATTCCAACAACTTCAAGCAGATCTGCAGCAAGACTGGCAGACAGGCCCGCTGCGCCGTCCTTCCCGTTGTAAGTCCTATCTAACGGTATATCCGATGCTTCATCACTAATTGTACGCATCGTAGGCTGGCCAGGCTGTTCTTTGCCAGCCTCCCGTTGGGATCACCGCCTAAATGAATTGTATTTAAGCCTTAATCAGGCGGAAAATTCAAAAGGAATCCAGACCGCTGGGACAGTGGCGAATTCGAGTCTCGAATTCAACAAGGAATCCGTTTTTACGCTTTACAGTAATCACGGCACACTTCTACTTCGACTTTTACTTTATATTTAGCTTCTTTATGAGCACTTTGCTCTCAAATTCAACTACAACTTCAACTTCAACTTCAGCCTCATTCTCCTCCTTGGCGTTTTGCTATCAAAGTATACTAACACCGTGGTTGTATCAAAAGTCAGTAAAAAAGCATTTCCTTGTTTACCATGTCTAGCCTCAAGGACAGGTGATTGCACTTGCTTCTGGACGGGCAGCATTGATGCTCTTGCTCCTTTTTACAAATCATGGCATCAATGCAGTTATACTAGAGACAGGCATTTCTCCAACCGCTTAGACTGTAATATCCTGTCCGACAAGATATATTCAGCGGCGACTCGGCCAGAAGGGAGGCCTCGTCGATGCCGAAAACGCCTATGATTGCCTCGATGGTATTCGTCAAGTGATGAGAATCCCGCCCGCTTTGATGTTGTCAGGCGAATTGATGGACCACAGAATCATCGCTACCGTTCTCAGCCAAAACTTTCGACGTCGACAAGAAGATCCAGAGATTGCTCGAAAGGAGGATTGATTCTTGGGAACGTGCAGACGGGTAGCAGTAGATGCAGAAGCGAACAGGAATCTGCAAGAGGTATAGTCATCATCGCGTCCTTCTCAAAAGGTATTACTTGCGGAACGACTACTGATCAAGTTTACCAGGATCTAAACGCATTCATTCCATTGTGAAGTCCAGGCAGGGTTTTAGACTAGACCGAAAACGGTAATTTGGGAGAGGCTTTTGGGGACTGAAGTGAATTAACCCTACCAAGACGGCCTGCAAAACATTAGACGACGGCAAATCTTCAACTGGTTGTCACCCATGCCAGCGTATGGCAGGAAGTGCAAAGTCTAGTAAGTTCCCCGAACCGATGTGAGACTTTTGTGAAGTCACCTGCCAGTTAAGCCGACGCAGGTGCCAGTGGAGCCAAGTTAGGATGATGCTCAGCTCACCCCAGACGATGTGAAGGATATGCTGGCGGGTATCATCCATTCCGCTGAAACTCTGGCAGCTGAGGCGAATTGGTTCAAAGAGTGCAGAGCTTTAAGATGAGATGATGGGTGTTGGAGCAAAGGTGGCATTTACGATTATCGTCGCCATTCGGCGGTTTGATCGTTATACATTTCATATTCAGTGCATTGACACTTCTTATTGATCCTTGGTTCGATTCGTAGCCTTATCTCCAGCTTTTCACTTGTGTGCGATGAGCACCAAATCGTCTTGTCCCCTAACGTCCACCTCGTGGACACAATCGCTCAGCTCCTCAACGTCGACGCACCCTCGGCACACTCCGTATACACATGACCGCGTAGCTGATATTGATACATGCCTTTACTCGGACGGAGTCCGGTCGAAGTCCATTACCATAAGCATGTCGTCCACAAATCCCCTGGTCCGACCTCTTCTGTCTGTTGATGCAACGGGTACAATGCGGTACCAATTTTCATGACTTTGTGTTGCGATTGTGCTCTTAATAGTAGCGATTTCGAGATGTTGGTCATCTCTATTTCGGATGACTGTAAACAGAGTACTACGATTTGTCATCGTGCATGTGTTGATCCGTCGACTCTTGGCCATGCCTGTGTTGGTCCTCCATACGCTGGTCCTGATCCTGACGACCCACCCTCTCAAGCCACTTTTCAGCAGATTCGAGGGTTGCTTTCAGGACACCGCTGACCTGAGTCATCATATCCAGACCCTCGGTGGCGAATGCAATCATTCTTTGTGCATGGCGACTGGTCTCAGAACCGGTGGACTGGCCATCGGACACGACGCGCCACCGTTGTGGTAATGACATCAGCTGGGCTCTGACAAATTCGCGGGCATTTGCAGGGAGTGCGCCGCCTGCGTAGTTGTTGACATGATCGACGACATAACGCAGCGTCTGCATGATTTGGTCACATCGGTGTTTTATGTCGTTCGCGAGTTGTCTGGCATCTTCATTGCGGTCTGGTGTTGAGAGGCGCTCGCCCTTCTCAAGCGTGGAGCCGTCAACACTCTGTTGGCGAGTATCCTCATACTGGTTCAAGGCAATGGACAATGCTCGCGTCAGTTGCTCGACGTTCGCAAAAGCATGACTGAGCATGTTCAAGCAGAATCGCAAGCTATGGCGTGATGTAGCGCTCAGCGCAACCGAAAGACCAGAAGTCGTGACGAAGATCTGCGAAGACCAACTGCGATTGTGGGGCGGGCGCTCATTCGATCGATCAGCTGACGCTGGACTTTCCTCTTCTCGGTAGGAGGGCGGTCTGCTAGCACCATATGCAGGCAGTTGCTCAGTGATGACATCTCGTCCTTGCCTTGGCATGGCGTCCGCGTAGCCATCGACATCCATTGAATCTCCCTTCTGGCCTCGTTCAAGGTCCATTGGCCGTCGAGCTTCCAAGTATCGGCGCATACCATTTTCAACTCCAGTCATCCCGCCGACTGTACTGACTACACTCACAACGGGAGTCGTGATGTTACGCTCGACCAGATTGTAACCATATTGAACAAAGCGGGGAGAATAGTACTTTGTGGTGGAGTAGGCAGACATCGATCCCTTGATGGTTCCTCCGACCCATGGATGTGCTTGAGCGATCAGTTCGAGCAAAGGTTCATCATGCGCGGCCGGCGCGCCGATTGCAGGGCTCGCATGTGCCGACATGTGCATGCTTGGACCTCGGGTGGAGCGCGCAAAAGCTAGCAGATGTCAGTGCAACCCTCGTCGCAAGGCGATATCCMACACTGATGCATGCACTCACCTGCTGGATTCCCAAGTCCCGAAAGTGCTTCTGCGGCGATGCGCACGTCTGGATCATCCATTGACACTACACTTGTTGATCGCAACGCTCGATCCTCTCCACTCATGGCACTTGCAGTCCCCAGCGGACTCGCCATGGTCGTGTCGCCCGCCCTGCGTGTATCTGTAATGTTRGCATATCCCGGATCAATCCTCGGCAGACTTCTTGTAGAATGGGGTGAGCCGTGCGCAGGTGGGCTGCCCTGTGTGGATGAACGTCGCTCGAATTCAGGAGATAGCACCGTCTTTAGACCTGGCAAGGTGATATCGGATTGCGCCGGTGATTTCTCAATCCTCTCGGGTGTGTGCTGGGGAACGGCGGGCCATGTCGTCGTCGTTGTGGTTGTCGGATTGGGCGAGCGCACCACGTCAGACGCCGGCGGTCTCTCCTGCGAGAGCTCCATCCGCTCATGCGACACGCTGGCCGTCGCAATCGTGGGGATTATCGAGGGCGGTGGGTGAAGAGGAGGAGGAACATGAATATCTCTGCACGTAATTGCGTCGGGCGCCGGAACAAAAGAGAGGCGGTGCAGCGGTGCAGAAGCAGCACGAGGAGGAGGGCGGTTCACCAAGCAATGATTGGTCCAAATTACTCTGACATGTGACAGTGTTGCAAGCGTCCGTGCCTTCCTTACCGAAACGCCCTCTTAACCGCTTCATGTGTCAAAAGCATATGCAATGATGCATGTCTTCCATGAGATTCCCTTTGAGGGACCAGGCGATCGCGTTATTTGATACACCTCGGGGCGGTGATGTATGGCCTTGCGCAGTGGAACGAACCTCGAGCTATGCACAACCACGCACCAAATGCACACACGGTCGGTTCCTTGGCTTTTATGACGCAGGCGGCAGATCTCACATCACGCGTGTCACAGAGACCGAGACACTGAACAAATTGCCGAGAGGCATTGATTTGCTTCCCCTTGTYTGCAGTCAATGTACCTGACTCGATTGGAGTTCAAGACAATTTTGAAACAAATTTCCAGCGTGACGAGCATGCATGCTGCGGCAACCAACCTCATCCTTGTTGGAGTTGGAGCTGCCGGCCAGGACGAACTCTGGCATGTCAGCATGACGAGTCATGATTCGACTATAAATACTCCACCTTCGCTAGCCTGTCTTCCAGGTTAGCGGTCCAAAAGTTCGGCTTTATGCTTATTGGGGGCAGGATTGCTCCCAGCGTCTCTTCGCATTGGCAGTTTAGGGAATTTCGAGCCTGTTAACGCGAGGTTGTAGCGAAAGTTGGCCTTGTGTAGCCAAGATTGATCATCTCCCATGCAAAGGGATGCTGTAGAGCAATGTTTACCTTTGGTCACTTTGTGAACACTGGCGACACAWTTGATTTCGCATTTCTCGCATTCCATTGAATTGTTTCCGTAAAGGCGTTATTCATCAACCTCCCACATCAACATTCGCGGTGCCGTCAGCTTCTGCCGGATTGTTGTCAAGATCGTCAAAGTCGCCCTGGCCTTCGCCATCCGCATTGCCATCTTCATCAACACCAGCTTCACGCACATTCGCATCGTCATCAGCGCCTTCCTCGTCGATCCCTTGGCCCTCATCATTCACGGCTCCAGCAGCGTTCTGTCTGGCGCTCCAACGCTTGCTGGAACCCGTCCGTTGATGCTCCAGATTCTTCGCAATGTTCCGCATGTCCAGACTCATCTGCGAGACATGGAGACCATGTGTTTCCCTGCTCAAATGACAGGAGTTCGAAGTCACAATCTCTGGCATCGCAGCAACTGGAATGTAGTCTTCTGCGGGCGGAATCTCGCCTGCGAAAAGATAACGCATCTTGTCCTTCATGATTGCACGACCTTTCGCGACTGTGCCGTTATGATACCATCCCCACTGATACGCATCGCATTCAGTTCGGATGTTTTCGGTATGGAATATGTCGTGCACGATCGGGTCCGTGATGTCGCATATCTGCCATGTCTTTCCATTTGCGGTGATGTTCTTTCCGTCAAAGATGTGCGTCGTTGGATCTGCTTTCTTGTGTCGAAGCGTCCGTGCCCATAACGTGTTGTGGTTTCCATCTCCAACTTTGGCGGATTCTGGCGCCAATTTGAATGCCTCACGATCCAATTGAAAGGTCATGGTCTGATAAAAACGATATTTGGGATCCTTGCGCGGGTCGACACCATATTTGATCAAGCTGTCTCGCCAGGGTCCGGCTTTGAAGCTATAGCCCACGTACTGGGTTGCTTCTTTGAAAATCGAATCGCTCACAGGAGGCATTGCATTCAAAGCCACTCTCTTCGTGACTAGCGGTCGCTCTTCGAGCAACTTTTGCAACTCTTCAATCGCTCGTGGTAACATGTCACCTTGTGGATTCCGAATGGGTATTTCCAGTGGAGCGGTTTGTGGTATATCCTCAGCATCTGGCGGCAGACCCTGGTGTACAGAGACGCGTTAATGAAATATTTCGAGGCACATTCTCAAGAAGTAAGACTCACCCAGGTAACACGACGTGGCGCCGCTGACATGTTCTTCGAGGTCAAGTTTCCGCTCTCATCTCTCAAGAAGACAACCCCGGTTGCTTGCTCGTACTCATACTTGAAGGGTAGATCTGAGCTGACGAACTGTGGTGGTCCTGGGAATGCAGTACTCATTGGAGCAGATCTGTCCAGGTTGATGTTAAAGCCCTTCAGTCGGTTGTAATCAGTTGTCATCACATGGTCCCGCAGCTCCCTGATAACGGGCAGATCTGCGTTGCGAAGCTGAAAGTCGGCGAGTGTACGGAAGCGATGAGTCTCACGGAGCATCCCTGGCGCTTCGATGCTGTAATTGTCATGGTTGTCGCGAAGTCGGCGGAGGAGATCCGGTGCTGTCACATTTCCGTTCTCCTGCTCCTGGTCGGGATGGTGTTCGAAAGGCGCATCAGAGCCTCGCTTTCGCTTTCGACCTGTACGCTTAGGTACTGTCACCTTGACCAGTATGTTCCTAGTTTCAACACCCGTTGAGGGTATACGTTTGGCTAGGGGGTCATTCGGCCGCAGAGAGACGCCAATGACTGGTTCGGGCAGCCCATTTTGCTTACTGCTAAGCTTGGAATCGCCAACATGATGCTCGAGGACCTACCGCTGCATGAGATGCTGCTCGCACCTTTCAAAATTGGTCACTTACATGCTTGATTTGGGCCTCGCCGCCGAGTGATTTGAAGCCGCGGTCAAAGTTCTTGACAATGGCTGGATGTTCAATGCTCACAATTCTACGAGACCCAACATGGTGAATGGAGGCGCCTCGCTGGTCTTGGATATTGTCGTGCGGCCCGTTTGGCGTCATGGTCGTGTCATTGTCAGTGCGAAGCAAGAGAAAGGTCAAAGATTCAAGCACGTGAGTCGGATGTCAAACGCGACCCCTCTTGGACCCGACCACCTCCACCACACCGCCCGCAGCACTCCCGTCTGTTTATGACCTGCGATCTGCTTTGCTGTTTGCATTGGACGCTGTGCGCATTGCAATGCAACTGACTCGACAATTCACCACCTGATTGGTCTGCGACAGCTTCAAAGTGCCAAGGCCATCTCCGTCCCGCATCACTGATCATCAACGTCAAGTCAACTCCCTACGAAGTACCGGCCGCGGGACATCATCTCCGCTCTCCTTCGCCGTTTCGTTGCATCCGCGCTACCCTCCGTCGCCGTGACGCCAACCACCGCCGCGAGGAGAACCGCAGTCCGTCGACCGCAGCTCGTCCGTCCGCCCGCTCCTGCACCGCAAGGGCCGGGCTCGTTCCCTTGCTGCTCGCAGTTTAAAGCACTGGCTCGCTCCGCGCGCCGTCCCATTGGACGAGTGTGACAATGAAGGGCTTTCGGCAACGCGTGGTAAGTTCCCTGTATTGTTCGAAGCGGCGCATGCGTGTTGATGACGGAACCCAACAGAGCCAGCTCTCGCGAGCAAAGGACCGGGAGGGCAACAAGCTGGCCAAGAAGAAGGACGGATCATCGGGCACCGCATCACCTCACAATGGCAGCGCATCGGGCCAGTCGCCCGCCGCCACGCCTTCATCGTCGACCAGCAACCTCGTAGACCCACGTAACAAGCCGCTGTCCGATGCTCCCACACAGTCGCACCCCGGCGCACCAATGCCGGGCCAGCCGCCAGCGAACGCAACCAACCAAGGCCTGTTCCCACCCCTCAGTGGAACCGCTGCTAGTGGTGGTCAGGGTCCACCAGGTGGTCCATCGACACCCGGGAGGCTGGCACCCAGCGTGGTGATATCTCCAAGCGCACCTGTCCGTCGAGACCTCTCCTTCTACCTCTTTACGCGACGCAGCTAACACAAAACAGCACATTCCAGCGCCTGGCCAGGCCGAAACCATGCCTCACGATCTTGCGCCACCCAAGTCGGGTCAGAAGAGCTTGCTGTTCGATCGGTTACAAGCCACACCCAAGGACACCGTACCCGAGGGCATTAGGACACCCAAACGGCAACATTCGTCACGATTCGATATCTCGGATCAGAGGCAGCGCGAGTTGGAGAAACTCCCTGGGTTCCACGAAGTTCCGCCAAACAGACGGCAGGAACTGTTCATGCAGAAGCTGGACCAGTGCAACATCATCTTCGACTTCAACGATGCGTCTGGAGATATGAAGAGCAAGGAAATCAAGCGATTGGCACTGCACGAGCTGTTGGATTATGTCGCGCAAAATCGACAAGTCATTTCGGAGCCCATGTACCCGCGAGTTGTCGAGATGTTCGCCAAGAACCTGTTCCGGCCAATTCCTCCACCGATGAATCCGCAGGGAGAGGCGTTCGATCCGGAAGAGGACGAGCCAGTGCTGGAAGTAGCTTGGCCACACATTCAGGTTGTTTACGAATTCTTCTTGCGGTTCATCGAGAGCCAGGACTTCAACACAAACTTCGCGAAGCAGTACATTGATCACGGCTTCGTGTTACAGCTGCTCGCGCTGTTCGACTCGGAAGATCCTAGGGAGAGGGACTTCTTGAAGACGACGCTACACCGGATATATGGAAAGTTTCTCAACTTGCGCTCTTACATTAGACGCAGCATCAACAACGTCTTCTTCCAGTTTATATACGAAACGGAGCGATTCAACGGAATCGCGGAGCTACTCGAGATACTTGGATCGATCATCAATGGCTTCGCACTGCCGCTGAAAGAGGAGCACAAGCTGTTCTTGACCCGGGTGTTGATTCCGCTCCACAAGGTCAAGAGCTTGAGCATGTACCATCCTCAGTTGGCATACTGCATTGTACAGTTCCTGGAAAAAGACGCGGCGCTCACAGAGGAAGTCGTACTGGGGCTGCTGCGATATTGGCCCAAGGTCAACAGCACAAAAGAGGTCATGTTTCTGAATGAAGTGGAGGACATCTTCGAGGTTATGGATCCTGCGGAATTTGCCAAAGTTCAGGAGCCACTGTTCAACCAATTGGCGAAGAGTGTCGCAAGCCCTCACTTTCAGGTTTGTCTCAATCCTAGTATGACATGCATGTCACGGCTAACCCGCCGCAGGTCGCTGAGCGCGCGTTGTACTTTTGGAACAACGAGTACTTCTGCAACCTTGTCAGCGATAACGTTGACGTTATTCTGCCGATCATGTTTGCACCCTTGTATGAGAACTCAAAAGGCCACTGGAATCGGTTAGTGAACATCATCTTCTTCCACTCGGAATGGGGTATACTGACGCTCTTTTCAGAACTATCCATGGCATGGTGTATAACGCCATGAAGCTCTTCATGGAAGTGAACCCGCAACTCTTTGACGAATGCTCTCACAACTATACCGAAGACCAGAACAATGCCGAGGGTGTAAAGGCAGCACGCCAGGCCAAATGGGATCGATTGACGCAGCTCGCGGAGTCTATGAAGCAAAATGGCCACACATCAGCGGTACGACCTTCACAAGCGCAGGGTGGCATGTCAAAAGGCCCAATGCGTGCCGAAGACGGCGATCCGATCTCGATGGAGCGCTTGCGCTTACAGGACGACAGGAGAGCTGAAAGGAACACTGTGCGCGGATGAGGTGTTCCAAAATGGTGCATCCATCCCGTACAAGCCCCACCTTGATCTTCCCTTTTTGTTCGCATATTGCTTGCCTTCACGGCCGGGACTTCGCACATCGCACTTTAGCAATGCAATTGAAACCGGCGTCTTGTTCTGATTGGATTTGGCGTGTCTTTCAGAAGCGCAAGCATAGCAGCAGAATTCGGCATATCGCGACAGTCTCATCGACGACTTGCTGGCGCCTTCTGCGATGGTGTCCGGCAGCAAACGAAGAGCAGTAGTCGGAACGGAGTTGCAGTGAATTGACAGCGAGCGATTGCTCGGAGAAAGGACAGGAAGGACTTTATGGAGATATTCACTTTGTCATGAGGACTAGACGCCTCTTCTTCTGTGGCCCACGGCGCTTGAGTGCGCCGTATGATACCTAGGAGGATAGGAGTATAACGAGAGGGCATACTATCGTTTTTGGTTCACGCTACATGTAATTCCCGGCTCTATTTTGCGCGCGTCAACGGGACTGTATGTCATACTCAACCGCCGGTCATCCATCTGCTCAGTTTCTTTTCTTCACATCTTGCGTTCCATGCTGATGTGTCGACTCCAATGATTTTCAACTCTCCGCCTGGCATCAACTTTTGATCAAGGTCGGGACATCATTTCGCTTCGTAGCAACTGCGAACAGACACGAGATATCATTTCGAAAAGACAGAAGAGGCCTTTCGGCGTGGAAGACRCAGTTCTTTACCTCACTTACCTTGAGGTACCTTACGTTCTCACTTTCGGCCTCTCACTGCTTGCTTCCCGCACGTGCAAGCGGGCTCGGGGAAACCTTAATTTTTTCACCTGAAACTCGCAAAAAGCTGCACACTCAATCCACGCCTCAACACCTCACAGCCTCTGGCACGAGGGATTGACCCAACAGATATTGCCGCCATTATGCCAAGCTCCCAAGGCGCATATCGCGCCTTTCCCGGCTCGTCCGCTTTCTCGGACTTTCGTCTGCAAAGATTGCAAGCTGCGATCGGAGCTACGGATCTGCAATCGATATGGGTGCATTACGTCTCTTCCGAGGAGCAATTGCTGGATGAGGAAACTTCCATCTTGGATCAGCTACTTGAGTATGGAAGCTATCCAGGGTCGAAGAATGAACTGTACAGCACCCTTCTGAAGGCAGTGATTAATGGCCACCTGCCGGAAGATGAAACGACCAAGATCTTCTTCATCAGTCCACGTCCTGGTTCAATCTCACCTTGGAGCTCAAAAGCGACGAGTATTGCTCACGTCTGCGGCCTCGAGAAGGTGGTCAATCGAATCGAAAGAGGTCTTGTGATCGTCGCCAAATTCAATGAGCCACTGGGAGATGGAACGATTCCTAATCAGGATTCGTTGTATGATCGCATGACGGAGACCATCAGCTCCCAACCTCCCGATCTGAATGCAATGTTCGCTCAGAGTGCGCCCGCYCCACTGCAAGAGGTGTCTCTCCTGCAACATAGCAAAGGCCCGAGAGTTGCGCTTGAAGAGGCCAACCGTACATTGGGCCTCGCACTCGATAGCCCGGAAATGGACTATTTGATCGATGCGTATACAAACACATTGAAGCGCAATCCCACAGATGTGGAGCTGTTCATGTTTGCCCAGGTCAATTCGGAGCACTGTAGGCACAAGCAATTCAATGCGACTTGGACGATTGATGAACAAGTCAAGGATCGCAGTCTGTTCCAGATGATCAGGAACACAAACGAGAAGCATGGTCAGGGAGTCATCTCGGCGTATAGTGACAATGCTGCGGTCCTGCGAGGTAGCTTTGGAGGACACTGGGCACCAGAGAACGCGAGTGGGGAGTGGAAACTGACGAAGGAGGATGTGCCTTACCTCATCAAGGTTGAGACACACAACCACCCAACTGCCGTCTCTCCATACCCTGGAGCGGCTACTGGATCTGGAGGTGAGATTCGGGACGAAGGTGCCGTTGGAACGGGCTCGAAGCCGAAGGCTGGGTTGACAGGCTTCAGCGTGTCTGATCTATTGATTCCTGGCCACACACAGCCTTGGGAGCTGGATATCGGAAAGCCAGCTCATTTGGCAAGCAGTCTTGACATTATGCTCGAGGCACCCATCGGAAGTGCTGCATTCAATAACGAATTCGGAAGACCATGCACTACCGGGTACTTTAGGACCTTCTCGATGGACGTCTCCCAGGATGAGACAAAGCCCGAGGTCAGAGGCTATCATAAGCCTATCATGATTGCTGGTGGTGTCGGTACCGTTCGTCCGCAGCACGCCATCAAGAAGAAGGAAAAGGTCAGCACCGGAGCACATCTGATCGTTCTGGGTGGGCCAGCAATGCTCATTGGACTTGGCGGTGGCGCGGCTTCAAGCATTTCCTCCGGTGAAGGAAGTGTTGATCTTGACTTTGCCAGTGTGCAAAGAGGCAATGCCGAAGTCCAGAGACGAGCGCAAGAAGTCATCAACACCTGCACATCACTAGGCGCCGACAGCCCGATCGAATTTATCCACGACGTTGGGGCCGGTGGTTTGTCCAATGCTTTACCTGAGTTGGTGCACGATGCAGGCTTTGGGGCTACCTTCCAATTGAGAGAGATTGACAATGCTGATCCGAGCTTAAGCCCACTACAAATCTGGTGCTGCGAAGCCCAGGAACGCTATGTCATGGCCATCGCTCCCACTCGATTGGAAGATTTTAAGAAGATCGCCAGACGTGAGCGCTGTGGCTTCTCAGTTGTTGGAAAAGCGGAACGAGAGCAGCATATAGTACTCGAGGACAGTAGCTCAAAGGATGGCCAGAAGCCTATCGATCTACCAATGGGGACTTTGTTCGGCCAGGTGCCCAAGACGCGGAAGACGGACGTCACTCGGAGGCTTCAGCTGCCAAACTTCGACAGCAGTCTTTCAACCTACCTCCCTGATGTTCCAAAGGATGCAGTACTGGGTCATGCCATTGATCGGGTACTGTCTCTTCCTGCTGTGGGCTCCAAGTCATTTCTCATTACCATTGCCGACCGCACTGTTGGTGGACTTACTGTCAGGGATCAAATGGTTGGCCCTTGGCAAACTCCAGTTGCGGACGTATCAGTCACTGCTACGTCTTTGACACCAGGCATAACCACAGGTGAGGCCATGGCTATGGGCGAGAAACCCACTCTGGCTCTCATCTCACCAGCGGCGTCAGCTCGCATGGCCGTAGCTGAGTCACTGCTCAACATCGCCGCTGCCAGTCTGCCCAATCGTCTAAGCCGCGTCAGACTTTCTGCCAATTGGATGGCGGCAAGTAGCCATCCGGGCGAGGGAGCTGCTCTTTACGAAGCTGTTGAGGCAATTGGGATGCAGCTCTGTCCAGAGTTGGGTATTAGCATCCCTGTCGGCAAAGACTCCATGTCCATGAAGACTAAATGGGAGGACAAAGAGGTCACTGCGCCCCTCTCTCTGGTCATCTCCGCCTTTGCACCCGTCAACGATCTCTCCAGTACTTGGACACCTGCATTGAGACGCCCAGAGGAAGTCGGAGAGACTCTGCTAATGTTTGTCGATCTTGCTGGTGGCAGGAAGGCGTTGGGTGGCTCGGCTCTTGCACAGTGCTTCGGTAAAGTGGGCAACGTCGCACCCGATGTGCACGATGTCGACCATATCAAGGACTTTTTCCACGCCGTTGAACAATTGCACGAATCTGACATTGTGCTCGCCTACCACGACCGCTCTGATGGTGGTCTGTTCACAACTTTGGTGGAGATGATGTTCGCTGGTCGATGTGGTCTAGACTTGATGCTCGATCGCATTGTAAAGTCTGGCAGACCGCAAGACGTCATCGAGACTCTCTTCAATGAGGAGCTGGGTGCTGTCTTCCAGATCCGGAAGAAGCATGAGAATATTTTCCGCGGCGTCTTTGCGCCAATGAGTCCAATCACCATTGCCAGTGTCCCCAAGGCATCGAAGCAGGAGCTTTCAATTCACTATGGCGCAGGGTGCATTTACAGAGCTTCGCGGAAAGAGCTGCAACAGAAGTGGTCGCACACTTCCTGGGCTATGCAGAGACTGCGGGACAACCCTGACTGTGCTGATGCGGAGAAGAAGAATATCGAGGACGACAACAACCCTGGTCTGCAGTACAAGCTCACTTACAAGCCGGAGGAGAACATCATGCCCTTGCTCTCCACCCTGACATCTCAGATCAAAGCGAAGCCTCGCGTTGCGATCCTCCGCGAGCAAGGTGTCAACGGACAGGCGGAGATGGCTTTCGCGTTCTCCGTCGCCGGGTTCAGCCCGATCGATGTGCRCATGACCGACATCATCTCTGGCCGCTTCTCATTGGAGTCTTGTGTTGGTCTCGCCGCTTGTGGTGGTTTCAGTTACGGTGATGTTCTCGGAGCTGGCCAAGGCTGGGCCAAGAGTGTGTTGCTACACGACGAGGCACGAAACAACTTCAAGAGCTTCTTCGAGCGCAAGGACACATTCGCTCTTGGCGTCTGCAACGGATGTCAATTCCTGTCACGTCTCACGGAGATCATTCCCGGAGCGGAGACTTGGCCAACATTCGAGCGCAACCTCAGCGAACAGTACGAGGCGCGCGTGTGTATGGTCAAGATTGAAGATTCGCAATCTCAGCCTCCAAGTGTCTTCCTGCATGGGATGAGCGGAAGCTATCTGCCTATTGTAAYAGCGCACGGAGAGGGTCGAGCCAACTTCTCTCGCACGGGAAGCTCTTCGGAGCAGTCTTTGGCCGATCAGGGGCTGGTTTCCATGCGCTACGTGGACAACTATCTTCAGCCTACGACGCAATATCCGTACAACCCCAACGGTAGTCCATCGGGGATCACTGCTGTGAGGACGCCCGACGGTAGAGTCCTGGCTATGATGCCGCATCCGGAGCGTACAGTGCTCAAGCAGGTCGCGAGCTATTTGCCACAGGAGCAGGCGAAGGAATGGGGTGAGTTTGGACCTTGGACTAGAATGTTCAAGAGTGCCAGACGGTGGGTGGGATAGATCTGGTTCGGAAAGGCGGCTGGTTGTTGGAGCAAGTGGTGGAGTACACGGATGATAGCTTCTGGGATGGTGTTGGGTGGAGTTTGAGTACCGCGTGAGCTACCATAGGTATATTTCGGCCACGAATCGATTCAAGTCAACTACGAAGGTCTMAATAGTCCATCTTCGATGCCTTTCTGTGGTGATCTGCTCCATTCGTTCATCCTAGTCGATGTCACGGTGTCAACCGAGATTGATGAACACCGTAGGTGGGGCTTCAGACGTATGTGCGAGTGAATGAAGAACAAACAGAGTCGATAAAAGACGACACGCACGCGCTTCCGATCCCTCTTCTCTACATCATCGACATCCACAATCATCTTTCGCAGTCCTGCCATCGCAGACCAAACAGCGATATTTCTCAACCACCATCACCCACTGCACTCCACACTCATCCATCATCATGCMTGCTGTGTGGGACGACGCCATGACCAAGCAGCTCTTGTTAGCTGTGGTCCACCTCTCGCCTCCATCGGCCCCAGACTGGGAGAAAGTCGCCGCCATCGTCGGCGGCACGACCAACGGAAACGGCTGCAAGTGAGCATCCCCACCGTTCTGACATGTGAACGCCATCGCATGAAGCTAACATGACAGGCAATTCTACGGCAAGCTCAAGCGCAACTGCAAGGAGGACTTCGACAAGCTGTGCGGCGGTTCCGGAAGCGACGCCACTCCAGCTGCTGCTGCTGCTGGCGCTCCAAAGACTCCAAACAAGCGCACTCCTGGAAAGAAGGCTGCTGGCGAGAGCGCCAAGACGAGCAAGCGCAAGGTGGACAAGACTGTCGTCGAGGAGACGGATGGTGACGACGATGAGTCACCAGCTAAGAAGGTCAAGGAGGATCCTGATGCTCTCGTCTAAGCCACCTTTGCACTGAGTAGCGATGTCGCGTTTTCAAGGGGGGGTCGAATGCTTGATATGCTGCTGGGTAGAACTCTGGATGAGATATTCAGGGAGATGGGCATTGAGATTGATGGGATTGAGAATGCAGCAAAGGGGAGAAAGTCGACCGTGTGATGCTGTGGAAAGTGTCTGCAGGAACCCAGGACTAGTTGCTCACAAGATATTCTCCTTTCCACATTTGCATCTCCAAGCGTCTCCCGTGGGACAGTCGGCGAGAATGCAGAGAATGCATATCCCAAGTCTCCTGAGTTGTAGAACGCTGCCTCATCTTTAGCACGGTATCTCGAGACCATGTTCGTTGGATGAAACCAGATGTCGTTGCCTCTATGTGCAGGAAAAGCCGTGTCGTGGTCGTCGCTACTACCCAAACCCTAACCCTGTCAATTTGAACTCTATTTCACGGTCAACCTCCGTGATCCCGACTCCATCTCATATTGATCCAGCAGACATCAAACACCACCAGAGTCCAACCATGGCAGTCCCACGCTCTCGCATCCTCGATCTGCTCAAGGTCCAATCGCGCATCTTCAACACGACCTTCAATCCCACCAATGCCCGCCTCGGAAACAGCGTCTTGCGCCAGCGCCTCCGTGGTCCATCTCTCGCCGCATACTACCCACGCCGCGTCGCGACCTTTAAGGATCTAAGAAAATTGTATCCCGAATTTGAGCTTTATGACAATTTTGAGGAGGACCGATTAGAGCACATTCAGATTTCCAAGTCGAGAGGCAAGGGTGCGCCGAAGAAGAAGAGAACCGCTGCGGGTAAGTACCTCTTGCAGAGGATTGTGTGGTTGGTTGTATTGGGGCAGATTACTGACAATGGATTTATTGCAGAGAGTCGGAAGAACCAGAAGGGAAAGAAGAGATAGTGCTGATGATGGGGATTGAGAGGAGAATATGGAGAGTTGGCATGGCGTTTTGGGTTGGTGGGGATGGGATATGTACAGCACTCAATGCATGCCACGGCGTTCTGGGAGACATCGACCGGGGGAAGTGGAAATCTTTTGTACATGTATTTGGGGATCTATGCCACGCTGTGGCCTTTTCTCTGGATGGTGCCCCCCAGCTTCACGGAGATGCACCGAGCTCGGTCTGTCACTTTTGWCCTGTGTACGGCTACCAGAGAGCACTGTCCGCCTTGTTTCTTCAGAATGATTTAGTCGAGAGAAGGCTGTGATGACGGCTCTCTACATGGTCGGGCCGTACACTTGTCGATGAGGATCACATTGAGGACACCACCACAAATCACTCGGGACTGGTAGCGACGACGGGTACGAGTTGGTGCAGAGAGAACATCATGGCAGGCTGCTAAACGCTTGGCCTCTGGGCAAAGCTTCCAATTGTCGCTTTTTGTGTGAATCAGAAGGTCATTTTTGTGAAAAACCTGAAACTATTCCCCTCCAAAGCTCACTTCATTCTTCTTTTTCTTTCCCCCTTCTTCATCAACACATCAACACCCAAATCCATCTTCTGCAATTCCATCACTCACTCCATCAACACCCACTCACATCTTGCCCTTCTCATCATGGTTTCCTACGACTACGAGCTCTCCAAGGCCACGCTCAACGAGAATGACAAGGACCGCATTGTTTGCCTCTACTTGAACAGCGATCCCGCATCGGTGAGTCGCCACGTCGCTTCAATTGAACGTAGCTGTCAGTCACTCACACGCGCTAGGTCGACTGGGCCAAGGCCACCAAGGACTACGGCTCAGCGAGTGTGGAGAGCTTCAAGAAGACCACGGCGAACATGCTCAAGAAGCTCGACACCGCCGGCGCAAAAGTCTCTGGCGATGGCAACGCCACTGTCGCGTCTGCCACTCCAGCTCCTGTCACACCAGCCTCTGGAAAGAAGCGCAAGGCCAAGAGCGAGGTCGCTGCTGACGGAGACGTCGAGGGTGGTGCTGCCGCCACCCCCAAGGCAAAGCGTGGCCGTCCAAAGAAGGCCGCAACCCCCAAGCCAGTGGAGGAGGACGCGATGGACGAGGATAACGAAGATGCCGCTGAGAAGGGAATCGTCAAGAAGGAGTCTGTCGATGACCTCGTCTAAGCAATTCAAGCCGACGCACTGTAAGCTGATGCCAAATGCCACGGAAATGAGGACCACGGAGAAGGTGGGGTGTCTATCATGCTCATGGCAGATCATAATCTCGACGAGAGATTTCTCAGGTCAGGTATTGGATTGAGTGGTCTTGATGGAGGYRCCATACCTGGAAGAAGCATTGCAGCTTTACTGGAAGCAAAGAAGCAGCATAGACTTCACCAAATGCAGATGAAAAACTTTCAGTCACATTCAATTAGTAGTCATATTGTGATCATGTGCCATCACAGGCCTAACTAGCCGTTTCATGTGGACTTCCACTGATTGCTGTTGCCGGCATCGTTCACATGGAGGAAGGTTCATCAGCTTCTTAAAGCTCCCGAAGGCCCGTGAACACTGGGTTTGTGGCTAGAGTGCATCAGATGAGCTTCAATAACGCAACCATCACAGGGAGGCAGCAGCTGGCAGAACAACTAGTGATCCCTTTGCCAGAGAACGTCTACGTTGCAAAAATAAGTTCGAAGACCAACTAGGTCCATTGATGCTCCGTTTCGCTGATTATAGCACGCATACAGCAGATGTCGTGAAAGGCAGTGGCAGGTTTCACTCCAAGATACGGGATGACATGTCGAGAAGATCTTGATGTCGTCTTCAAAGCTGTTCAGCGACTTCGCCGTCTTGGAGGTCCACCTGAGATGGTGATTGAGCAAAATTGCTTGCTAGGTTAGGTATCAACTGGACAGAAAGGCCTACATCCCAATGGATTAGAACGTTCCTGAATGCAGAAGAAAGAGATTGGAGATCTTGTCGCGGAAAGCAGGTGGGCGAGGCCAAGCTCCAAAGTCGAGTACAGTGATCTACGACCGTACTTGGTACCTATCGCATCCACGGCGCTCTCACTTGCAGTGATATGTTGGCGATGCATCAAGCTCATCAAAGCACTAGGAGAGCTCCACCAAGAATGGAGGGAATGTTAGATGAGAAGTAAAGTGCACCCACAAGACATTCAGGGGCAGCATCTCAACATCAATTTCGTCGGGAACGAACACCTTTTCTCTCACGCAACCGAGTGTACTGATCTGCCATGTGGAAGCCGGCGATTTTGTAACACTGCGTATTACTGACCGCCGATCACTAACGGCAAGCTCGACACAAGCTGTTGAGGGAGACGCTAACGGCCATGGTATGTAGATCGTATGCTGGGCTAGTACGGAAACCGCAATTGCAGAGCCAAGGCTTTCTCTGCTATGTTTCCATTTCTCGTAGCTCCATTGACAGAACCGTAGGGAGTAGGCTGTTTCAGGGACGAAATCCTCAAGATTGACATCGAAACGATAACGAGAATGAAAGTCAGCAGGAGGAGTTGGGTATGTAGGCAGTTCAGTACAGAGCGCCGCCCTTTTCGTGATCAACAGCTTCAAGTAGCGCCAACACTTGCTGCACCTCTATAACTCAGCTCCCAACAAGGGTCAAGGTACATGGAGTACTTGTCAAGCAGCGTGGTCCGAAACGATGTACCACACACACGTGTACCTATAAGCTCACACCGAGCGGTGAAAACATTTCTCTATTCCTTAGTTCTTGAACCCCTCAACTATACTTCAGACAGCAGGACAACATGAAGCCCTGGGAACAGAAACGAGTCTTTCTATTCAGTCATCCAAGAACAGCCTCAAACCTACTTGTACGACTTCTCTCCAACCAACCGGACTGGGAGACATCTGACTACCTATTCTTTGATGCTTTCCAATACACAAGAGACGCATTTGATGGCCTTGAATTAGAGGATGTACCCGAGACAGCACGAGCAGAGCACTCAGATCTTATCGAACAAGGTCATCAGAAGCTAGAAAACTTTGTGTGTACCGCCATGGACAAGGTGAGTTGCCCCCTGAATCGTGCTTGGCCGAAATGCTAAGTTCTGTTGCAGCAAAAACATGTGATGCTCAAAGATCACACACTGCTTGTCACACCAGTAGAATCGACTTATGGAGATGTAGTCATGCCCACGAACCCATCGATCTTTCCGGACACCCTGATGCTTTCCTGGCGACCTGTCATACTAATCCGCAACCCGATTCTGATATATGAGAGTTGGCTCCGAGCAGAAGGAGAACCGTACGTACATGAAATGATCAACGGAATCGCAAAAGTATCCGCTAAAAACGTATCGTCCATACAGGTATCCAAATCTCGAATCTCAATATGCCAAGATATACACCACCCTGAAATTCCAGCGAGCAGTCTTCGATTGGTATCGACATCATCCCGAATGCACATTGCAGCCCATAGTGCTGAATGCAGACGACATCATAGAGCGACAAGACGTATTGGAGAGATTCTGCGAATTGGTTGGGATGGAAAAGGAGAAGCTTGTACTCTCCTGGAAACCGAGTCATGCTCCTGCAAAGTTTGCGTTGAATGAGCGGTTCAAGCGGTTCTTGCAGACTTTCCAGGAGTCCACTGGGATTGAGCGCAGCAAGTCTTCGGTGGGAATCACTCTTGAGGAGAGGCAGACTCAGTGGAGGAAAGAATTTGGGCCTGAAAGGGCGTCGATGCTTGTGAGCAGAGTGGTTGAGTCGTGGCCTGATTTTCAATATTTGCGGTCTATGAGGCTTTGCTGATCAGCGAACGAGTGACGATATAAGAATGAAGAAGAGGTCAGTTCCATGTCGATCAAGTACTGTATCCAATGCTAGTTCTGTACCTGGAAGGACTGCAGGATGACACTTCGCGTAGCAAAAACGACCTATGAGATCAGCGGGTGAAGGCCTGTGATATGAAGCTATCTGGTCAGAACACAATGCAAGTCCTGGTACGATTTCTTGATAGTAATTCTTCGTGCCCGCAAAGTGGCGCTTATGTTCGATAGCCGCATTATCCAGAGGCCATGATGTGGATGTGAGTAAAACGACGTAGGAATTTGAGCAGCAAACGAAAAGCCGACCATCAGCGGATTCCATTCTCTTCGCCCAAGCCAATGATGTGAGTGTTATTGGAGAAGTGTCCTCCCAAGACTCTTCCCTCATGCCATGACAAAGGTTTTCCCCTCACATGAGTAGTGCCTCTCAAGACGTTGAGAGCATCTATGATGCCAGAGCCATTGCCCATCCTCAACGATAATCGATAACCCAGTCTTTCCAACCCTGCATCGACAGAGCATGATGTCTGGCCACATGCTCAGATGTGCTGCGATTCAGTACATCGAAGAGTATGTCCAAGAACTCTCCCAACGTGGTACAAATGCTCATGTTAATGTTCTCGGTATACGAACATCCGCCCATGTACGTTCTCGGCATCCGGGGAGCGATCCATATCTCGAAGAAAGCAGTGGTCGGCTTCTGGTGTATCTTGACTTGTCGCCAAATACCCTCTCGCTGTCTTCCACCCTGACCCAGGAAAGTGTCCAGCCTGTCGCGAAACACCCCCATCTGATGCTGGATAGTGAGATCCACGCAGGGTTGATTGCGCACCTGCATCTTCCCAAGCACCCTCTGGAAGAGCCATTTCATCGGCAGGGACGGCGGCGTGTTGACCAGGGCAACACTAGTCTCCAAGCTTCCGGTTAGTGCGCGCTGCAGCTTGGGAGACCTTCTGATCGTGTCTCTGAAGTCTCGAGACACTGCGCGGATGATAGAGAGCCTGGCAGTGGGCTCCAACCTAAACGGATCGCCGAGTTCAAGGAGTTTGCCCGTGTGCTGCATGAAGACGGTGCCGCAGTTCTCGGCTTCGTGCTTCTTCGCCTGATATGCAACGCGCAGCAAGATATCTTCAAGAATCTACAATATCGTCAGAGCGGGTCAGGATTGACTGTACTGGGTAACAGCTGTCGTATGAGGTGGACGATGACTTACCTCCGGAATAGAAAACACCTTGATTGCTGCCATACTTGCTCATTTGTCGCGTCTGCGTTCCAGGCTGTTTGAGCCAATTACCGCCGATGGATGTCGAAGAGTGACGACCGAGAATGGTAGTACTGTCCAGTCGAGAAGTTGGGAATCTCGTGATGGGGGAAGTGCTTGATGTTGTTGTCAAGATGAGCAAGCTTCCAAATTCCACCAAAGGAAGATTGTAGGCGGGCCGTGCACTTTAAGTTCGAAGTGAATGATACGTTGACATGAGAGCACCCGAAAGGAAGTAACCTCACACCAGAAGTTGGGCGCCGCTTGGGAGAAATGAAATCCAGACACAGATTTGTATGTTCATCGTAAGGACCCCTTGTAACACCGACTTCCCACAAAACTGCTCAGCGCCTGGTATTGTCCCTTGTGAAAGACCCGCGAAATACGAAAATGTCTGCCAACCTGGGCAGAGCCTAGCCATCAACATCCATCATCTCCGAATCCTCAACCTCAGTATACTCCTCCTCAAACCTTGTCCCTTCTGCATCCGGAACCCCAATAGTAGCTCCCAGCGTCGTAGACATCTCCCTCTGCAGTTGCTCATCAACATCCGCCTGACTAACATCATCATCATCATCTTCCTCCACCACATCCTCTTTCGTCTCGATAGTGCTGACTTCCAGCTCGCTAACCATCTCCGTCACAGCTCCAACTTCCGTCTCATCAACCCCACCACCACCCCTCTCATCAGTCATGAAATCATGCATAAGCTTCAACAATCCATTCTGCACCTTCGTCAAAACATTCCTGCTCACAGCATCAGGAGCAGCTTTCCCATCCGCAGCCTCAGCCGCCAATTCCAGCACCGCCTTGACTTGTTCGGCTTCACAGCCTCCAGCCGGAAGGTGCAATTTGCTGAGCATGGAGAACAAAACTTTCCTCTCCTCTTTCCCGATCTGCGTGGTGACAAGTCTCTCAAGAACCAACTCCGCGAGCAAGAAGTGTGGAAGCATTTTCCCCTCTCCGCATTGGAACGCGCCGGCTGTGCCATTGAGGTCCAGAATCTTCCGTGAATCTGTCCAATCGACTAACATGCCACCCAGCACACCCATCTTGACCATTCCTCCGCCTTCGAGACCTTGCTGATCGACTTCCACGCCTTCGTCTTCGAGGTCATCCATGTAACTTTCTCGCAAGGTGAAGAGTTTCGCGACAACAGCGCATGTTACTTGTGCCATTCGTTCTGCATTGCTCGCTCGTGAATGGCAGTAGACTGGTAGGAAGTATGCGAGACTCTGGCGAAGTTGAGCATTCCCCGCACTGTCTGGATCAAAGTAAGTGATGACCAGCTGTTTGAGAAGATCCGTATCTGTGATAAGCTGGCTGAGGAAAGCCTTAGACAGAGCGGCGGCTCCAGTGGATTGAACGAGTGGATCGTCCGACTTGAGGGATTTGTTGAAGGTTTTGAGTATGGGTTTGAGAATCTCCTCGGGTGTCGTCGAGGAGGAGTCGGTGGAGGCATTGAGCGGAGGTGAGAGAAGGCTGGGGTGTGTGATGAGAATATCTGTGATTATCTGAATGGCAATGGTTTGAAGAGCCGGGTGACCCTTCGCGAAGCAGTGGAGGAAGAGAGTGAGGTTCTCCTGGGCCAGGTTCTAAGAATAACGTTAGCATAAGTAGCAAGCTGGAGCTCGGCAAGACATACCTTGCCTAGTAGACAGCACAATCCCAAACAAAGCAGTCCTCGCTCACGGATTGGCGCCTCTTGAGATCGCACAGCGGGCACAACCAAGTTGTTGAGCATCGTCACCAGATGAACATTCTCCTCCAAGTCGCCCTGCACGTTTTGCAACATACAAAGCGCAATGTGTAGACACTTCATGTTCACCATAATCTCCCTCACAGCCTTCTCTGCTTCATCCATACCACCCTCTTCGGCAGTCTTATTACTCTTCTTGGCCCTCTTCTTCTGCGCAACCACGATGGTGTCGTCATCATCCTCGACGACTTCCGTAGCAGAGTGGAAGCTCTCATTGGTGCTGTCCGCGTCATCTTCTTGATCGCCCATGATAGTATCATGAACCTCCGCGATGGCTTCGAGAACAACACCACAGAACTCACGCTCGCCCTTGGAGTCTTCTCCACAGACTAGACGAAGGACTTCCACAACAAGGCGTGTGACCTCCTCGGGGAGATCGGGCAATGCCAAGCTCTCTCTCATCAGACCAAACATCTTACGTCGGCCGACTTCATCGCTGTAATCGAATGTGAGAGCCATGTGAAGCATCTGCTCGACCACAAACTCGCGGTGTGCGAGCTCTTCCTCGTCACCATCCTCTGCGTTCTCCTCCGAAAGAGTAGCGATAGTCGTCTCGATCAGACGTCGAATCTCTCCCTCCAATAGATAGCCGAATTGAGTAACTTCGGGTAACTTCTCCTCCACGAGCGCCTCATACACTCCACTATCTTTACCCGAGTGAGATCGGCAGTATTCGTTGAAAGTACGAGCGACGAAGGCGAGTTCGGGGGAAAGCTCCTCCCAGAACGAAGGAGGAAACGAGACATACGCCAGGTAGTCCTCACGCCCGAGCCAGAACTCTCGCATGGCAATGAGGGCAATGCCGCCTTCGGTGCCACTATTGACTACATCGATGCGTTCGAGGAGTTCCAGCAACGCATCGAGGGAGGGAGGAGCGGCGGTTGTGGCGTCTTTCTGAGCGTCGCCTTCTGCAGCTTGTGCGGCCGGAAGAGCGGCGCAATCTTCGATCCACCTCTCGCGGAAGAGTTTGGCTGTGGCTTCCCTCACCTTCTCGTCGCGATCCCTCAAACCCCATCGAAGCAGCTTCTCGCGATGTGTCAAGCTAAGATGACGGAAATCACCCAGTGCAGGCAACAAACGCGCATAGAGAGCCCTCCTTGTCGTACCGTCCGAATCTCGCGCTCTCTCCAGCAGATATGGCAATACTTCTTTAGTGAGGGGAAGATTGAGCAACAGATTCCTCCTGACTTCCGCAGAAGGATCATTCTGCAGCACACCCAACAGCTTTCCAAGCACACCAGCCGCAGCGTCATCCTCTGAATCCGAATCATCCTTTTCCTCCTCATCTTCAACTTCAGCCGCTAGTCTGCCCAGGCCATACACAGCTTGTAGCCTTACAGGCGCCTCCTTGTCGTGAATACGCTTCAACAGCGCAAATCGTAGCTTGTGGAACAGAGAATCGTCCAGGGTGTCCAWCGAATWGATGACATGGCTTGTAATTTGCGTGGCGCGATATCTGATTGCCTTGTCCTTGGCCTGCAACAGAGGCAGAAGTGTCTCCAAAATAGCCGTCGTCAGCCTGCTGGTCGGTGTCTCTGGAAGAGCAGCATCCTCATCCTCTTCATCCCCCGCGATAATGGCATTGTCCTTTCCACTCGCGACGTTCAAAAAAGTGCCCAAGAAGCGGACCACGCGATCTCCCACGGGTTCTGCCTTTTTGACGGGCAGTATGCGCAACACACAGCGCACGACCTCGCGATTGAAGTCGTCCTCATCGAAATCTTCGCGCTGCTGCTGCTTTCCAGATTTGGGGGATGTAGGTTCGTAACAGCACGCCTCTTGTGCTTTTCGCAACGCAATAATGGCTTTACGGTGGCCGGCGGTCGATCTCTGAGCGTCGGCGAAGGCGGTACAAATGGCGCGTCGTAGGGATGTGTCGGCGCCTTCGTCTGGTATTGCGGTAACGGGCGACGAGTTGCGCAAACTTTTTGTTGAAATCGTCCTTCGCGAGGCGCGTGTAGCACCGCTTGCTACTCTCCCTGGCATCGTCGGTGAAGATGTCGTTTGGTGTCGTCGTCGTTTTGTTTGACGATTGCAAGATAGAGATCAATGTTTACTTTGGATGTTTACGCGGGGGCGGGCCGGCATCGCTTCCAATGACGGAGCGGATCGGCAACTTTTCGAGCTCGACATCAATGATCAATCCATGAAGCAGCACGATTGATCATTGTGCATTCAGAATGTCTCTCATCGCCCGCTCCGCCCTGCGCTCCATCCCGCGCTCCATCCCCCTCTCAACGACATCCCGTTCTGCCTCGACTGTGTCCGCCAAAGCCATGGAATCGCTACATCCCAAGTCGCACGCCATCTCACAAGCCCAGGGCATCGCCTCCAACGGCCTCGTCTCAGCAATTGGCAACACTCCTCTAATTCGCCTGAACCATCTCTCGAAGGAGACTGGCTGTGAGATCCTTGGGAAAGCAGAGTTTCAAAACCCCGGCGGTAGCGTCAAAGATCGCGCAGCTCTCTATGTAGTCCAAGATGCCGAACAACGTGGCCAGCTCAAACCCGGCGGAACTGTCGTCGAAGGCACAGCCGRAAACACTGGAATTGGTCTCGCACATGTCTGCCGATCAAAGGGTTACAAATTGGTCATTTACAYGCCCAACACTCAATCGCAAGGAAAGATTGATCTTTTGAGATTACTGGGAGCAGAAGTCTATCCCGTCCCTGCAGTCGCCTTTGATAACCCGGAAAACTACAACCACCAAGCAAAAAGACATGCGGAAAGATTAGAGAATGCAGTATGGACGAATCAATTTGACAACGTTGCAAACCGACAGGCACATATCGAAACCACTGGCCCTGAAATCTGGACGCAAACCGATGGGAAGATTGATGCGTTTACTTGTGCTAGTGGAACCGCAGGTACAATTGCAGGATGTACGAGATATCTGAAGACGATCAGCGAAGGGAGAGTGAAGTGCTATGTCGCTGATCCTCCTGGATCCGTCATTTACACATATGTTTCTACCGGACAAATGCCCGCAGGCAGGACTGGAAGCTCCATTACGGAAGGTATCGGCCAAGGGCGCGTGACAGACAACCTGGCGCCTGATCTTGAACTGCTGGATGGAGCACTCCATATCGCAGACGAGAAGAGTATAGAGATGGTGTACAGATGTTTGGATGAGGAGGGCTTGTACTTGGGAGCGAGTTCTGCATTGAACGTTGCTGCTGCGAGGGATTTGGYCGAGAAGCTGGGTCCTGGCAACACCGTGGTAACGATTCTCTGTGATGGCGCGTATCGGTATGCGGATCGCCTGTTCAGTCGAAAATGGCTAGAGAGTAAGGGTTTGCTGACTGCTGTGCCCGAGAATTTGCACAAGTATATTGTGTTGGAGTAGAGAGATGAATGAAATCACCTCGATAATACCACAGACATTTCGCTAGCCACCCCAAGTGAATATTCACCACAATTTTCGGCCACATTGACAGCAACTCTTCTATAGCCGCCGTAAAGTTCATTTCGTTCGTCTATCTGCCCCTAATCTCGCCCGAATCCAGGCCTCATCCCGCAACTATTAAGTCGCATCTTCAGAACGTTTTAGATCCCATCTCGAGTCCCCGTCACCCATCAATCATTTCGTCCGAACAGAAAGAAGCGCCCATAGCAGCAGAAACAAACCAGATCCCGCAGCAACATGACTTGCCCACAAAAGCCGTGAATTGGTGGTATCATAACGCAATGGCAGCAGATTTCCCTCAATGAGCAGAGCTCATTTCCATCCAGCAGGTTGAGAGGCCGGCGGGCGGTAAGAGGTGACAGTAGCTTGTCATCACCTCTCAGCCTATCCGGACACTGATAGTCCGAGACACCTCCCATTCACCCCTCAAATATAACTCCTCCCTCCTTCAATCAATGCGCTCCCTTTCTGAACCTCAACAACTCACTCAGGCTCGCCAAGGAACATCCTTGCGCCAAGAACTCGTGTCTCCCCAGTTCCTCCGCCGTAGCCCTGGACTTGACGTCCACACAGAGACACACACTCAAGAAAGCCTTCAGCTCCTTGCTCAACTTCTCCGGTTTCTTCAACCTGGGTGTACCGTTCGTGGCGATGAGGTAAAGAGCCTTGAGGGGCTCCTCGTTCAAATATGGCGGTTCCGATTCTATCATTTCAATCGCCATGATGCCCAGCGACCAAATGTCGACTTTGCTTCCGTATTCTTTTTGTTTGACAACCTCTGGTGCCATCCAGTAAGGCGTGCCGACCATGGTGGCTCGCTTCGAGCGCTGCTCAGTAAGCTTCGCGCAAAAGCCAAAGTCAGTAATCTTGACTGCGCCACGCGACGAAAGCAGCACATTGTCGGATTTGATGTCTCGGTGGATGATGTTCTGGGCGTGCAAGTGAATGAGACCTTTGCATGTCTGCGGGATGTTAGCAAATCATTCTGGCTATCGTCGTTATTCCTACTCACCTCGAAACAGATTGTGGCAATCTGATCTTCTGAAATGGAGGGGTTGTTGTCAATGACATCTGTCAGAGCACCACCTTCCATGAATTCCATGACCACCCACAGCTCGAATGTCTCCTCCTGCAAGAACGCGTCGAGGAAGTTGACAATGTTGTCATGTCGGCTTTCCTTCATGACGATAATCTCGTTGACAATCAGCTCCTTTCTTKGCTGCGATCGGAGATCCATCTGCTTGATAGCCACCTGCGCTCTGGGTCCGTAGTTCTTAATCAAGTCCTTGGCAATCTGACTGGGCGCGTTCTCGCGGATTCGAGCAACATAGACAGACCCTGAAGCACCCTGGCCAATCTTCTTCTGCTTATTATAGCTCTCAAGAGGGTTGGACAAGGTGACGACGGAGCGCAGACGCTCCATCACCTGGGCGTCAGACATTGCGCTCATTCGAACCTCTTTGGACTTCTCAGTAGGCTCCTTCTTGGTGAGGGCAGCTTCGGCTTGTTTAATTGCGGCATCCTTTGGTGCGCCAGTAGGCTGTTTTGTTGCTACATTGAGCGGCTTGACTTGACCGGCAGGAGAGCCTTGGTTATTACCCACAGCCGACTTCTGCTCTTTCACTTGTCCGTTGGTTGCCGCTGGTGTGCTTGGCTTGACCGCGTATGGGGAGCCATTGCTAGGAGCGACTTTCGAGGGCGTAGAAGAAGATCCGCTGGATGAGGAACCTGGCGGTCCTGGAGCAGTCCTTTGTGCTTGTAGGCCTCGAATTGGTATTTGACTTCCAGGTTGACCAGATTTACTTCCCACGGGTGCTGGAGGAGCGGGCCTTGTCGCGTTGTACTTGCCTGGGGTGTTTGGACTGACATCTCTCGTAGATGAATCGCCAATGAAACCGCTACCGATCTCCTGTTTCGCCAAAGGCACTTTGCTTTTGGGTAGAGATTCGTTGTACTCGCGGTCTTCTTGTTCCTGGCGCCTGATGCGCTCGAGATCCTCGTCCGCTCGCCGCCGTTCCGACTCGGCACGTCGCCTGCTCTCTTCTTGCCTCTTCCGGCGCTCTTCTTCCGTCTGTCTCGAGTCCTGCCCGGGCGCCGTATCTTGCCGTTTGGGAGCTCCATATCGATCTGTGGATTGGTCTCTCGGATACCCACTTCCTGGGGTGTTTGTGGCGGTTCTGCTGTAGCTGTCCTGGCGGTTCACAGCTGGCGGTTGCGGCCTAGGTGGAGCAACGCTGTTACCGGTAGAGTATCCCAACTGCTTTTCCCTGCTTGGGTCTGCAGCAGAGGCAGGAGTGAGGGAAGAGAACATCTTTGGATCATCTTGCCTCACAGCGAGCTTATCAGTGTAGAATTGCAGTACTTCCATGACCGCCTGCGGGTTCTTGGCCATGTCATCTTTTGTCAGAGCGGAGCCCTTGAGCAGCCTTTCCCACTCCACAGGCAGACCTACGAACCCGCCCGTAACGGGATCAAAGCCAACGTGCACGCGATGAGAAAAGCCGGTCGGGTGAGAAACGCCGCCCATACTCGGAACTCGGTCGTATATGCTGTCCATCCAGTTGTATACTTCGGTGTCTGTGTCGAACTTGAGAATCCAGACTTTGCTCCCATCCCTAGTGAGCTCCAGGCTGAAAGGATAGCTGTCGGAGCGAGTGATGTGTGAAACATCGCGCAGCAGGATCGTGTTGGCAGTCTTGCTGCTAGAACTGGATTTGAGGAAATCGAGCTGCTTCTCCCGCAGCACGAGGAACCTTTCGTTCCAGAACGCCTTCATGAATCCGCCGCCCTCCTCCTTGACCTTCGCCCAGCCGTCCTTGACGACGGTGAACTCCCCATTGCTGGTTTCTGCCCGCGTGGGAGTGGACTTGAGATCTACTGAGCTGCCGGAGCTGTTGTTCAGGCTGTTGAAGCTTCCCAGATTGGGATTGCCGGTGGTGTGGTAGACTTGCGGGGTGAGTGCAACCTTGGGCCTATCGGTGGGAGGTCGCGGCGCAGGGCCTGGGTTGAGAAACTGATCGGGCCGGTATAGTCTGCGAGGGTCATGTCAGTCGTTGCGCATACTTTTGGAGGCCGTCACTTCTCGCCGCCATCCGTGCCGCTATGCATGTGCAATACCAAGCCTCCGCGATTTTTRTTTCACGGAGGTCATTGCTGCGCCGCGCACATTGGAGGAGACACTCACGGGTTTTGTTGCGCCATGTCGGCAGCCTCACGCGCGAATCAATACCACAATGCGCCGAATGCAGGCAGCTCCTTGGCTTGTGAGCGCGTATTGTCGGTCAAGTAGGCCGGGGAACGAGGTGGAGGTGAAGTTCGGGAGGTGGTTTTGAACGAGTGATGGTGGCGTGTGCGCTCCTGCTGTCAACACCAGCGCGGGGTCAAGGCACAGAAGCCTTGCACGTTGATTGTGTGGTGGTCGGGCTCTCTGGGCAAGGTCCAGGTGCCCGTGCAGCGTAGATGGTTGTGGAAAGGTATGGCAGAGCCAGGGATAGTTCAAGATGGCAAGCCGAGGGGTCGAATCGCTCGTCACGGCCGTTGGATCATCAAAAGTCTGAGTAACCAAAGATTGCTCGCTTCGAGCGCTCGCAAGTACTTTTGGTTTTCTTTGTTCTCAGCCGCACTCTGTGGATATCTTCACAGGACAATGAGCGCAGGTTAAGGTCTTCAAGGCGTACAGCAGCCCCTCAGACGCGAGAACCAGGCGCTGGTTCGTGGTTACACACTCCCTTTTCTAGATGAAACGATTCCAAACGCTAGAACGAACGATTGGCGCGAAAACTGGTTCTAGTTCCGCTGTTGTTGATTGGGTAACCTCATCTCTCACATTATTCCGATATGAACAGGATACCGGCGCGTATAAGAAGATCCCCTGCCTTATCATCGAGTACATCACGCTGTTTGCAAATACAGCGGTGCCAGCTCTCTTTTTTTGTGGAATGCTGAACGCTGGCGTCTGATGATGCTGATGCACCGAATCAGTCACACACACACCTCAACTGACTCCGAGTCTTCCAAACCACATCATTCGACGAATGAGAGACCGCCGGCATCGCGCCGCTTCATCCCCGATGGCGGGACGATCTTGGTTGAGATCGGGAAGGATTTCGCCTGCACAGAGGACGTCGTCATATCCCGGGGCAAGCTGCCCGAGAGACGGGTTTCGTACTCCCCGCGTTGTGATATCAAATGCGGACGAATTGAACAGATTGAGACTGCATCKCGAGACAGCTTGGACTTGCATKCCTTCGCACAAGACAGACAGGGGAACCTCTGCTAGAGCAGCACCGTAGCGTATCGAACCGCAACCCCGTGACTAGCAGACCTTTCTCTGTCTCTTCAAAGCCAATGGTGTGTGCCTCCACAGATGGCAAAGGYACCTTGAGCGTCAAATGCTTGCGGCAGAGTTTTCAAGATCTGTTCGAAGAACAAGTAAGTTATCGTTCCTATCCCATGTACACTCATGCCATTGAAAACAAGGCGGCAACCCTATCCCGACAATACAACACCATTCCAGCATCCCTCATCTTATCCTCTCCTAAACACACCCCTGGGCTCCCACCCCTCTAACCCCGCTCCACTCACCAGACACCTCAGCTCCTTCTTGCCCAACTCCTTTTCATCCATCCCATCAAGCATCCCTGCAACAATCCCCCTCAACATCTCCGCCGCAACCTCCGCCTTCGCCTTCACACTATCAAAAAACTCCACCTTGATCGCAAATCCCTCCCCCTCCTTCTCCACAAACCCGCTAAACTGCCTCCAATCCCTCTTCCTCGCATCAGCCTCCTCCCAACCCTCACCACACTCTTTCCCCAATCTGAGACACAGCCTCCAGTAAACTCCCTCAAGCCACAAACAATCGACACTCCTAATCGTCAGTTCGCTCACATGGTCAATCCAATACAGACACTGCGTCTTGAAGTCTTCATTCCAAGCGGGGAACTTGACAATGACGCTCTTGAACAACGTGGGCAGGATTTCAACTCTCAATTGGCGGCAAGTTGTGGCTAGGGGCGCAATCTCCCCTAGTCCGTGGTCGGGGAGACTTTTGGAAAAGGTTGTCCAGTCAAGGCGGAAACAGCGCCGTGGTGAGCGGGGGTTGGTGGGATGGAAGGCTGTGTTGTGGGAGAGGTGGTCGTAGATCAGCCAGCGGACCTCAAGAGGCAGGGTGGTAAGATTGTGCTTTTTGTCTTGCAATGTGTTAGAGTCTGAGTGCTCGGTTGGCGTAAGGATGGTACCCTTGTGCGAGATGTCATCCCCGTCTGGACCCTCCATGTCGACTGCTCGGAAGACTTGGAAGCGGTCCAGGAGTAATCGATGTGGGAGGAAGCGTGAGAGGTTCATGCTCTCTCCCCTACTTGGAGAGATACCTACCTAAGTAATAACCAGGGTGTTGGGAGCATCATGTGCTCGGTACGCTCGGAGCGCCCTGAGCACTACCATGGGAAGGCGGTCAGAAGGCTAGGTCGTGGAGTCGCGGTAGAGTTCACAGCCGGTGACAACACACCCATTTGAGGTTTATTATACCTGAGGTTTCTATTCTTTGTGCATACGTACATACATGACATCGTTGACCATACAGTTTCGTTTCCAACACTCATCGCAACGCGCTGTAATTCGCTTCAGGAAATAGCACCCTGCCACTCGTGTCTCCTGGTGTATTTGCACCCAGAATGCCAGTAGGAGATAACGCGCTCGGAGCATAGCTCGTATCGTACGCCGGCGCCGTCGCAAGCTGAGAGTGGTAGCTTGTTCGCCTTCCAGGGTGGGCAAGATCGTCGGAAGATTGTTGGTGGCTGAGTAACCCCTCACGATCCCCCTCGCTCTGGCCGAACTGCACATGATCATCCGCCATGTGCGCGTTCAGCTCGTCTGTGTTGGTAGACCAAACATCCTTCCCATCTTCTCCGGACAGCTCCTCTTTTCGATTGCGATCGCCAGAAGGTGCAAGCGTGACATTGACGCCGGTTTTACGGAACTCGAGCATAGCTCGGACGGAGATGTAGCTTGTCGCGACGAAGAGGAGAAAGATGACCACCGCAAAGCCCACCGTCGCCTTGCTGACGGTACACTTGGACTCGCTACCAAATGCGAAAGCTGCACATCCCTTCTTTACGGCGTCAGCGCGTGAGGAGAGTGCACCCGTGTCCCGCCTAGTCTTTGTGTCCTGCCCCTTCTCGCCTTTTCTGATTCCCTGTCCATTCCACACCGCGACAGCAATCGCAGCAGCAGACCAGAGCAAGGCGAAGAGCAAATCAATTGTAGTGTAGGCGTAGACGTTGTTCAATCGCCAGAGTCGAGACCACAGCGGGCCAATGGTCATGTAGAGGATGGCTGGTAGTGTGAGGAAGCACTGTACACAATCGTCAGCGGCGTGGATGAAAGGTTGATAGAGGGCATCCTCTCCATACCAGTGCGAAGTAGAAGCCCGTCTGTCCTCCATATCCTCCCGACTTGGTCATGACGGCGAGGGTCAGACATCCGGCGACGAAGACTAGCACCGCCTGAATGCCATGCAGCGCGGCTTTTGCTCGTTGAAGTTTGTTCTGTGGAAGACGCATGTTGAGAGGTGAGGCAATGTGATGAGCGACCTACCGAGTTGTGGTATGCTGATAGTTGTTGTTTGAGATGGCTGAGAAGTGGGCTTTTTGCTTGGTCTCAAAGTAAACAAAGTGCAGCCTCAGACAGGGATCCACGCGTCGACACTGCCTCCCAAGGCAACGAGGCTGATTGTCTGGCTTCGCAAATGCGGAGACATTGTGTGAGATTCTATTGTCGTTGCGCTGGTAGAGCGAGACGTACATGACGGAGGAAACATAATGGACGACGACAGACGATGCTGGGATGCTAACGGGCGTGAAAGATGAGATCAAAGACTCTCATCTCGTTGCCGCCAAGAGTTGTCGATCTCGCCAAAACATTCTACCGGAAACCCRCAAACCTCCTTCTCCAGCTGGACAGCTGGCATGTGATGTACAATCTAATTATCATCTCCACCCCGTGCTGCACCGCCAGAACATTTTTTTTTGAGACAACAAGACACAACATCCAAACGTAGTAGAGATAAATCGATAACACTACCCACTATCATGGCGAACATGGACCCGGCAGAGACGTTCACGATGCTTCCTCTGAGCATCGATGCAGCAACAAAAGCCATATCTACCTCCGATCCATCTCTTGAGGAGGACATTGAAGAGCTGAATCGCATGCATCGCGCGTTCATTTCCTTGGAATCGCCACATCAAGTGCCCGCGCCACCTGCGCCCGTTCACCCAAAACGCAGCGTGCAAATCACCAAACTCCGCGAATCGGGCAATGCATCATACAAAAAGGGCCAGCATGGCGAAGCATTGAAGATGTATGATTTGGCTATCAAGATGGCATTGGAGAGACCTGCATGGGAAGCCAGTGGACTGGTGCGGGAGGAACTCAGCACATTATATGGAAACCGCGCGCAGGCACTCATGGGACAGCAAGCATGGGCAGAGGCGGCAGTGGACGCAGAAACTGCGGTGGAGATGAAAAAGGTCGGCAATGTCAAGGCTTGGTGGCGGAGAGGACAGTGTCTGAAGGAAATGGGAAGGTTTGAGGAGGCCGCCGAGTGGATCAAGACTGGTCTGGAATTTGAAAGAGCAGGACCCGATAGGCAGGGCGTTGGCGAGATGGAGACGCTGCAGAGGGAGTTGGCCAAGGCTCTAGGACAGGAGTGAGTTCGATGCTGATGAGGGCGAATGTCGCATGTCGCATGATACGTCCTGGCCTGAAACTCGGAAGCATGCGCCACGAAGGCCAGCTGGAATATCAACGGCCWAGCATCGTGTTGATCAGCGTCATTGGAGATGAGGATCACCTTCTGGCACTCGCAGACTGCTGGACTACCTGCAGTTGCGGTCACTGTGTTTGGACGCACTGCGATCAGCAGAGGGCTTCTCGCGTGGCCGTTGTCCCGTGGCCGCAGACGTGCGCGATTTCGAGCGCTTCCGCCTTGTCCGTCTTGTTGGATATGGCGTACAGGGGTAGCAGACAGCTTATAATGCACGCACTGCTATCAACATCCTTCATTTACCACGGCACGTGACGCCAAGATGAGCCCAAGTCGAACAAATTCTCGGGCCTAGCAAGGTAACTCCAACATCATTCTTTTCGCCATTCACACATTTTTTCCATCTTGTGCTTGACTTGGTTGGCAATGCCGCTACAGGAATCCGATCTGATTTTCTCAAATGCCGCCTCTGCATTGAGAACCGCTTTAGGAGATCTTAAACGTTCGAATCTAACAATCAAAAATCGCCTCAACTCTATCAAGCGAGACTCAGTATTCGTCACAGACGTCGCAGACTTTTACCAACTACCACTGATAGCGAACGAGCGGTGCGGGAGCTGGTACATCCCACCACATCGGAAAGTCGGAAGCGCATACTTCAAGTCCACGGACGGGCACTTTGGGCAATGGATGTTCAGTCTAAGGAGGCTGAACTTTCAGGTCCTCGACGTCGTTGGCGAGCATGGAGGGTACATTGAAAGTTTTCAATGAATTCTTGCCTGTATTTACTGATTACTGAACGTAGATGTGTTATCGTAGACTCCACGAGACGTGGGAAAAGCATGCCAGATGCCTTGTCGAAAACGGCACCCATTTGGATCACTGTGTTGAATCGTCTACTCTTCCCGAATGACACATCATGTCACGATCTAGAGACTCCCTCGGACGTAGTATCCCCATCAGAGCATGCACAAATCGAAGCTCGAATCGAATCACATCTCCATGCCGCCCAGTCTCTGGATCTTGACCTTGCATCACTTCGGACCAGAATCAATAACAAGCCCATGGCTATCACTTGGCAGAGACCTGGAGATCCATTACTTTCATCTCCTCTCTCAGAGACCAATCTAGTTGTGCTCTGCACGGCGTCAAATCAGACCAGTAATGACACATCCGCGAATTCGTCATACGTACAAGGCGCTGCGGACGACCCTGAGAGCTGGTCTCTAGGTCTTGATGCTGCGACTTTCTGGTCACACAATGAGTCCCTGCTTGCTGCCTCAGAGGATGAACTTCCAGACTTGATAGAATCGCTGCTGGTCCAAGGCGCCGCCAATCCGGCAACACGAACGATGACTTTGATCAAGCCGACTTCAAGTCTCTGGATTGGGAAACCAAACGAGGCGACTTTGCACTCCGCAGACTTTGACGTTGTGATCTCTTGCACAACAGCGGCTTTGCCTGTACAGCCTACGAGCAATGAGGACGGCACTCCAATTCCAATCAACCTCATCTGCACCTCCGGCAAAGTAGGAAGTCGACAACTACGACACGAACTCCCCAAACTCCTGCAACTTCACCATCTCCTTTCCAAATCCCCGCAACTCAGATTGTTGATAACATGCGAGACTGGAAAAGATCTCTCTGTGGGAATCGCATTAGCGGTTCTGTGTCTCTTCCACAACGACGCAGGCGAAGTACAGAGTACAGTTACGACCGAAGGGATCAACAAGGATTTCATCAAGAAGAGATTGAGCTGGATCATGGTTTCCATGCCAGATGCAGCTCCCAGTCGAGCTACGCTGCAGAGTGTTAATGCGTTCTTGATGGGGTGATGTTTTGGGTGTGGCAGTCTTCTGCATGCTGTTGAGTGTCCAAGTCTATCCACCTCCACCTGAGAACGGAATCGGATGGTCATGTTCAAGGATCACGGATGGTCTCCGCAACTCATTATTATATGAGAGAGAATCCGCGCGGGCAGGGTCCTGGCGTTCACGAACAAAGACAACCATTTGCACACGAAGTTCCTGCGACGGGGCTCCATGTTGACACCTCTGGACGCCCGCTCGGCTTACAGGATACGGCTTAAGCCCAATACGAACACAAAAAGCACTCCAAAACTGACAGCCTCAAAGACTTGTATTCATGAATCGCTATACTCTTTATTTGTTGGTCCTAACCCAAGCATCATCTCTAGCCGGCCTTGGAGTTCGAGTTATCCGCACAAGACCATGGCGATGTCCTGCCCTTGTCATTGATGATTCCAAGGATAGTGCTGTATGTACCCGCCACCATYACAAATGTTCCAATAATGATGATGAAGAAAGCCCACGAGATCCCAAAGTACCATCTCTTTGTCCTTGCTGATGGAGGGCGGTTCCAGTTATCGTAGAGGTACATGCATCCCATAGGCTGGAAGGACATGAAGGTAGCGAAGAGAGCACCGACCAAAGAGATCAGACTGCTAAAGACTGGGATCGCGGAGCCTAGGATGTAGCCGACCAGGGTCACTCCTCCGGTACAGCTCAGCCAGGCGATCCAGTGTGTTGGGGTGTTGGCGGTCAGATGCTTAGTACCACGCATGAAGCGCATGAAGAAGTTCTTGGAAGGAAGATGAACGAAAAGCATGCAGCTAGCGACCAGTCCTGGAAGTGCGAGACCGTAGCAGACCTTCTTCATCAGGACTCCAGCGGATCCAAGGGCAGGAGACGCAACGTATGATCCACAGAAGTAGTATACAATGATACCGACCACGAGGTATACGGCGGCGACGGCGGCCTGGGAAATGACCAATGACCGGGTGTAGAGGCGTGTGTCACGCATCTCAGAGGCGATGGAGAAGAAAGCTGGCGATCCTGCGAAGGCGAAGATCATAGTACACACAGCACTCATCGCCTCCTCGAAGGTAGGCTCTCCGATGAGCTTGTAGTCGGATTTGTACACGCCCGTTTGAGGTGCGGCTTCTGGACGATCCTGAACAGCAACGGCAATTGCAAGAGTAAAGACTAGTGTCTATTAATAAGTATGCTCCAACGTGGAAAGTGGAAAGACATACCGGCGCTGAGAATGCCAAAGACACCGACCCACGCAATCCAAGCAACCTTGCCGAGTGTCTGGATGCTTCCGAATCCGAATCCGATAATGGCAGCCACGGCAACGAAGACTGCAGTACAGGTACCATGAGTGGACAATGAGTTGAGACCAATGGAGATTCCCAGCATGGCCGACGCTGAAAGCATCATGAAGTCTGATGTGCTGGTCAGCGGAAGATCCGAAACGAATAGGCGCCTCACTTACAGATGTTGAAGCCCCAGTAGAGGACTTCTCGTCCTATCCGGCCACCCATCAGGAAACCCGCATCGTCGATGTTGTAAACCTCAGGGTGGAGCAACTTGAATCTCCCGACCATCCATCCGGACCTAAGAAGGACGTCAACAACAGCGTTCGATTGCAAGATCTATCTTTCTCATACCAAGTAGTCATCGTAGCCACGATGACAAGAATGATCACACCTGGAATCAGACCGAGAGTGTGAAGGACAGAAGGAATTCCGAGTACACCCAATCCGATCTGAGTCTTCATCATGATCACGATCGTTCCCATCCAGCCAACATCGCGGTAGTTTGGTCCGTCCTCACTGATCTCTCCAAAGACTGCATCATGGGTGGTGGAGGTGTTTGTCAGGTCCTCCATACCACCCTTCTCCGAGATGTCCTCGTGGGCATGTTTGTTTTCGTAGTCCATCTTGTCTAGGGGGTGGAGCGGGCCACGAACACAACACGAAGWGCAGATGTTCGAGAACGACGAAGGATGTGGACGTAAAGGCAGGATCCAGAGCCTCTATATGGAAACTCTGGAGTAATATCGCCGCTATTACTTGATAGTTTTATTTGGCCCATGGGGTCATGCATGGATGATATCTGATGAGCACAGGGTCAGGCAATAGGTGGGCGCGAGCATGGATGATTTCTCATAGAGTGGTCCGAAGTGAAACAACCGGACGTATAGTGCCTAGTAGAGTCGTGTGCGTGCGTGGGTGCACTGTGGGTCAGCAAAATGGACATCGTCTGTACTTGCTATGTTGGGCCATGTTTGAGCATCCCAAGCTCTTTACGACATGGGAAACCGTTGTTGCTGACAACATTGGGAAGGAAGCCCAGGTACAGCCACTGAGCCACATTCGATTGTCAAATCGCGCAACTGTCCCAATGCGAGGTATCCATGCCAATGACACATCGGTGATCGGACCGACGTGCTTTTGTGGCCAGACCAGCTAGTTTTCGACTCTAAGGCTAGCGTCTTCCTGATCCTACATATGCAGGTCGATATGCAAGTGGAGCGGTGGGCAGAAGTTCGGACACTAGGGTATGACATCGACGTTGAAAAGCCAAGAGACGCAAGCAACAGGAGCTGTTGATTCGTTCGGAGCATTGCCGTTTGCGATCCTTGTTAGGTGTCGTCATATTCGGTATAGGGTTGTCCGAAGCAAAATCTCAAGGAATAGGAAATGAGAGATGCAGATAGTGTTTTTACGATAACACATGTCGTTCAGAGGTTAGACGCGGACGATTGAACGAAGGACGTACGGTTGTTGGCATTCGCCATCGCTTGTCGCGAGAGATCGTAGATGTTGCCGACTGTGAACATTCGAAGTTCGATCCGAAAACGACAAGCATCGGCGCATTCTTCAGCGAAGCATGTCGTTTCTTGAATGGCTAAAGTGGCTTCGCTTGTAAGGCTTAGGCCGTGGATGAGACAAAGAACCGACCATCGTCGAGCTGTTGCATCAACACGGATGATGCCCGTATCCGTGCCAGCATCCTGAGGCTTGGATTGAGTTTTCACAGCGTGTTCACGTAACGAAGTGCGATTGACACAGCGGACTGCCATCCTCAACATGACCGGGAACCTTGCCAAGCTGCCGTCTGTCCAGGCTGCGCATTCCAGAAACGCGGTATCCCCTAGACGCGATTTGATCCCAGTGGAAAGCCTCAACAGGATTTCAGTCCGTCGCCGGAAGAGGATGTGACGTGGAAAGAATGCAGGGAGTAAGCGGAGACCGACCTGAGATGGTATGGAACAGCTTGGCAGAACTTTGTATAGTGATCGCTAAGGCGTAGGGCTGATCACTGCCGATACCGTACGTAAGCATCCCTGTCCGCACGTCTACCCGAGTTGATGCTCCTCGATCATGTCCCCTAAACCGTTGCGCAAACTACTCGATATCATCCCATGTTGCGGCAATGGAAGACGAGATCGTGTAATTTCGCTGGATGATTCCTCRGCCAGCCGTCGATCAAGCCGACAGGGTACTTTCTCGTATGCGTGGCTGAGAGTCTGAGACTGCGTGTCAGGAGCGCGACGAGGTAGTAAGGTATAGTTGTCGGGCGGTCCCCAGAGACGATGTCGTGTCGTACATACCTAGAAGCTTCCCCTCAAGCTTCTCCTTTGACCTCGGCCTCCTGCTTTCTCTCCATCTCCAGCCTGCGCTTCTCCTTTATTTCAGCGCACTTCTGCGCACATTCGGCGACGAAGGCTTTCATCTCGCCATGCATAGCATCAATCGCAGCCCACTGGCCAGCCTCTGCTCTGCTCTTGCCCTCTCCCTTACCCAGCAACTTCTTCTCGACACCATAGCCAGTCAGATAGACGGCTATGAAATGTTGACACTGGCCGATCTTATCGCCCTTGAGCTCTATCATATCCCGCCACGGCTCGTACGTGATACGGACCTCCTTGCCTGACCATGTGAGACGCTTGTTGAGTTCCTGCTTGGCTTCCGGATTGTAAACAGTGCGAGGATCAACCTCGACCTTGTTGGCGGGAGTTGCATTGAGAAGGTTTGCGTTGTCCTTCTCCCACGCCGCCACTCGTGGCGCCCACAGAGACACTGCCCACTTCTCCGCAGCTGTGTAACCATTCTCCTTGTCGCTGAGCACCACCGCGGCGAGATAAGCCTCGAACACGTCAGCAAAGACCTTGTTCAAGCCTTTGTTTCCCTTGGACGAGGTAGCAGCAGCCTCCATGTGCCGGAACGAATCCACCTCGATCCGCGTGTCGAAGCCGTAGGCACGTGAGTACTCTGCTAGTGTCTCGTTCTTGACCAGCGACTCGCGCAGCTGTGACATTCTGCCAGCATTAAGATGGGGGTAACGATCGAAGATGAGGGTTGAAGCGAAGAGCTCAATGTATGCATCTCCAACGAATTCGAGGCGTTCATAGCTTAGGTCTTGAACGGCACTGGATTGAGAGTACTTGGCACATGACTTGTGGATGAATGGCGCTGCGGCAAGGTGTGGGGCCACTTTTGGCAGCGGTGGGAGCGGGTTGGGGAGGACCGGCGTATTGGGAAGTGTCGGCGCGTTGGTCTGAGATGATGTAATGTTCCGCTTCTTGTGCGGCGTCTGATAGTGATAGTCATCGGGAGCCGCGCGTTTCGACATGGCGTGGCGATAAAATGGAGAGATGTGGTGATGGTGGTGAAGAAGGAAGAGCAAAGCGGCAAGCCCTGTTGCGGGATGCCGCTGCCGCCGGAGCTGCTTCCGGACGGGCGTCTGCAGGGCCAGATTTAACCTTTCTCCGATTCGACTTCAACATTTGACAAAACATCAGACGTTGATTTCCCAATCATAAAGATGGAGTACGACACCAAGACACGTATGTGCTCCGGAATATACCACACAGAGGATCCTTACTGACCAACATTCAGCACTCTCAAGCACCAATGACCCGACTTCGTTTGCATACATATCTGCGAGAGAACGATGGCCAATCATCTTGGTGAGTTGATTCCAAAACCGCCAACCACGAACAGGAATACTTACATTTACCAGACTGGAGCGATTGATGATGTCCATCGCGCTACATCGAAAGCAACCGAGCCTGAAAAGACCCAGGWGGGGAAGAAAATAACCGAAAGCCTTGCGGCATTGAAGTATGAGCTGCAGCATAACCGTCAACTCACGTAAGTATTGCAGTAATCTTCTTTCGCCACCTTCTAACAATCAAAGGCCACTCCCTGATGATGGCGGATCCGATATCGCGGCCTACAACAAAGAGCTAGAGCAGCGAGACAACCCCAGATGGCATGATGTAGCATGGCTTTACGCCGAATGCTATCTCTATCGACGACTCGCAACTATCTTTGCTCAAACACAGCACTGGAAGAGATATGACGTTTTCTCCAAGCAGAAAATGTCCACTTTCCGCTCTTCACGACCAGCGGTCCTGGAGCTTGCTGCTCGATACAATGATCTCATCAAGCAGCTGCAGTCCGACAAGTCCTCACTGGCATCGGCCTCTGAAGAGGAGCGCGAGGCAGCTGAAAAAGTCCTATTCGTGGAGATGTGCGAGATATGCCTGTGGGGTAACGCGACTGATCTTTCGCTCCTCACAAATCTCAGCTACGACGATATCCAGAAGCTTCAGGGGTCCGAGGCACGCAAGGCAAACGAGAAGAACATTCTTGTAAACAACTTCGCTGAAGCTTTCTCTTGCCTCAAAACGGCCCAGAAGTCTGGGGTTAAAGAGCGTAGGGTCGACATCGTCCTGGACAATGCTGGTTTCGAACTTTTCGTCGACCTTGTCCTAGCTGGCTACCTCCTTCAATCTGGACTTGCTACGCATATTGTCCTGCACCCGAAGAACATTCCTTGGTTCGTTTCCGATGTCCTACCAAAGGATTTCTCCGACCTGCTCACTGTTCTTGTGAATGCGAAGAGCTTCTACGAAACTCCTTCCGAGGAGGACGAATCTCAAGGTGTTACACCACAGGCTCTTTCGGCAAAGGAAGCCCAAGATTTGCAAGCGTTGTTTGAGAACTGGAGCACACTCTATGCCGAAGGCAGCATTGTTCTCCGTCCGAATGGATTTTGGACGGAAGGTGGCAGCTACTGGCGTCTTCCAAAGACAGCTCCAAGCTTGTACGAGGACCTCAAGGAGAGCGAGTTAGTCATCTTCAAAGGCGACTTGAACTACCGAAAGTTGACAGGTGACGCTGTGTGGGATCCGACAACAAGTTTCGCAGAAGCACTCGGGCCGATGGTATGTTGAATGACCGGTAGTAAGGCTCAATTGACTCTACTAACCCATATTGACAGGGCCCTAGCTCTGGTGTTCGCGTCCTCGCTTTGCGGACGTGCAAAGCAGATGTTGTTGTCGGCCTCCCTAAAGGCGAAGACGAGCGGCTGAGAGCAATGGAAGGAGGAGGTGGCGATAGCGGCGCGAGAAAATGGGCCTGGAGTGGCAAGTGGGCTGTTGTCAGCTTCAACGATGGCAAAGCTTGAACGAAGCAAGGTTTGAATATGCGTGGAAAGTACATGCTGACCATAGATAGACCGGATAGATCCGCAAAGCCATGAACCGTCTGACACAGTGTGCGTTGTCGCCCGTGTGCAGCACTTCTCAAACCGGCTAGTGTGATCAGGCTGTTTGTGTCGCGTCAGGGGTACACGAGCACAAACCGTCAGAGCTCTGTTTGCGACAGGTTCCCCTCTTCTTCGTCGATCTGACAGCGTGCTGCCACGATCGACTTCAATCAATCACACGCACCACAAAGATTGCACTTTCTCAACATCAAAAATGTCGTTCGCCAACAATACCCCACGATATGAAGCTTTGAATTCAGTAAGCCCGCCCAAAAGAAAGACTGCGTGTTGAAAAGTCCACGTCGAGGAGTCCATCGACCGTAGTATGTATAAAAACACTGATATATCTTGATCAGGATGAAGCCCGTCTCCCAGATGGCATGGAACGCGTCGGCTACGATGAACAAACTTCCACATACACCTACCTAGACCACACCGACAACAGCTACTGGGAAGGGGAGGCAGGATCCAGATATGGTGTATTGCACCGCCAAGGACATCCCAGGGACCCCGTGTCGCAGAGCTATAGCTCATCAGCCAAGGCCGACTGTGCGTACTTTTTGCCATTTGCGTTGATCATATGTATGGTCTTGGCAACGTTCTTCTGGTATGTGGGAGGAACGAGAAATGTCAAGGCTGTGCATTGTGGTGAAGGGTGGGAGAGCTATGTGCCGGTGAGGGGAGATACTTGTTGGAGTATTGTAGATGAAAGAGGTTTGAGCGTGGAGGAATTACTGGCGGGTAATCTGGAGTTGGCCTGCGGGGAGTTGAAGGCTGGTTGGCCGATCTGTGTGCCGAGTGTGAGAGAAGGAGGATTGTATGTGAGAGAAGGATGATTGTAGGTGAGAGAAGGATGATTGTATGTATCTCCTAAACGATGCCCATATACGGCACCCTGAAGGCCGAACGAATAAGCTGTATCTCATCTCCAAAAGCTCGCCAACTTATCCCTCGTTTTCTCGAAGAGGCCGAGGTAACAGGTCAGGCTCATCTGAATCTGCCTCTCGTAGCAAGATTGGACCCTGGAGATCACGAATGCTCCAATCCTAGAGATGCATCTCATCGATCTTTGAAGGCTCAACTGGCTTAAGCCATGGAACTGGTTGTGATCTTTCATACTCGAAACCCTTTCATTGCGTGCGTCCAGCCAGCCCGTGTGACCTTGGGAAAGTTGGCAATTTGACCCTTGTCATTGAGAAGGTGCTTCCATTTGGGGAACGAGTCCTGAAGCTTTGCCCCGACACTTTGCTGGCAAGACCAAGACTGGCAAGGCGAAGGTTGAGGTGACTTTCAAGATGTAGAAGCCGGACAGAGCTTTGGTATGTCAGCAAGCAGATGGTCCAGACTGGTTGGCATGATCGCGGTGCTGATAAAGCGTCTCGGAAGTGTCCCAAGATGGTGKCTGCTGCATGGAAGATCGTGCTGAATAGCTCCCCCTTGCGCTTGATCCAGGCTCCAGCTCATGCCGAGCTTCCAACGCTGTCGATTCAGCTTGGTGATCAGAAAGTAGCTCACATAACGGCATAGACACGACCTCTGCATGCCTTATCTTTCTCAGACCTAATCGTCCTTTGGTCTGAATGGAAGGGAACAGAGTATAAGCCACTTGATACTGTCGATCTGGACTTGTCCGATGTAATGCCAGCATGTATGATGAGTCCAGAACTTCTCCGGTATTTGGCCATACGAACGTATATTCGCTTGAGGACCTCGTGAGGTCGATCTTCAAGCGCAAAGAAGCTTCCATAAGTTGGCTCGATTCATGCCGAAAGACGGGAAGCCAGGCATGCTCATCAGGTAGGCATGGATCTGGGTGAAGATCCTTTGCAGTGTTGATCAGTTGGCTGATATAAGGACGCAGGATGACGATGAGCTCTTCGCTTAGACTGATCGAGATGTCTCTGATGAACCTTGCATTGTCCGGACTTGCAACGATCTTCTCCGCGATCAAACTATCCCAGCGCTTGCGGGCTACTCTAGTGCTCTCTGGATCGGGTAGAAGAGGGCCGAATATGATTTCTGCTAAAAGTGTCATTCTCATTAGCTTGGAAAGGAGCAGACATGCGGATATGTACTCACGATGAACGCTTAACCCAAGTTGCTCATATACCTTGGGCTGCAAAGCATGTCCATCCATCAGCACTCGACTGTGGACGAATGAAGCGACCAGCGCACGCATACTGTCAAAAGAGGACATCTCTTTCCAGTGTTGTCCACAGTCTGTACCCCAGCATTTCCGGATCAGAGCATGTAGATCGCGTGAATCCGAACACGCAAACGGGCCGCTATCTCGAGTGGTCCGCGGCAAGGAGATACTAATAAAGAAGTTGAGGACCAGATCTTGAAGCTGCCGGGAGATGTCGCTGACAATGGTTTTTAGGTTGTTCAAGTCGAAATCGCTTGAAGCGGAGGACTGACTTGAACGTGCGAGATCCTGAACACGGGAGGCCTTCACAGCATGCTGAGGTATCACGATATCTGCGTGTTCCATACTTGATCGCGACGCTTGAGATCCTAGGGTCGTTACAAGGCTCTCGCTCYGGGTCGAATTGGCTGGAGGGCCAAGAAAAGGCTCCTCTACGTGGCCTATATGCGATATCATATCGGCATTCAAGCTGGCGTTTGCTGTCTGATTGGGCAGGAACGTTTTTCTACGACTCCTGCATCGCAACGAGAAGCGGTGCGAAGAGACACTGGCCCTGCGCTTGGGACGGTCAGCAGTCGCCGTGGATAGTAATGATGCAAGAATGGCATTCGTTCGTTCTTCAGCTCTTTGTGTTGCTGCTTCTCGTTTCGAGACTGCTGTATCTTCTACGGGCATTCTGGTCTTTGCCTTTGGCTTGCGGACGGAGGAGAGCACATCAGACCCAGAGCTCGAGCGATCTTCTCCACCCGAAGAGTCCCAAGTCAAGCAATCCCGGTTGTTTGGCGACAGTTGGGGCTGGTTTGTTGAGGTATGACATCCAGGAGAACCCGAGGAGTTGGATTCATGGCTTACAAACTTCGTCGAGGATGAACCTGACCCTTCGTATCGTCGAGCAGGCGGCACGGCTTCGGGCTTTGGAGACGCCGACCACGATTCCATCTTATCCAGATCTGTGAGGACGGAGCCATCGCGGCGTGGTTCTGAAGTCTCGTTTCTGTCCCTCTCTGTCGCTGTAATCGCGTGAGAATTGAATCCAATAGTAGAATACGTTCACTTACTCAATGCTAGGTGGCGAGGCCCAAGACTTGAAGTGGCATCTTGAACCTGCCGATGGAAATGTACCACTGGGAAACTCCCGGCAATTGGTAGATTGGAATGCTCAGTGTATGAAAGATATGTTTTTCGAATGTTCTCAAAGGCGGCTTCTCTCAATGCAGAGCTTCCATGGAGCCACATCGCCTTGGATGAAGCTAGACTTTTGCATGATCGGCGCGAACGGCTAAGGAAGCTGTAGAGCCGTTTTTCCAAAGTAGTTGCTTCAAGGTCTCTGAGAGGCCTTTGTTTGCCCTCAAACTCTCTAGATTGTAGAGAGTATTGCCGAATGAGCAGAGTGAGTGAGTGCTGGATGCTGATAGCACTCCCATACTTGTAGTCTGCGTCTGAAGATTCGTGTTTGACCGCGTCGATGTCAGTGAAGACCACGAACATTGCTCTATGTACAGGACCATGCGTTTGCATCGAAGATGGTCTGCCTGAGTTCTTCTGGTCTGAGCCAGTAAGAGAGGCAGTTGCAGGCATGTTTGTAGAAGCGATAGAGCACACAGAAAATGCGCAGGGCGTTATTGATGAGAGTAGTCAGAGAGATTGTAATAATGCAGCTACAGGATTGAGTCAGGAGGGCGTCGTCCACCGCCCAATGGACATATCCCCAGGAAGCAGTGTATGGCGCTGCATCTGCACCTATCAGAAGCAGGTCTCACAAGCTGCATGCTTGTTTGTGTGGCTGTCCGATATTTGTTTGCGCATGTTTCTCAACATAACGGGTCCTTGCATTGGGTGTTCATGGCATCCAATCCCTGATGCATGATTCTGATGAGGAATGCCAGGTCGACAACTCTCAGACCATCGTAATTGCTAGCGCGGGAGGTGCAAAGCTGTGTAAGATCTGAGTCGTGACGAAGAAAGAATGAGAGGAGGTAGGTGAAGTCGCGGCGTCCGCGTCGGCATCGGCGCCGGCGGCGGGAGAGTAGATCCATGTACCTAATTTCCGCCACCTCCACCACCTCACCTCACCTCACCTCACTCCCAAACTTCCTCCAAACCGTCCTCCGAGACAGCCGAGTGGCTCTTCGGGATCGTGTGAAGGCAACGATTGGCGTAATGATGCAAACGATGCACCGCCTTAACATGGCCACAACACGGCCATTGCATGACGCGAGAGACTCAGAGATGCCGAAACATGCTCGCGGCTTCTCAAGCCAGCGGGAAACGCATACCTGCACGACCCAGCCAATTTTCAGGAACATGCATGAGCCTGGAAGGAATAGTCAACCCGTTGCCTTTATGTCGAACATGCAGCTGTCGAAACTTTCACCAATTTTACCCGCGAGGGACAATCAGCCGTGGCCTATTCTGCGATTTCTTTGGAGTATGGCTTGCTGTGAGCTCCCGAACAATGAACACGTCCTATTAGCACCATGGATATCAGCACCTGTGCCCCTCAATGTTTGTTTTGGGGAAATCGTGCAGCCCGAGCATGTCTTATTGAAGACTGAAACCGAGAACAGACGAGACGAAGGGCTAGTATGAGTCCTCATTGCCATCCGTTTGCGTTCACCCAATACCTTTCATCTGTCTGAAAGTAACCTTCCGAGGCTCCTTCTCTCTTCCTCCCCCCTGTATAACTTCTCATCGCCACGGCATCACGCAATATGGGCGACCAGTCAGAGATCCAACGAGATCGCGATTATCTTCGCGTCGTCATTGATGATGGTAGTGGCTATCTGAAGGTAGAAGCTCAACACGTTCGTCCCGGAGAATCACTCCATGAAGTGCCCACAGATCGCATTCAGCTACAAGAAGGTACATGTGCWCTGAGAGGAGTGTATCTGCGAAATCTGCTTACACCTTACAAAGGAGAAGACAAGATAAGACAAAAGTACATCATCGATGGCGACATGCTCCACTGTGGAGAGATTGAGGTTGCGAACTGGCTGCAGGAGCACCCCACTGAGGCCAGGAGAGTCATCGAAGTATATGTATTGCTGCTGCAATGTCTGAATCACGCCTGATAGATTCTAGCTTTCAAAACTGGCGATGTGCCCTGAATATTCAAATGCACCAGCGACTACACGGTTCTTCAATGCGATCGGAGCCTGCTGTCATGGTCAAATCGGAGACATTCACGATTTCAAATTATGGGTGTATAAATGGATACGCAATCGCATTTGTGCCTGGTGAGTGAACTGATCTTGATACAATTTTTTGTTATAATATGCGCCTCTCCACGCTCATCGTTTCCCGCGCGAGGCGTCTTCGCAAGCCGTCCAGCCGATGCATCTGGTGGTCTTGCGTTCACCCAAGTTGCAGAAGGAATGCTAATGCTCCTCAGGTACAGAGATCTATCCCCAAAAGGACACAATTATGAGGGTCAGTACTGGGAAGTCATTCAGATTGAAACGAGTAAGTCTGCATGCGGGCCACTATGGTACTTGGAACTGACGCCATCTCAGCCATTACCGTCCCAGCAATGTGGGATGACCACCAATGCGGAATCATCCGCAATGCGGCCAAAGAAGCGGGCTTCCTCAATCTACGTCTGCGTCTTGAGCCACTCTGTGCAGCTGCCCGTGAGATGCGTTTGCTAAAGGAACGCGGGTATCTCAAAAACCATGACTCGTTTCTGTGGCACGATATCGGTATGTTAACATTCCAAAGACCTACAAGCAACGCTAAGTCCACCTAGGGCACGCCACGATTGACTTTGCTCTTGTTCGCATCGAGGAATCGTCTGTCGTTGGTCAGCCGCCCGATCTCGTCGTTGTCGGGAAGCCCCATGGTAGTCTCCTTGGATCACATGTAATACATGATCTAGCCTGGAATTACATCAAGACTTGCTTCGAGGTCGAGGAGTATGGAGGTCTGCAATCTTGTCTGCGATTGCTAGGTGGGATGAGCGAGGCGGAATTTGTCCGCCAGGTCACAGAAAGGATAGAAGAAGAAAAGAGACGGAGCCCTTGTCGTCCATTCACCATTTCGATCAACGCTATGGATGGTTGGTGGGTCACCTAAATATCGTATTGGCCACAACTTGCTAATCTTCCCGCTTCTTCATTTAGGTGGGATGTTCCTGAAGGCATGAAATTCCTCGACATTCGAGTGTCAAAGTAAGTGTTATACGTTGTTTCATTCGAGACTGACATCCGCCTGCTGACCGACTGTAAAGACAGGAGATTGAGAGTTGGCTGGATGCATGGACGCAGATGTTGGTCGATGCACAAACAACGTACATAGAGACGTTCGGGCCGAATGTTGTAAGTAACACAGTTGCTGCTGCTGCACGCTTTGCAGGAACTAAATGGCTGATTGTAACAGGTTGGCGGAATAGTCATCACCGGCGGCGGTGGAGCCAACAAGGTGGCCTTTGCTGGTCTGAAGAAAGCAGCATCATCAATGAACATTAGGCTGATATCTTCAGACGACAGCGACAACCCTGTGGCTAAGGGTGGACTGTCACTATACCCTACCAACGAACCAGATACCCTGCCAGTTGGATGTTGGTACGTTGTCCGAGCAGAAGAGTTCGACTATACACGCCATCCAGATGCGATCAAAAAGGCCAAAGGAGTGCCGCAGTGGAAGCGGCGTGATGGATTCAAACACCCTGTACTCAATGACAGATTGACGACACCCAGCATATCAGATGACGGCAGCTTCGAAGCTATCGATAGGCTCGCGCTTATCGCGAGAACAATGGATGTTGGCGGAAACGTCGAAGCGGTCGAAACGCCCTGCGTGACGTACAGCTTTCCGATTGAAGCGGAATGGAACCCAAGACTGGAATTCGACATCTACTTCAGCGAAAAGCATGAGCCGAATGGCAAGCCTCTGCTTGACAAGCATGGAAACATCCGGCCTGGATTCAAGGTGAGTCTCGTTCGGCTGGAGGGTAAACGCTCCATACGCTTCTCGCTGACTTCCACACACAGCGAATGCAGATGCAACTTGCAGACTTGAGCGAAGCAGACTGGGAGAGTCATGCATCAGCGCTGGAGTTTTATCAGTATGATGGTAAACAATGGTTCGTTCTCGATGGCTTTATCGAAATGACCACCAAGAAAGATCACTGGGATTTGCATGTCACGATTCTGGAGCCTGGAGAAGCGTTGCGCTTCGAGGATGCAGGTGAAACTCCATCAAAACGACAAAAGACCGCTTCCAGACGTCAAAAACATGCCGCGGACCAAAAGTTTGACGCAAAATACAATTATCGGACGCTCTTCAAGACGAAAAGATCGATCTGGGACAAGTTTTGCAGTCACAGCATCAAGAATGTCCATGTAGCTGCCCCTGGATGCGAAGAAGTCACCACTGCCAAACGCAAACCACGAACCAAGAGACATGTTGGCACTCCCCTGAGTGCAGTCACTCGCTCTGGCGGCTTGCAAGCGATGAATGGAATGATGGTAGGACCAGCTACATGCAGTGAAGAGAATGTTATTGCTGCCACACCTATGGCGAGTAATGCTCGGGCAGCGATTCCCGACGGCTCTGCTTCCAGCCCTTCAAGCGAAAAGGCGCCTTCAAACAGGAGGGGTGTCAAATGCGACAACACTTCGCGACAGAGGATGCTGCATGACCGATTTGCGTGGGTAGCGGAGAGATCTGCCACCCCTCTTCCAAGTACTTTGCATGGCATCAACCAATCCAATGGGCTCACTACGCCTCCCTTCAGCGCGGAGAAGTCTCAATCGCTGGGAAGATCTGAGGCCAGCATGAGGCAAAGCAGTGCTGTGTCGCGCCTGGAGGCGCTGCGGAATAGACCTCCTGGTTCGACGGCCGAAGACGTCTTCAGGTCGTGCGGAGTTTTGGGAGAGTAGTGCATATTGAAACGCTGACACAAGGGCTTCAGAGGGCTTCGCAAGGCATGGGAAGTGATGAGCGGCGCTTTGTTACCTGGAAGGTGGTAAAGAAAACAATACACCTGTTTCCATTGGGACGAGATCTTGTGTTCTGGAGCATCGGCGAGATCTCACATGTCGGCAGGGAAACAATCCCCAATGTTTACATTGATAATCTGGCCACCATCATGTCAATCGAACATCAGCTCCAATGTTACTAGGCCGCTCTCGTGGACAAGATCATCTTGAGAAGGTCTTCTCGGTTAATGTTGTTTACCATGGCAGAGCGGAAACCTTCCGTTGTGATCAGTCAGAATTTTGCTCCCCTTTCGGCCCTTGGGCGCACATTTTGCGGGCTTTTTGGTATCCGCTTTGGGTGCTCAGCGCTCTGTGATTGGCCGTCAAGCACTATAGCGTAAAATGTGCCGACATGCCGACGTCATGAGAATGAGGAAATGGGAGGTTTGTTCAAGACGTCAAGCTCCGAAAATTGCATGTCACTTGCATGCTCAGCGATAAGGCATGCCTTGAAATCTTCATCTTTCTCTACCGTRACCTTGGCCCCTTTCGTGTACAAGCGAAAGAAGCCGACAACGATCGATCCTTGTGCCATATCAAGAACAGAAAGAACTCCCGAGCGCAGTAGTTCTACCGCGTGGCGGCACGTCCTACGAACCCACTCTGACCAATCTGTCAAGCGAGATTTTCTCAGCTATGCGATTAGATTACTGATGTGAAACATGTCGCATTACTGAGCCTCAAAGTGCCACTTCTACAACGCTCCAAAGGTTTCTGCTGCACCATTGTTGGTTGACTGGTTCGGACCTGGCGAAACGCTTAAATGGAGWAACCAGTACCACGCGGACAAGCATCCAATGAGGATATGGCAAACACAGCAAAATCAGAGATGGATATCGAGTCCCCTACGAGAACATCCTCCACGATACCAGACTCCGAGGAACATGATCAATCCGCCCAGGATGCAACACTTACAAAGACAACCTCCGTCATCGAACAAGTATCTCTCCCGCGAGAAGCCTTGGTTGTAGGACTTATATGCCTGGCTCAATTGACAACTCAACTGGGTCTAGGTCAGGTACTGGCGATTCTACACATCATTGGAGATCACTTTGGAGTTACAGACCCTGGAATCCTGGCCTGGCTGATCGCGGGATACAGTCTCACAGTTGGTTCTTTCATCCTCTTTTCCGGCCGTCTCGGASACTTATTTGGATGGAAATTCATGCTCGTCGTGGGATATGTCTGGTTTGCGATTTGGACAATCGTCGCTGGTCTGAGTTGGTACCGCAATCACGTTCTTTTCGTGTTTGCTCGAGTGCTCTCCGGGATTGGTCCTGCGATCTGTATGCCAAATGGATTGGCACTGCTTGGCGGATTGTATGGTCCTTCGAAGAGGAAGAACATGGCATTTGCTCTGTTCGGTTCTTGCGCGCCAGGAGGAGCCCTGATAGGATATGCTTTTGCGGCCATGTTCGCCGAACTGGCCTGGTGGCCGTGGGCTTTCTTCTCGTTTGGAATCGCTCTCTTCTGCATTGCGTTGGCGGCTCAGCTTGCGATCCCTGATCCTCAAGATGAGAAGCCTGGCCTCAAAGGAAAGGACTTGATGGGAGCTATATGGGAGTTGGACTTGCTGGGGGCTGTCATCGGTATCACGGCATTGATCTTGTTCAACTTTGCTTGGAATCAAGCTCCACTAGGTGGAGTTGGCTGGAGCTCTCCATATATCATTGTAAGAATGGTCTCATCTTGTAGTGCTTGAATACACGCTGATATGTTTGTTAGGTCTGCCTGATACTGGGTTTACTTCTGGCACCGCTCTTCTTCTGGATTGAGACTAGAGTCGCTCGTAATCCTCTTCTTCCGTTGGAGGTCTTCACGAGCAGCAATGGCTTTGTCCTCGCCTGTGTAGCCTGTGGTAAGTGCATGGAGAGCAAAACGCTGCCACTACACCCGGAAAGAGTCTCTCGGGCTATTTGGTGTATTCAATCGCTAATACTGACATTATTCACAGGATGGGCAAGCTTCGGTATATGGGTCTTCTACATCTGGCAGATCCTCACCGAGATCCGTGGCGCATCGCCTCTGCTGGTCACCGCCTACCTCTCCCCGCTCGCCCTCTCCGGTATCGTAGCGGCGGTATCAACAGGAGCTCTACTACACAAGATGAAACCTGCCTGGATCATGATCATCGCGCTTTGCGCATTCATGACGAGTAGCACCCTCACAGCCACATTACCTCCACACCAAACATACTGGGCGCAGATTTTCGTATGCACTTTGATCGCCCCGTTCGGTATGGATATGAGCTTTCCATCAGCTACGCTGGTTATCTCGGACTCGGTAGCGAAACGGCATCAAGGTGTTGCGGCTTCACTGGTCAATACTGTTGTCAACTACTCAATCAGCATGGGTCTTGGCTTTGCCGGAACTGTCGAAGTTCATGTCAACCGCGGCGGGACCACTCTTGACAATCAATTGTTGGGTTTCAGAGGCGCTTTGTATCTTGGGATTGGACTGGCAGCTCTCGGTGTGCTGATTGCAATCATATTTTTGGCGAAGAGTTATCTGAACGATCATCGGGAACGGAAGAGAAGCGAGAAGCAAACATCGGCAGATATAGACGCTTGAAAGTAGAGCAATGATATACGATAATCTTATTGATATGAACCCGCGGGAGCTATGCTGGGGAATGATTCAAGATCTGAAAACGCTTGCAAGTTGCACCCTCACGCTAGTGAATTACCACGGACTCCACTGGCTTCTGCCGGATGGACACCATTCGCTCTGCCCTCAGTGAGATTTTCATATTGCAAGTCTTCATTCCTGGACTCGCCCATCTTCTGAATGTCGCGACCACCGTTCGTAAGGCGCAGGTTGTCCGCCGAAACTAGATCTTCTCCTTGAGGCGCCACCCACTTGCTGGACTGCCAGGGCTTGATCTCAAGTAAAAACATCGTGTCGCACTCCTCGAGGGATCTCCCTGAAGTTTCCGGAAGGAAGAAGTAAACGACAAACACGGCCAGCAAATTGCAGCCGGCAAAGACGTAGCCGTAAGCAAAGCCAATCTCCGCTTCAAYAAAGGGCGTTGCGAATCCAAGGAAGAAGTTGAAAGCCCAATTCGAGGCGGCGCAGAGCGCAATGCAAGAACTTCTGTATCTTGATGGGTAGATCTCCGAGGTAACGGCCCATGCCATCGGTCCCCATGTGCTCGCGAAAGCCGCAAAGAACAATGCGCTGAAGACAATCATCACGTTACCAATTACGGCATTGTTGATAGGCTCGCCTTGCGCATCGAACTCGCCAGTTTCCAAAGCGAAGTATCCTAGAGAGGCGAAGATCATGTAGCAGATGAACATCCAAGCCGCTCCGATCATAAGACACTTCCTCCGGCCAAACTTCTCGACCATGTATAGTCCTGGAAAAGTACAGATCACATTGACTGTCCCAAAGATGATCTGCGTAACAAATGAGTTGTCGAGACCAACAGCCGCGAAGATGGTGACCCCGTAGTACAGGAAGAAGTTTGCTCCTGTCATTTGCTGCAGCGCCTGAATGGTCATACCGAGAACTACTCGATAGAGCATGCGAGGACCAGTGAAGACCTCCAAGAAGCTGTGATCACCACCCTCCTCTTCAACGCGGAGCTTCTCTCGCATGTCGACCATTTGCTTTCGGACAATCTTATGTCGAGTGCTGACTCCGTGGAATTTGGCGATGCTGACTGCTGCAGAGTCCACGAAACCATGTCGAAACTCATGACGCGGAGTTTCGGGGAAGAACAAAATGCCAAACCCGAGGATTAGCGCGAAGAAGAAGCTCAATCCAACGGGAATTCGCCAAGAAGCGTCTCCTTGAATACGCTCCGTGCCAAAGTTGACCAGCTGAGCGATGAGAATTCCAATCGTGATGAAGAGCTGATAGCAAGAGACGATCGTTCCACGGACGTGAGTTGGCGCTGATTCTCCTTGATATGCTGGTACTACGACCGACAGCCCACCAATTGCGAAACCGGAAATAATACGACCGATCATCATCACATACCAGTAAGGGTACTGAGCAGCGATCTGGAAGCAATTGCCCATGATGAAGATCGTACACCAGAGAGAAACCGAGTACTTTCTCCCAAGTTTTCGAATATTGGCAACTGGTCCTGCGATGAGTGCGCCGATGAGGGTTCCGATGGAAAGCATGGCGACCAGGAGAGACGTGCGTAATGTGCTGAGACCAGGCGGTGTTTGGTCTCGAATGTCGCCGAATTGGAATCGAAAGTCATCCTGCCTTGTCAGCACATATCTTCTTTACAGTCAGAAAGAACAAACCATTTCAAGGAATCCAGAGATCTGACCGGTATCGTATCTACAAAGCAAAGGGTAGAAGGATTAGTCATGTCCGAGGCATTCTCATGGACAGAGACATGGTGTAGCTCGAGAGAACCCTCGGAACTACACTCAATGCCTTCTGTCCTCCAGTACCTTACCCGAAACAYAATCCTCCCATAGAGACCAAGATGGTCATCATAAACAGTCTCAATGTAAAGTATGGCACTTTGCTATCATCGTCAAATGCATCCTCCTTGTATGGAATGCCAGCCACGGCATCGTCGCCCACTGCTCCAGAGGATCTCTTTGACTCCGCTTCCTTTTCCATGATAAGAGTATGCCGCGTTGAAAGTCGGAACAGGCTATGGTGAAGTGGTTCTCAAAAGCGGTTGCCCCAGCTTTTGGCTTATTTTCACTTCTTCCATGCAGCGGCTCGTGGGTTAGCGTTCCATTATTTGTGACACGTGGAACGTCATATCATCTTGGGTGTTCTCCATCTGCAATCCAGTTCGGCCAATAAAGGCAATTCTGGGCACGTGGCGGATGGAACCAAGGTGCCAAGCAGAGATTGGCATATGTCATTCGCCAAGGTCCGCGGGGAGTTTGACGAAGGTCCACCTTTCGCATCGAGGTGAGGTTGAAATCGAGTGATGAGTGATGGACAGTTGAAGGATTGAGTGTCCTCATTGTGCAGGAATCGAGCGAGAAAGGTGCCGAATAACTGTGCCAACCTTGACCCACAACCGAGCACAACTCAATGATATCATTGGATCTCGTGAGATCGCGAGCGTTGTGCTTCTTGCGCATCGAGAAAGAAGCCAAAGGGAATGCAGGTTGAAAGAATGGTAAGGGTGAGAGCCGAATGATGGTCTAGGTGTGACTATAGATCTTTGGCAGCCGATCAAAGGCTGAAGCGGCCAAAGTTCCCAATGTGGATATCCGCAGCAACGGAATACTCGCCAGACAGACAGCGTGTTCAACAAATACCMGCACTCGTTTCCGTTGTAAGACTCAGGCCAAGGCAGCAGAGTTTGTTGTCCGATTGGTATCATCGAGGGTACCGCGCTGTCGTTCGAAATTTCTCCTGCTAACAGGCCTCTTCGCCACGCGACGAACGACTCTGCTAGTGAGCAGAGACTCAGCTACCTCTGACGCTCAGGCTGGATCGAGAGAGCATACCTTGGAAGGACATAGGAGGGATTTGAGACGCCCTCTTTGTTGCGCAAGCCTCATTTCGACAGCCTCGGATTGATGTCTGTCTCACATGCGGACGAGATCTGTAGCTCACATCCCATTATCGGTCTTGAACTTATCCCAAGCCTCGTTAAGCGTACTGAACACGCTGGCGCTGATCATGCGCTGCTCAACAGTTGCGTCCTGCTGAATCTACAACATGAGCCGTTAGTAATCGCAACTTCCCTACTATAAAAGTCATTTACTCACCTTATCAGGATGCACCTTCCCAATAGCCTTCATATACACAATTTTAACCTTTCCAGGCAGAATAAGGTCTCCCATTCCCACCTTCTTCCACCCGGCTCCTTCCCAGAGCACTTGATCTAGACTCTGCAAAAGCGCTCTGAGATTGTCAGACTTTCCAGACTTCCAAGTTGCGAGACGAGCATCCACGGCATCGGTCGCTGCGAACCTCGCATCTTCTTCCTGTGCGGCTGCGGCATTGGCAGCGCGAAGTGAAGCAACTGCAGCCGCTTCTCCAGGACCGGGAGTTCTTGTGGATGGTTTCGGCTTCGATGCTGGAGGTTTCGATGTTGGCGCAGGCTTGGGCTTGGGGGCACTAGCTTTCTCGCTTCGATCACGTCCTCTCGCGCTGATAGCTCCACCAACGCCAGCCTCAACGGCGAGTCGCCACGCCTGCGCAGCTTCCGACCATTTCTCCAGCGCTTCCAACCCCTCTGCTTTTCGCATTACAGCCTTACCCCAGAACTCTCTCAAAGGCTTCTCTTCTACCGTCTCGCCGACCCCGTTGCCCGGACCAATAACGCTCAAAGCTCTCTCGGCGTCAAGGACTGCAGCTTTAGGATCCCCAGTCTTGAGAGCCGTCAACGCCCGATTGCAAAGAATTACCACAGCAATGGGGTGTTGTTGAGGGATGCCCATAAGTGCAGAAGAGTATGACTCGTGAGCGGAAGCATAATCGCCGCGTTTGAAGGCTTCCGTGCCTGAGGCACGATGTGCTGCAGAAGTTTTGAGCGCGGTGGAAGAGACCTGCGGTATATCTCTTGGAGGAGCCTGGGATCGTGGAGACGGCGCGGGTCGGGATGCTTGTGCAGGGCGAGATGAAGAGGGGGCGGGTAGGGGTTTTGATGGTTGCTGTTGTTGTACTGGTGTCGCCGCATGAGCGGGACTAAAGAGATCAACTTCTACAGCGGGAGTTGGCGATGGTGTCGGCCGTTTCCTGCGGGCGGGACTGATGTATGCTTGCGCAGACTGTTCTTCGACCTCTTGCCGACTTAGCTTGGTTGCGGGTCGTTTGTCTTGCATCGGCGGCGGCTGTTGCATAAATCTAGGCTGGGCTTGTCTCTCTGCTTGCCGGCCGGGCAATTCGTGAATAGGAGGTGTAGCAGATCGTGAAGGCTTTGTGGGTCGATCCCGAGGCATATCCAACATGGCCGCTTCATCTGTGACATCGATTTCAGGCTGCCGCGACTTGACCTCCCGCCGTTGACTGGTAGATCTGCTAGAATCGCCGCTTGTCTCCTGCATCCACTTTGGCTGAGATGAAGCCTCGCCTCCTGAGCCACCTTGAAATWCTGCAACGGTCTTTGCGACTTGTTTTTGACTCGCTTTCCAGAAAGAATTGGCACCTTTGAAGAGCTTGCTCCCTAGCTCCTGCGCAACAGCTGCAGCATCCTTCTCTCCACTTGCGGGAGATCGACTGTCCTGACGTCTCGCTCCCGAAGCCGAACGATCGTTCTGTCGTGCCCATTGAGGTATCGCTTCGCCATTGTCACGACTTCGAGGTTCAGGGTCCCGGTGACGTTGCGTAGATTCCTCCTGCTTCGCCTTCTGCTTCGACTCCTCGTGTGCCTGCCGCAGAAGCCAGCCCACAGCATTCTGTACGTCTCCTCCGGATTCGGCCAAGGCAATCTTCGCATTATCGAGTGGAAAGCCCATGTCTACCAGCTCTGCTACTGCGCCATCTTCTGCAGTATTGACTGGCGTGGGTTCTCTTGGAGGTGGTCTCTCAATCCTTTCCCTTGTAACAGGCTTCGGCTCCACTGGCTTGGCCAGATCTCCCAGCACATCATCGTCTGTAGTAGAAAAACTCGGTGCGGGCCTTTGCCCAATTGCAACCTTTGGCAATGCTCCCAATCCAAAGGGATCGTCGTCGTCCAAAGCACCCGTCYCCATAGACCCATCCTGTATTGTAGGTGGTGGGAAATGGCTTGCTTTGTCCACTGGCGCATCCTTGTTGAAAGCTGCAAAAATATCCTCTTCTTCTTCCGTTTTGCTCTTCACCACATCTGGCGTACCGGTTCCACTCGCTCTCCCGCTAGCACTTCCACTTCCAAGCGAATCCCACATGTGCGACTGCTGGTCCTGCTGTCGTCGCTTCTCCTCCAGAAGTTGTCGTTGCCTTTCTTGGATTGACACATTGTTCGACGCTGCTTTGCCAGACTTCAGGCCGAGTAAAGCTCCGAATTGATCGTTCTTGGCTCCGCCATTACTGCTGACGGTGCTACCGGGTCTGCTGATGGGTTGCGGGGTTGATCGTCCGGATTGTGCAAGAGTCGGAATGGGAAGAGGTGTGTGCGTCTGACTGCGAGGGCCATTGAAGCTGGCTGTCAAGGAGGGAATTGTTGATGCTACTGGCTTGGATGGCTTTTGCCAGTCTTCGCCTAGGAGATCGTCCATCGTGATGGTTGTATGGGAGGGGAATCGGCAAGATGTTATCGGAAAGGTAGGAACATGGTCATCAGGCGTTGTCGTGTGATTGTGAGCGGACAAACTACTCGCGTGCTGGTCGACGTGGACGTGGGACGTTGCCGCGTGCATAATGCATAGCTGACTAATCACACTTGCATAAATTTCTCACGACCGTCTGGTCCTTTCAATTTCCTACATCCCAATTCTGTTTCATCATGTTGCGACCGCCACGCTGCATTAACAGCGCCTATCATAGAGTCATTTCAAGCATCCTGACCCTGGTGCGTTGGTAACGAATCAACTCTCGCAAGATCAGAGCGAAGGCGGATCTTTGGCAGTCAGGAATAACCTCCGATGCGAAGAGAAACTGTTCTCAATTGAAATTCACTGAAGACTATCGCCCTCTCATGATGGAATACAGCAACCTCATGACACCGAAAGGAGTGCTTTGACATTACCTTACCTACTCCCTGTTGCAGTGCCCAACGACTCACGGAATGGAGTGCTCCTTGTATGTCTGAAATGGGTTGAATCGCTTGGGAACGCTACTCGGCGGTAACGTCACTCGTCAAATACAAAGACCGGATGCTAACGCAGAACCAGAGTGTCAAAAGCACATTGCTTTCCAACGGTTCATCAGGAAGAGAGAAGAGCACAACGCATAGGCGAGAGGGAAGAATCAGCCACAGCAACCATCAGATCGTTGAGAGTATCAAGCTTGAGAAGGTCATTACTTCTGCTGAGCACTACTCTGCTTGGATGATGCAGCCGGAGACGGTACTTTCTCTTCCTCTCTTCCTCTTCTTCTTCTGCTTCTATCTCATCACCTTCAATCTCGTCTTATTATCTCCTCGCCTGATAACCTTTCGAGCCCTCCGTATCTGTCTGTCGTAGAAGAGGTGATCATGAATTTCATTCGTTCTCCTAACAGAGCTAACGCCAATTAAACATATTCTGCTCTCGGTTACGAAAGCTCACTAATCCTTTCACCCGACACGAGGTGAGCGAGGCTGCCACTCCTTGACATTTTCCGTCTCGTCAGCAACCGCATGCTCTTCAGCCGATCGTGAGCCTACCTTCAGCCACCTTGCATGGAAGTCGTCCAGCGTCGCGTTGCCGTCGAAAAGCCAGTCTTCTGAATAGTGAATGCCAGCCCAAAGGCCGGCGTCAATGAACACATGCAGGGTGATGTTCCTATCGCTGCTACAGATCCTGATATTACCCCAAGAGCCTTTCATTACTGCGGATGGGTTGAGCGGCAGCTTGACGGTGAAAAGGCTCTCCCGTGGTGTCCAGCTAATGTCATTGTCGCAGTCCAACRGGCTGATTTCTCCTGATTGCGAACAGGTGGAGATCTTCCTCGGAGCGAATGCCTTCTGCATKATAAGGAGTGGAGCGCATTCAGATTCGCGGGCCTGGGTTGGAAGGATGCGCATCATACGTCGAAGGTGAAATGAGTCGTTGATGGTGACCATGAAGCCATGATTCACACGCTGAAGCACAAATAGCGGCCACACGGGCGCATTTTGGAGTTTGTGAGAACATGAGATCGGTCCAGAGTAGCAGGCAGCCCAGTCGCTGTCATACATATCCCAGCCTGGGATAGAGCTAGGCGGAGGCTCCGATGTCGCCTTGTGTAACATTGCCACATAAATGAGCACTTGTTCAAGAATTTCTTGGACTCTGAGAGCTCTCTGTGCGGCAGATTGTGTCATGCTTGGACTGGTGGGTCTCTGTTAAGGCTTTGCAATATGAGACGAAGATAGCTTCGAGTGGAAAGAAGACAAGAGCATGTACTTGGGCGATGTAGAACTTATATACGGCTTTTTTTTTGCTCTCGAACTTCCACCGTAAAGGAATCGTGTCTTGTCCAATTGGGATTACCGCGACCAGAACTTTCATATTCCTTCCACAGCAAGTATATCGCTTTCATATTCCTTCCACAGCAAGTATAGCGCTATGGCACATCGCTATCAAGGTTCGTTCAACTGACGATTGCCCTATCTCGGTGATGTCTTCCACCTTAAGATTCGACRCATCAAAACCCTAGATGTCCTTGCTCCACTTCCGCTCCGCATCACCGTCCACCTTGAGAAACTTTCGCGACTCCTCATACATCYTTGGAACCTTTGTATCCTTTCCACGACCTTCTGCCTTCCATGGACCCATGTAATACTCACGAGCGGCGCGATGCTCCTCGATTGTTCTCTTCAGGACACGCCCGTAATCGTCGTAGAATCCCCCGAGCGTAGGGATTTCCAGAGCGAGATACATCCAAGACTCTTCATATGACATCCTAGTGTACTTGTCATCCTCGCCGGTGTCGAGGAAGTTGACCGTAAAAGCAATCGTGATCCGCTCGGTCTTTGGACTAACGACTTCGCAAGCTCGAACCATGCGCAGAGGATTTCTAGCCACCGGAGAGCTGAAGATGAGAAGATCGCGCCAACTGCCGTCGGCAAAGTCGCGGTTTGAGATGAAGGGCTCGCAGTAGCCGGACGGGAGTGGTATTGATCGGCTGATGTTGAGATTTCCAAGTTCGTATTCGCAGTGGTGGGCGACAATGCAATTTCCTGCTCTTGGGACTATCTTGGCGATGGGGATGCCCAGTTGGTCGATGAACCAGGCGAGGGGACTGCGCGGGTTGTGTGCACTGGTGTCGAGGAGCGTGAGAACTTCAGGAGGCTTGTAAGCTCTAAAAGTCTGTCGAGACTCGCCCCATGGCCCGTTTGCATAGCCTGCGGGTACCTTTGTCCAACGGTGCGCCGCTGTTGCTGTCGCAGGGCTTGAATCCCTTCGAGGTGTGCTGTCGAGGTCGAAACTGGCTTGACGTGATGAGGGCTCTTCTTGGAAGTAGTCGTTATTGATGACAGGCGCGCTGGATGCTGTTGGATCTGCTTCTGGAGAGCCGGGAGGTGTTGTGCTGGACTCGAATTGCGGCGGACCACTTGTGAGCTGTTCGCTGGAGCTTGGTAGCACTTCCACTGTGTGCGAAGATTTCCTCCATATCTTGAAGCGCGCCATGTTTGTGTAATCAGATGATGTGGTGGAGTTTGTGGGACTGACTGTCTGAAGTGCTGTGCTGCGAAAACACTCCACTCTCTAACCGGATGGAGRACGAGAAAGTGAATGAGGATTGCGTTACGCTGGATGACGCGCAGATTGAATGAGATTTGTATTACCTACTTGAAAGATGTATTTCTTTCTCATTGCGACTGCTGCAAGCTACTCCAGCCTGGCTGCATTTTGACACGCTTCTTTGCCACCATGATCTTCTCAGCGCCTGTTTCATGTTCTCGTATGCAGCATGCGAGGTGTAGAGCTGGCCTGCAAATGTTCGGCGTTTTGATTCTTGCTGACACTCGGTACTCATCAGCGCGGTGTGTGCAGAAAGGTGAGGTTTAGACAAAGGAGGATCTTTCCCCACCCAGCGGTCTTGGCACGCGTCTCTCATCGGAATCCGGACTTGTCCTCCATCTCCATCGCCACCCCCCTTCCACCCACATCATCAGCAATGTGCAACTTCCCTTTCGGCACCGATCATGCGCCCTAGAGCTCAGATGCTCGGCTCCAGAGTTCAGATCAGCGGAGTTGAGGCTGCAAAGAACCGTTGCAAGATTATGTCACCGACAAATACCGATGTCTATAATTGGGTGCTTCAGCACTCTCTTGAGTCAGCTCACCGGCACGTGCGCGGAGATGACCGGATCGTCTGGCCATCGTACCAACAACCAGCTTGCCGGTGTCCGGCAGGGCGGCACCTTCTCATGCTAGTCTGAAAGCGCTCACTGTACGGACCCGAAAGGGCTACATACCACAGCCCTGATATTAACTAGGGCTTTTTTTTCGATATCTCCTCCAACCAAGCCACGCCCCGGCTATGGCCGTGGGCTTAAGCCTGGGGCGTCGAAGGCTCGAAGCAGCATCGACACGGCACATAACGTCGATCGATATCAATCATGCGGTGTCTTCTTGGCTCGCTACCTCTTGGGTTGTTCGTCTCGGCACTTATCCGCTCATGTGATACAAATCAAGCGGTGCGTGCCTGGCGTCTGTCGATCACGATACGACAGCCGCGCAGGAGAACGAGATGCCTCATGCGCGGAAGAGACGACTGCAGGCTCGAAACATGCTTCCTGGTACCTATTGGTGAGCTGTGAGACCATGTCATYAATTCTCCGAGAGTCCTCTGGTGAATCATGAAACCGTGGCCTCTTCTCTGCGCATCTCACGCCAGTAGAACTCAGGCATGCTGGCCATTTGATCCCGTGAGTTCCAATGGCTGCGGGGGACTCGGCAGCCAAAGCACTATATCACACTTTGGCCGGCTTCCAAACTAATGACACGAGGGAAGCTTGGTGCACCCGCGGCTTGCTATTGGCACCTCTGCTGCCCAATGCAAGCATGGGGCCTGCCTGGTTGTGAAGAATAGAGCAAGCCTCTTCATAGCTCTTTTGGAACAACGGCTATTTGGAACAAAAGCTCTTTGGGGATAATCCAACATGGATCCGATGCTAGTCGCTGCGGGCTCAATTCATGCCTTAGGGCAAGGCACCGCCCGGAAAACCAACAGATGATTCCACAGCAAGTAACAAGCGCGTTAGAGCAACTGTATGTGAACAGCTGGTGCCCATCCCGAGCTCTTTCGCCATATCTGCAACATCACCCGGATTGGCCCAGCGAGYGATGTCGTTTGACACCAGTCATTTGTTTCATGGTTCACAGGTACTGCCTTTGCAAGCACAAATATGGCACGAGCATGGTTCGCGGCACGACTCATGGGGCTACCTGAAGTCACCAGATGGGTCGTCGGCATATCCACAACATCCTAGTATGTCATGTTATAACTCGGCCTCAACACAGTTCGAACATACTGCGGATCAAATCCTCAGCCAGAAGCTGTACCTGAGCCCGGTTAGCGACGATACAATCGACATACAAGCAAGGAAGCACAAGAAAGTGCGAGCAATGCAGGTATGGCCAAGCTCGTCCGACTTGCAGATTACTTMCCGCTGATATCAACCCTCGGCTTGTGAGCAGTGTCGGGTCAGAAAACAGAGGTGCGATGAGGGCTCGCCGTGCAAATTCTGCAAGGACGTCGGATTGGACTGCAAATATCGACCAGCGATGCACACCAGAGTAGATCAGACGTTCGAGGTCATGTTGACACGGGCGGCAGCTCACGCCGAAGCAATTCAGAGGCTAGTCGAACGGGTGGATTGTCTCGCTAGATCGACTGGACCATTCGAGTATCAAGGCAACACCGCTCCGCCACCCGATTTTTCTTGGCCGACCACCGAAGAAAGCTACCCGATCGTGGCACCACAGGACCTGACATCAGAGAGGGTGACTCCTCCGTCCACGGTCCCTTCCAGAGACACCGATGCAGCCTTGACCAATGCTCTTACTTGGTCAAAGGTTGGCAAGGTTTTTGCTGCGTGCGGAATCGAAATCGACGACGACTATCTGGTCACGGCGGAAGAGAGGCCCATTTTGCAACTCCGAGCTATGTGGGACCTGCAACCTGGTCAGCGCTATGAGGAGGGGCCGGCGATCTTGGAATGGATCAAGGGCATTCAAACGGGAGGATCAGACAGGTTGACGATCAAGTCTCTATATGCGGCCTTTTGTCAGAACGTTCTGCACCTGCAGCCATTCCTATCAAGCCAAAGGATCAAACGACTCCTCGAGACGTTTGTCAGCACATACGGGAGTGGAACGCACAGTCAAGGAGGCCCGAATCGGAGCGGAAATGATGTCGACCGCGTTGGAAGTCTCAAACGCAAACATGGCACATATGCTCATCCCGGGCATCGAGTTGACTGCGCCCCGAACAATGCAATCGTACTACTCATGCTTGCGCTGGGTGACACGGCACTGAAAGTGGACGCCGGGCTCGGCGCAGACACTATTGTGCATGCCGACACAGGACTTGGAGATTTTGGGAATACTCCTGGGCTACCGTACTATACGAAAGCGGTCGATCTGATGGCCGGCCACATGGATGGAGACGATCTTGTCCATGCTCAGATGTTCCTGCTTGCCGGTCTCTACAAGGCTCAGCTGTGTCGGATACGGGAAGCCTCGAGTTGGTACTTTATGGCCGGCAGGGTTCTGTTGCGTCTGCTCGATCGACACCTTCTCATAGCGAAGAAGTACAATGCCGACAATAAGCCATCATCAGGAGGCGGTAAATCGGCCTCTACCGCGACTCCATCCGTGTTGCCACCGCGCGAACGCCTGATCGTGCTCGCTGCCTGGGCTTGTCTGCGATTCGAAAGCGAAATCACTCCCAAGCTATGTCTTCCATTGAGTGGATTGGAACACATCAAACAACGACTCCCCGTTCCTGAACATCTTCTCGCAGAGAACATTACTACCGATAACAACACCTACTTGGGGAGTATGTCCGAACTTGCGGCGCTAGAGGCTGGTCGTCTTCAAAAGCTGAACTCCATGGCACGGGAGGATTTCCGCTCGGGCGATAACGTAAACTCTTCACCCGAGCGATTGCGCGTTATGATGAAGAGTCATATCGCAGCTTTGGGTGAATGGAGAATGTCTCTGCCAGAGAAGTTACGGTGGACCGACCAAGCTCCGCCTCCAAATTGCAACGTCACTGCCTCCTTTCGAAGAAGCTACTGGGAAGCCAAGGTTGCTCTTCTCAGGCCATATCTCTACTATGCATTACACGTGCTTCCGGACACACAGCACGCAGAGAACATATGTCTTCCAGCGGAGGTAGATCGAGATATCAAATTCGCACACGATGCACAGATTTTTGCCGCCGTTCACGCTTCGATGATGAAGTATGGAAAGAGCGAGATCCTGCGTATGTCAGCTCTCTGCATAGAAGCAGCGAAGCACAGTATTTTGGCATTCGATGGCATCAAAGGGAACCTGGTCCTGACCAATATCCCAAGTGTTGCCCATGGGTATGTCACCAGATGCTCTTGTACTTGCCGTTCGGTACACTAACGTGCAACAGACAGTTTATGAACGTGCTGCTATTGACGGCTGCACATCGTGACAACGGAGTTCGACGATTCATCTCAGCCTCCGAGCTCAAGCGTTTCATGGACAAGACAATCGAGTTCACGCAGCGGTTCGCATCGCTCTCACCGACTTGCGCAGCAGACTGCGCGTTATTGCTACGAATCAGGAAGACGTTGTTTGGTCAGCCTGAAGYATTCGCCGTTTGAGCTCCATCGCGAGATCGATAATACACCGTAAACAAGAGAGAGCCGCTCTGCTGGATACCAGATCTCTTGCACATATCCGCCGTACAAAGAGAGCAAGAGCAATGAACCAGCACCGAATTGCCGCATATTTCGTCGCCTCCATGCGCATAGACATCAATAATATAATCGCCCGCGGACCGAAATCGAGCGGTTTGAACTTTCGACCACCACTTCCCAGGTAGATGTCCACACCGCGAGAATGAGGACGGACCACGTTCTTAATAATGATGCACAAGCATGGCGATTTCTACAAGTCATAACATGTCATTGATGCCCAACGTTCCGCGACAGCGGACCCAATCTATGCCTACTATACATTGCTGCGCTAACCCACACGCTTGTGGAAWCCAATCTCGCACATCACTTCAAAAAGCTCGGAGCGAGCTTGTTGGACATCAACTTCTTCAAAAAGCCTTGGTTCTTCTTCTCCCTGTCTGCCTCCCAGATACCTTGGCTTGGGGCGGAGTCATATGCGGCGCTCTTCCTGCGTTCGCCCGTGGCGGAGGGTGCGGAAAGATTTGATGGGGTCGATGCACGACCAGGTGCTGCGGGTGGGTTGTTGGATGAAGCGTTCATAGTGGTGGTCGATGTGGGGACAGCTGAGCTTATGATTGAAAAGGTTGGAAAGCTTCCGTCTGGCCATTCTTAGTCATGTTTAATGTCGGGATGGGTGGGGTACCGACTCACGTCCTATGTAGATTATTGGTGTGACGGTAGACGAAGTACTCTGTGGATCACTCGCTCTTTCGAAATCGGTTGAGAATGTTTTTCTTGCTGATTGTTTGTTTTGACTGATGATGTGTATGAAGTTACACGTTTAGGCGAGCAGGATTCTGATATATGTACKTATTTGATTTGCCCTTGAAATCCATACTACCGATCTCGACACGCATCATGGATGCATCTTGGCTGGACTGCAGATTCAAAAGCACTTCGTACTCGTCTTGGCAGCATCATGTTTTGGGTTGACACTCTGCATCTTGTTGACTGACACCTCCCAAGTGCATGGCGTTCTCTTATTCTTTTGCGTCGTACGTCATGCCTATGGATGGTTGGAGAAAGATTTGGGCAAAGGCCAAGAGACGAGACCCTGCCGAGACATGCTCCGCCACGTGCGTGATGTTTGCTCCGCGGTCGCCACCGTCAATCGAACCTCATCATCCTCATGGTGGTGTTATTTGCATGATGATAAAGTCGCGCAGCACGTATGTCATCGCGATGCTTTTGGAGTTCGACGTCTTGATGTTGCGTCTCTTGGCTAAGCTGCAGGTGGCAAAGTAATGACTTTTCACAGACCCGTCCGATGGGAACTCAGGAGTACTGGAATGGCATGGATAGTCCATATCAGGCGGCCTCGTCGGATCGATCTTGCCCTTCCCGATGCACAACAGGTTTCGCAAGGACATGGTCCAATTGTGAGGCAGTGCTGAATGCGTGACACAGATGACTGTGAATGATGTCGTGGTCATCTGGAAACCGCCGGTCCGGAGTTGAAGATACCTATAGTTTCTCCTCGTGCCAGGAGCTTTCCCTACCCACACAGTCCATCCGAGTATCCTGAATTCCAGAGCAACATTGCGAATCAAGACTCGCAGAACAGCAACGACGGCGGCTCTTTTGAGGATCGGGATTTGGTTGCGGCGATCTCAGCTACTGCCCACCTGCTCGGTAAGATGGACAGGGCGCCGATGACGCAAATTGGTGTGGGAGCAGGAGGAACATTTCTGGATGTTGTCGAGGACGTTGCCAGAGATTGCCAGCGATCATGGTCGCAATCCGCCAAGCCAGGCTTAGTCTGCAACGGCCCGAACGGCTAGATCCGTACCTGCCGAGCGAGTCATGCGCCTGCTCGACTTCAGCACAAAGAACTGCATCACACCGTGTCCCAACGGATTGCTCACGCATGGCCTTCTGTTTCTGATAACACGACCAGCGACCCACGAGATCCGTCATGTCCTTTCTCCCTCCTTATCATGGAGGCTCAGTGTTGCGCCTATCGCGCCACAGGTCACGTAGGTTTGCGAGCGGCATGCACGTGCTCAATTATGCGACCGTTATGGTCGTATAGTCCTGGACGCCGATCCGGGCGCTACTCATCCCATCTCTCATCTGACTCTTCTTGTTCGTCTCATCCGAAAGTCGCCCAAAAGAAATATTGCGCTATTGGAGATTCGTGTCTTACGCCCGACTAAACAGCTACCTCATAGAGACAGTACACAGTCAGGATGTTCGGAGACTCCAATGAGCGGACGCCCCTGCTTCAGGAGCAGTTTCCAGGCCAGCTACCACCCTCTGGCACAGTACAAAACGAAGAGAACCTGGGCGATGCATACAGACAGTTCTGCTTCCTTGTCGGCAACAACCCCATGGACCAATCTTCAAGCAATAAAAACACGCCTCCACGTGAAACACTTTATTATCGGGCTCTGCAACAGCGCAAGCGACAATCATTGATATACGCACTCACGCGAGCTCTTACCAATACACTGTTGCTGGCTCAAGTAGTTCTAGGAGCCGCGTTGACTGGTCTTGGGGCTGCAGACTCTCCCGGTTGGCTTATCACTGTATTTGGCGCCGCAAACACTGTTATCGCAGGCTTGGTCGCGTTCTTGAAGTCGCGAGGGCAACCGATGCGTGCAAGGATGTTCAGAGATGACTTGGTAAGATGAGTGATGAAGCGCAACAGGTTGACCTCTCTAATCATGGCATCTAGGACCGAGTCGTAGACGAGATTGAGAATTCCGCCACAATGTGGAGAGGGATCTCACAAGGGGTGCATGGTTACGACGCAATAGACACAGATGATGCAGTTACTGTTAGGAGCGAAGTTGCTAGACTGACTAGACTTTACGACTCAGCGGTAAAGACGAACACCATGAACGACCCTGATCATTACGGATCTGGCATCTCTCTCGACAATGCGCAACGCGGCTTGAGAACCCGTACAAACCAACCGTTTCAACCCACCCAACCACAGCCACTTGTTCCAGATGTCACCACTCCTCCTGCTCCGATCGCTGTCTCGGGACCCTCAGTAGACTCTGATGAAAGCCCTGCTACTCATCTAGCAGTGTCGCCGAGCAAGGACGCCGAGGTACAGAAAGACGACACACCTAAAACAGCTCAGGACTCAAGCGGACCAGTTGATGGTAAATCCACTCCATCGGCATCTGTTCCCTCTACATCTGGTCCAGCCGAGCCACCAGTCRAAGCGACGGCGCCACCGCTGGTGAACAGCACGGATCCGGATGCCAGTCCGGCTACGGCAGCCGACGTTCCCAGGGCCAAGGAGAAGGACAAATTGAAAGATAGTAATACCACTACTGCTGTGGCATCAAAGATGGTCTAGGCTATTGTTGATGGCATTGTATGCTACGTATCTGATGAATTGGGTAGCGGTTTCGAGTGAATGTCTTATCCAAGATCGATTCACAAGATCGAACTTCTGCAACGCCCAAGGGCCGGTGAAATTGAAGGTTGCCGCCCTACTTGTAAACGCAAAAGTCTTATGTTTTCTGCAACAGTTCAGAAGACATTATTCAATAAGACATTCGATTATCCGTATTTGACTCTCCATAAGGCTGCGACTTTTTGTGCTTATAGCTACCTGTCGATTAGCGCTGTCGTCGACTCGCCGCAAGGAGAGGCGGCAGTCTTCGATTTCGGCGGCCCTTGGGCCATAACCTCAATGCTCCCCCACTCTGATTGTTCTCAACCGAGTGCGCGTATAACATCGTCGAAGGTTGTTCGTTCAGGATGAGACGATATGCTGTACTAGACATGCGACCTGTTTCTAACGCAGGGAGGAATCTTGCATATGGCAAATGATCCCGGAAGCGTCCGTGAGTTTTCACATTGAGCCAGCATATGGGATGAAGTGGGACATGGGGACGTTGTCAACATATCACAAAAGCGGACGAAGCAACAAGAGAACATTTTCATTCGAGGCTAATATTTACGCCGTTTCCTTCCCCGAGCCGCAATCCGTCCCTGCGCTCCCTACCAACTGCCTTGGGTACCAGCAGGCCGCTGATACGAAAGATGTATCTACTAAGATAGGCACATCATGCATTGACTCATCAAAAGTCAGCACAGTTCTTGAGGTGCTCACCGGGGTGAGTACATCATGCATTCGCTCGTTCAGAGCCAAGACATCTTCCGGTAACAGTCCTCTCGGAGCTGTCACATTCCCCGGGCAATTATATGGTGGTACCATATATTCATCAACCGGCAGGACCTGCACCGCCACGACCGAAACCGGCACGGCCTCCACCGTCACGACCGGAACCGCCACGACCGGAACCGCCACGACCGGAACCGCCGCGGCCTCGTTGCACATATCCACCACGCGGAGCTGTGTTGATTTCCATGATCCGCTTCACGACGGCGACCAAGCTTTCACTCCACGTGTTCCGGTCGATCTGAGAGTCCATATCAGAATATCGCATCAGCTTTAGCACGCGGAGAAGGCAATTCTGGAGGCTGTGGCCTCTGAGTGTGAAGCCTTCGGGGAAGGGGTCCCAGGCACTGGCAGAATTGCCCACAAGCGTCGGATGGAAGACAATATCGCCGCTGATGATGATGTCAATGTCGCCGGGTGTGATAATCGATAGGCCCTGACGTCCCAGAAGGATGGCCCATTCTTTCGACCACAGCGCCATGCTATGTTGATCATAGATTTTGGGCTTCTTTATGCGGGTAGCGCCGTGCAACTCGATCTGCCGTTGGTACTGCAGCAAGCGGAACCGGGCTTTGCCGACGTCACGGATCCATCGCATGTACATCTTCTTTTCTTGATTCTCGGGCATAGTGCCCATGCTCTGGAAGAATTGAACTTCGGACCTGCAGGTCCTGATCGCGACAGCCTGTGCAGTAGTCGTGTCCCGATGTCTCAGGAGCTCGTCAAAGTATCTGAGTAGCTCCTCGGTTCCCAAAGCCATGACGCCTTTGGCAAGTTCGAGTTTACTTTTTGATTTTTGAGGGGCGTGCGCGGCGTTGTGCGCGCAGGCACCAGTCCGTCGGCGCTCAAGGTATGTCGGGAAGTTCTCACAAATTGCGCGGGATACGTCGGCAAAGATCCATCCGCGCGCGCTCGCGACGCTACRATTTGCTGCTTGAGCGTGCGGAGCTTGTGTGTTGTCATTTGTTGTCAATGTGTCGTTGGCCGCTGGGGAGTCCCCAGTCGGCGTATTGCCCTTCGGCGGTTGGCTACTCCTGTCGTTGCTCTCAGACATTGTGGCGATGTCGTCGGAGTTTTGAGTATGAGTGGTGGGAAGAGAAGAAGAGGAGGAGCAAAATTCGAGGAACTTGCGAGTTGGAAAGTGCGAGGCGGACCATCCCGTAGCAAACAGATGAGAACTCGCCCAATAGGACCAACGAGGGAGCGGGACGCCGGGAGGGTTGAACTGAACGCGATGTGTTAAATGAGACGAGGTCACCTACGTGGAGATCTCGCAAAGGGTGAGTAGAATGGTGTGAAAGACAGCCAAGTCGTGAAATGGCTTCGACGGAACCACAAGGGTAGTCACGCAATGCAGATCTGTCGCCGTTACGATAAGGCTTTTCAATGTTGGTTTACTTGAATCGGTGCCTTTACAGATGGAACCGCATCATCTTGCTTCGGAACTAGCACCAGCCATAAGGTGGTGCTGTCCAGCTGTAGCTGTGTTACTGCGGACCGCTTCTCGGCCGCTTTACTAGAGTTCGCGGAGCTTTGCTTTGGTATGGCATCAGACTGAACATCTTGCTCCACCTTAACTTCTCCTATGATCTCCCGCAGCGAGGCGAGTTGTGAACCTGGGTCTTTAGATCCGCAGCTGGATACAGCAGACAGCATGTTCTGGACATTTACCTCGCAAAGTCTCGACAGCTCCACCGTATCCATCAAGACCGCATGCAGACCTCTTGAATGGAACCAGTCTCCATTCGCAGTCGTCACATAGACAGATGCTCGCTCCCTTGGCGTTTGTGGCTTCTTCGCGAGACTGCCGGCGGCCTGGAAAACGGTGCCGACAACGTGCCCAGCAGCTCCCACGGTGATCCCGATGGCACCGCTGACTACTCCGACTGGACTGAACCGTTTGACACTCTTTCCAATGTTTTTGAAACCTTCCTTGGCTCGAGAGACATACTGTTTGTGAAAGTCGCCGATGTGAGAAGCAATGTCAGCGGCATGATGAATTGCTTGCTGCGAGACTTTGGCGGAGAGAAAGGCGGAAAGAGTCCGCACGAACGATTTCCAACTCTCCATTGTGATGCCAAAACTTAAGAGCGCGGTCGGGTAGGCTAAGAGAAATGGTGCTGCTGCAGACGGCGTGGTTTGTGGGATTGCAAGAGGCCGCTGAATGATCTCTGTAACGGTATAGGATGGTAGTCCACGGGACGGAAATGTAAATGGATCTGCGACTGTCGGGCCTTGTTCTCGACTGCTGTCTTGGTCTGATGCTGGGGTGTTGTGCATTGGAAGAACAGTATTCTCTGATGGTCTTTGCTCGATTGAAGAGCTGGGGACTTCGTTATATGAAGGCAGCGGTTCGTCGTTCAATGTTCGCACGTCCGCATGGGACGAGGCAGCGTCGGAAAGATCATCCCGTATATCGCTTTGGTGTTTCCTCTCGTGCATCTCGGTTTATGGCAGGGCGCTTGTGGCTCAGAAACCTTCGAAACTTCTTATGATTATGGATGCAGGGTTAAGGCTTTGGGGAAATGAGTCCTTTTGTTCGTGTTGTTGGAAATGGAACAGCAAGAGTCCGCTTTTTTCGGCCCAAGTCAGTGGGAGAGAGCGAAAGGCATACAATCTGCGCCAAGAGAGGAGGCATCAGCTCCTACGATTTGAGGTGCACCATTTCGCAGTGCGAGCCAGGAATGGCCGAGACTCTTCCCGTGCAGGGCTGTGTTGAGGCGTGCCGTCGCCGAAGGATGCGCTATCCTTCGTTGTATCACACCAGTCGACCAGGCATCGGGTAAAAACATCGGGTAATTCCTTGTGCAACCACACTCGTATACGACGGTTTCTATACGAGTGCAGCCCATGTCTCCACGTAGCTTCCTATCCAGTGCCGCGTAAGAACTGTAGAGATGATGCTGCATTGTCGTGATGCCCACAATGATCTACGCGTGGATGCATAGTCATCGCGACTAATTTAAGTCAGCGGTCCACTTCCATCAATTTCCTTCCAGGAGAGCTGACGGGCATTTTTCACTCACTTGCAATCGGACTTGCATGTGACAGGAGCGCCACTGGCAGACTTCTGGTCGAGTGCAGTGCATATAAGCTCTCGCTGACATTCGGATTTGCGYTTTTCCACGAAATTTAAACCTTCACGGCAAGATGAATCCCTACGCTCTGGCAACCTCCACCCTTGCTGTGTACATCCTGTCACCATTCGCAGCTATTGCAGCTCTTCTGGCGCTCACCCGGATCTTGACGACCATCAATTACTGGCGCTCGCTAAGGGACTTCAAGGACAATGGCGGCAAGCAAGTCGTGCACTCCCCCCAGCTGCCATACACCATTCCTTTCATCGGGAATGCCTTTCAATTCATGGGCAACCAGCCCGGAGTGCCGTATCGACTCTTCCCACGGTCTACTGGAGTCTGCTCGGTGCTCATGGGGGGCATGAAGACGCACATTTTATACTCGCCCACTGTGATTCAGGCACTCTTCAGGTCTAAATCTGCCACTCGAGACGTGTTCGAGGTAGAGATGTTCTCGCATGTGCTCGCAATGCCCATGGAGCAGATCGAGCATGCGGAAGCTACCAAACAGAACGAGCTGGAGTTGAACAGCAAGTACCTGTTCAATTTCGAGCGTGTGAACGAGCTCACCAGCCACTTTATCACAATGCTAGAAAGCGCCCTGGACGAAGATGCCGAGCACGTTGTCAGCTTAGACAAGATCGGGCTATACGAATGGCTCCGTAAGAGAATGTTCACTGCGTCCTGCAACACACTCTTTGGCGAGAAGCTATTGGAGATGTACCCAGACTATTGCGAAGACTTCTTCGAATTCGACAGCGATCTTCTCAGCTTCTTCTTCCGTCTACCAGGAATCATAATGAGGGAAGCCAATACACGAAGAGCCAAAATCTTTGATAAACTGGAGAAATGGGGCGTCGAGATGTGGCGTCAAAGCGGAGGCTCTCCTATTGATCCGGACGGGCCCTCGTGGGAGCCTATCATGGGCAGTCGTCTAAACAGAGCTCGTCATCTCGACTATCGTGCTCGAGGCCTCAATATACGCTCCGCAGCAGCTCTCGATGCTGGCATTACCTTCGCACTGATGAGCAATGTCATTCCCGTCACAGGATGGATGCTCTTCAGTGTGTTGGATCCAAACGCAGCGCCGGATGTTCTTCCTCGAGTGCTTGCTGAAATCAACCGCGCCAAGCTCCCAGACGGATCTCTCGATGTTACTGCGTTGGTGTCTTCTCCCTTACTACAGAGTATCTTCATCGAAACACTTCGACTCAATTCTGATGTCCTCGTAACAAGAAATCTCACGGAAGACATCTTGCTCCCTCTTGACGAGGACGGCAAGCGACATGTGGCATTCCGGAAAGGCGACAATGTGTTTGCGCCAAGCTGGCTGGAACATCGAGACCCAGACGCGACCTGGGGTTCCAGCAAAGTTGCCCCCGATGTTTTCGATGCCGACAGATTCATAGTCAAAGACCCGAAAACAGGAGAGGAATCATTCAGCATGGCAAGAACTGCTGGCCGATTCTTCCCATTTGGCGGCGGCAAGACGATCTGTCCAGGCCGCAACTTCGCAAAGCAAGAGGCCATTGGAGGGCTTGCAACCGTACTCCTGAGATTCGAGTTTGAGGTGAAATACAATGTCGACGCAGAGAAGAAACCCACGAAAGACTTCCCAGCGTTCAAGCGAGCTTTCCCGGGGACCGGAGCACTTGCCCCAGGTGGCGACATGGTAGTCAAGATCTCGAGGAGGACGTAATGCGGCAGGCCATTTCTTTGTCATAGCATACGATGTCCGCTCTGGTCATTCTCAATATGACCAAATGCACGCTGTGCTCCACTACGTTGGTAAAACACCTTCAACCATTTTGTGTGATCAGTCTTGTTGGCTGTGGGACGTCTAACGATGCGCCTCTACTGCGTGACCTGGCAATGGGCATGATCGTATGAACAAAAGCGACAGATTCTGCGTTCAACAGATCTCAAAGTGTACGTGCTGGAGAGTTTTGAAGGATTCGTCGATCATTGTGAGAGTTTATACTATTCCCATTCCTTCACTAGATCCTCGCTAGCCAACGGGACCGAAGGCCCCGAGACGCCCAGTCTGTGCCGACATCCGTCACACCCTCACAAACAACAACCTGCCAAAGCAGCAAACGAGATCAAAGTAACAGCAGAAGACAAGCGGCCGTCAAATTGAAGCTCTACCACCACAGAATCTCAATCGTAAAGTCGCAAGCATGTACGGGCTACCTATGGACCCGTTTCCGCCGTACATGCAGAAGGATCCGATGGATTTCTCTGCATCAAACGAGGCTTATCGTGGCGGACACAACACCACTGGCCCGTTTCAAGAGCCACTGCCACAACACCCGCCCATGTCTGTGGATTCCAGTCCATACGCAGACTCCAGTCTCACAAGTGGCAGCTCGCCAATCTTCACGGACGATGGATCAAATGAACACCTTATCATCGCCCACCTAGAGAATATAGTTCGCGATATGATCCATTCCGTCAACATTCGCAACTTCGAAGATCAAGCCCACCCGTGGAGCACACATATGGCGATTAACGCGAGGGTGGTTCCTGGAAACCTCCTCTCAGCCGTGGAGAYGGATCGCAAAGGCTATCTTGCATGGCTGAATAACATCACGGCTGCCCGTCCGCACTTCTTCCAAACCATCACGGAACTCATGACGACTGTGAAGAATGAAAAGTCAGCGGAGGTCATTGCGTCGAAAGACACTCATGGAAGCCCGCCTGGGCTGGTGAAGCCGAGCATTGTTATGATGGAGTTTAAGCTGTTTGACCAGCAGACCTGGATGTGCACTTCCATACGATCCGTCCATGGGATTGAGTCGATGCCTGGTTCATGAATGGAGGCTTTCTCCGGTACTGGCGATCATTGTTCGAATGGGGCCGCTGCGGGCGGTTTTGTGAGCTGCCTTGTCTGAACCATGCTTCAATAGTCTCAGCCGCATATCCGCGCAGTGTCTCGCTTTATGAAGCCATGTCACGCTGGGTTGTTCTTCGTATATCCAAGTATAAGGCTCACACGTTGTCGACAGGACGGCTTTAGGAGATGTCGGAGACTAGGGACATCGACTTCTAGGCTGGCGGTCATGGGTGATAACTCAGGAGCCCTGAGATCAATCTGGCTTGAGGCATGAGAGATCAGCCGGGCAGTTAGAGGAGGCCATGCAAGATATCTCAGAAGTGGTATTGCCGGAAGATAATCGAAACAGGCGACGGTCCTGGAAAATCTATGGCGGAAGAGAGCCTGTTCGAAGTTGGGACCTAGTTGTGACCTACTCATTCGGTTTCGATTTCAACATGGCAAAGCTCGATCGAATGAGGCACATGAGGCACATGTCAAGAAAGTCTTCCTAGCATGTGAACGAACGCTAGCGCGCTTCGCTGAGCTTTCGATTTCACACTCCTCGCTGAACATCCTCGTCGAACTACACCACCAATCATCCTCATCGAACACCCACGCAGACTTTCGGTCTTGTCCACGGCAACAGAGCAGCATTGCTCTTCAATCTCATCTCAATGGACGATTTCAACGCCACTGTCAAGTACGTTGTGCTGCTCATGCGTCACCTCAAACATATGCTGACGAAACTGCAGAGCTGCTCTGGGTGACGAGCTGGTTACGATCACGTTGGAAGATGCGACGGAGACTTACACCGTCTCTAAAGCTCTCCTTTGTGATGCATCGGACTACTTCAAGAAAGCTTTGAACGGTAACTTTCAAGAGGCCGGCACCCGCACACTCTGTCTCCCTGGCTGMGACGATCAGACATTCCGGTACTTCATGTTCTACCTTGTCAAGAAGACACTTCCTAGCTGCGAAGCCTTGAGAAACCAGAACGATGACGGCGGAGTGTCGATGGCCCGACTCTGGATTTTCGGGGACTATTTGACGCCAAAACTCCTCCAGCTCCAAGACCTGGCCATGATGCGAATTCTTGAAATAATGGGGGGAACTGTAGAGGTGGATCTGGTTGAGATGGTACTCGCGAATGCACCAGAAGAGTGCGTCTTACGCACTGCTGTTCTCCAAGAGCTCGTGTACGACATAAATTCAGTTCGGAATCTCTACGACGTGGACGACATGGACCGACTAGGAGCTATCCCTGGCTTCTTTTACGCCTTCAGATGTCTTGCTTCGTCGCAGCGCTCTCATCGAGTGAACAAGGGTAAGGACTTTGTTGCCCCCTCGAACCGTTCGGACGTCAGTGAGTACATGGTGAGCAAGTCAGCCGGGGACGAATGACATAGGCGCTTGGACGCGATACCGAGTACAGTTGAAATGATGTACACGGAGCGGACGAAGCAGAGTCGCAGCGACTCGCTACCTTTGCAATCACATACGTTGGTGGCATTTAATGCCACCCGCATGTCGCTCTCAGAAACCATACGTATCGAATCAACTGCATGCATTCGGTCCCACCCGGTTATTCAAAGTCTTCCACGAGCGGTTGGTGACGTAAAAGTGGGTCTCGAGTGAATGGACAACACAATTCTCTCGTGCCAATCTTGAACTTCAGTCTACTGCATCGCGATTTCATCTACTACCTCTCATGAATCGAGCGCGCGAGGGCGACTTCATCACCTACCACTACACAAGATGGATCGTCTCACTGATGTCGTCGAGTGAGCATCTATCATCATGACTACTTCAATCCTACTATCCGCTGACCGTGTCTACAGAACTTTCGGACACGACGAGATAATCAGCATCATCCTCAATGAAGGCGGTCACACATTCGCTGTATCGAAAGCTCTACTCTGCGACTCATCCGACTATTTCAAGAAGGCACTGGAAGGCAGTTTCAAGGAAGGTAGCACGCACGAACTGAGAGTACCGGGTTGTGAAAAGCAAACATTCCAGCTTTTCTTGTTCTATCTCGCCAAGAAGACGCTTCCCCATTCTCAACTCCACGGACGTTATCCAATGGATTGGGACGAAGAGTACGAGCACGGAGTGGCCTTTGCGCGGCTGTGGGTCTTTGCCGATTACTTGATTATCCCCGCACTCCAAAACGCGGCCATGGACGGCGTCCTACACTTCCTCAGCGGTGTAGTCGAACCCAGCTTGATTGAGTTTGCATATCTCCACTCTGCTGAAGATTCTCTGCTGCGCCGAATTGTTGTGGCAGAAGCCGTCGCCGATTACATTTCGGATTTCGACAGTGGTCTCGGTGATGAGTCTGCAGACTTCGAGCGATTGGCAGGATTTCATGTATACTTTGCAGATTTTGCGTGCGAGATGATGTCTCAATTGCGAGATCATCAACTTGCTCCCTCAAGCAGAACAAAAGATCGCATGTACATGATTACTGAGGAGGGAGATGAGGAGGGAGATGAGGAGGGAGATGTGCTCTAAGATGTGTGGTGTGCACACACGGGCTGTCCTCTACCTCATACTATTGCGGCGGACAGAAATGACGAAAATCATGGAAGCTTTARAATATGCGCGGACCGAGATTATACGGACCATGGACATCTCAACGTCTGCGCGGGAAGGCCTGCTGGGACCGACTGATGTCAAAATGCGCGGGGAAGGGTGTTCTCGAGCCTCGTGGGCGAATTCCGAAGTGAATGAAAGTTTCTGATTAGCACGATCTTGGCGTTCTCATCTTCATCGTGTTCATGTTCTCACATTAAGAAAGCTCATATGATTATCCGAGGGTGAGTGGCTATTAGTGGAATAGATCACTCTGCTAGCGAGGAGGTCTTTGTGGACTCAAGATGGGGCTGCCGGATGGGGAGAGCCATATTTCGATGGTGAATTCCGGATATTTCCGGGGCCTCTAGCATTTTCTCGTGGAGTAACTTAAGACGGAATAAAATCCTTCAGTTCGACCCGGCCGAGTCGAACAACTTTCAGCATTGCAACATAGGTAGAGCCGGCGGGGTCATGGGTCAGCCCAGTTCACTAAGCGCCATGGAGGGCATGACTGCCGCCACAGAGTATGCGCGGCCTATGATGTGCACCCATACCGTTCGCTAATACTTTGCTCATAGGGCATACATCCATGATGAGACCATCACGATCACCCTCGACGACTGTCCCAAAACCTTCATGGTTTCTAAAGCTTTGCTTTGCAGTACATCCACTTATTTCACCAAGGCTCTCGATGGGGGCTTCGCAGAAGCAAAGACTCGGACACTGAAGCTACCAGGCTGCGATCCGGCCACCTTCGAGTTGTTCATCTACTTCTTCACCACCAAAAGATTTCCGGACTTTGTGGGACCTAACCAGGGCAAGGACCTTGATAATGCATCGGTAGCGGCAATTCAAGCCCGCCTCGTACGCGCATGGGTATTCGGAGATTACATGAGAATGMCGCTTTTCCAGAATCAAGCCATGAATTGTCTGCTCGACTTTCTTGGTGTCTCCAGGATCCATGTCGCAACCGTGGAGATGGTCTTTGAAAATGCGCCAACGGATTCGGTCTTGCGACAAGTTGCGGTCTCAGAATGTGTGTGGCGGAGGGCTTTTCACACAGGCTTTTCCAGCTCTTCAATGAGGAGGCTGGCCAAGTTGTTGGACTTTCTGTACGAGTTCGCGGATGCTATGGAGGACCAGTATAAGCTGGAGTTGGACTGGGACCAGTATCCTCACAGTCAAGAAGACCGTAGCGAGTACATGGTGGCGCAAGAAGGCTCCGCGGGGAAATCGTAAAATGCTCTTGAGGATGCGATGAATGTTGAAACGTGAGCTACATGAGGAGCAGGCAAGGTCAGGTTCTGGTCCGCAACATGGAGTGAACCGGACAGATCGCAATGTGAAAATGAATTCAAGACCTTCATACCAGCTCGCCGCGCGATCGTGTTGTCCAGATTGCCTAAATTCGTTGTGATGAGGTTATCGTATGCCGCGTAGTTTTCACCACGGCTGGATCGTCCGCAATGTCCTTGATTGCGCTCCAACGCCATCCAGCCGCTGTTGAATGACACCATGGATAGCCTCCTCCACTTCTGCCACATTCCCACCGGCGTCGACAACCACAATGTCTTCGCCTTCATCCTGATGCGTCCTCATTTCCTTGAACAGTTCTCTCACTCGATCTTGCATTTCCTGCTTCTCATATCTTTCTGTTCCAAATCCACCCCGATTCGCTGCACCCTCAGCTGAAATGTCCAGGAAAATACAGAGATCTGGTCTCGGCAGACCAATCTCAGGATGTCGACACCATGCCAGATCCATGGTTGGATTTTGCTTAGCAGCCGAGTAAACGCACCCAGAATAGTAATATCTGTCCACCACGACTGTGGTGCCAGCCTCGATATGTTTTCTGATAGACTCTGCAGCCTCCCAGCGGTTCGCTGAGAACAGCAGGTGAATAGCGTGATCTTCCTGTTGAGTAGCTCCACTGAGATAGCCATTGATCATCTGTCCAATAACTGTATTTCTATCGGGAAAGCGCTGATGAAAAACATCTTTGCCTTGAGAGCGAAGATGCTCGACAAGTCTGGTACACTGCGTACTCTTCCCAGATCGATCGAGGCCTTCAAAGACGATCAGATGGCCGCGTTGAGCCATTTCCAAGATGAWTGATGTTTTCTGACACGAGATGAAGTGGACGCGTGGGATATTTTTAGCGCGACTTGCAGAAAAGTCAATGCGCTGAACAAAGAAAGTGAAGTCATTACGACCTCACCACCATCGCTCTCCTTACAGACGAGTCCAACGATGAACGGCAGCGCGAATGGCAGGCTCGAGCAACTGCCCGAAGAAATGTTCAGCATCATCAAAGCCTCCTCACAGGGACTAGGACCTCGATTGGGTAGGCTTGCACTTCCCGGGCGACAGCTGATCGATACACCGCATTACTTGGCCAATACGTCGCGCGGAGTCGTACCGCATATTACACAAGATACGTTCCGTCGGGACACACACATCAGCGGTGCTTACTATGCTCTGGAGGACTGTAAGCATCCTCTTCCTTTCCCTGCCCTTGCCCGGCGTAGGCTGACAGGCCGGCTCACAGCGGACATATAGTCATAGAACGAGCGCCTCTTGAGGGTCCTCCTCTCTACCAATACTGCCCTCCGAACGGTGGATCTCCGATCCGAAAGTTCACTGCCTTGCCGGACGATACATTGCTGGTCCTCGGAGCGCGGAGGACAGATCCAATCATCGCGCCGGCCGCGAACTCCAACACAGATCACGCCGTGTCAATATGTACCTCCGTGGGATTCCAGCAGCTGAAAGACCGTGACTATGCGGAAGCAGTTGAACGATTGAAGGTGGACATTGTGGTCGGACTTGGGGACATTCCTTATGGTCGCGAGTTGGGCAAGAAGAGGGTTGAAAAGGCGGAGGATAGGACAATGCAATGGCTGGAGAACCATGTTGCAGCCCGAAAGTCTTCTGATACTGGCAAAGCCCGGCTCGTTGCGTCACTTCTGCCATTGCCATGTGCCAGACAGGTTTCCTTGATTGACCTTGTGGCAGAGGAGCTGGATGATGAAATCTCGGGACTTGCCATCTACCACTTGGATACTCTGGACGATCTACCAAACAACCTGGCACATCTACCCCGTCTGGACTTCTCCGTGCCGCGAACTCCAAGTRAGGTCCTCCAGCATATCCGTCGTGGGATCGACATTTTGACGATTCCTTTCATTGGAGCCGTCACAGATGCTGGGATTGCGATGGACTTTACTTTCCCTGCAACCAAAAAGCTATCGAACGGGCATACGTACACCGATCCAATGTCTCTCGGCGTCGATATGTGGGATGCGACACATGCTGTGGACCTCTCTCCTCTTAGTAAGGAATGCCAGTGCTACGCGTGTACCAATCATCACAGGGCATATCTCCAGCATTTGCTCGCTGCAAAGGAGATGCTCGGATGGGTTCTACTGCAGATCCACAACCACCATGTCATGGACCATTTCTTCAAAGGAATTCGAGCAAGCATATCTCGGGATACATTTGATGAAGATGTGCTACTGTTTGAGAGGACGTATGAGAGTCATCTACCGGAGAAGACTGGTCAGGGACCGAGGTTTGTGCCGCACGTGCAATACACACTAGACAGCACTGATCATATCATAGGTTGCGTGGCTATCAATTCAAGTCCGAAGGACCCGGAGAGCCGAAGCGGAACCAAGCTGCATTCTCGATGCTCAACGACCAGAAAGAGAAGCTTGCTGAGGCCAATCCTCCCAATGGCAATACCAATGCGCATGAGTTGCAGGCCCAAGGCTTTGCTCAAAAGGCCTGATCCAAGCATGCCACCTATCAACGCATCCTAGCTGCCGTCCAAATAGATCTTTCGTTATGATGGTGATCCCGAATCACCCCTGCTGCTGCCAGAAGTTCGCAGCGCCCTCAAGATCATCAACATTGATCAGGTCCGCGCCTGCGTTCCAAAGCAGTCTCCAAACCGCGTTCCGAGTTCCGACAGGCCAAAGGGGCTATCAGACGTTAGCAAGCATCCAAAAACCACGGGACTTCGCCAAACTCACCTGGTCCCAATATCGGACCTTGATGTTCTTGCGATGCGCCATCTCAATCTGCGCTTTCAACAACTTCGTCTGCGCCGCGGTAAGAGTGCCGTTCTTCGCCATTCCAAACTGCGACGTGAACGAAGTGCTCGCGATGGGTGACACATCCGAAGTGATGTTCGACTGCGCGGTGTTGAGGACTGGCAACGAAGCATCGTAGAAGAAATCCCTCGGCGATACTTCTTGAACTTGGCTTAGCGGCGTATTCCCCGTCCCGATTACCGTCACAGGACCTGCTGTAACACCCGTGCCGTTGAATGTCGAAAGATATCCTGACGAACGTAGAGGCTGCAGTGCTTTGACAACCGCAGGCCAGGTGCTTGGACCATCCGTCTTGACGTCAATGAAAAGGTAGAGTGTCTGCCCATTGTTGGTATCGAAGACTCCGTTCTTCGTAGTCCCATGCACGAAACTTGAATTCGAAGGATTCTGGGCCTGAAGCACACTGAGGATGGGTTGAATGTACAGGCTGTCCAATGTCCTCTCATTCGTAAGAGCGCTCTCTTCGTGTCCAACATGCAGAGTGCCATCGTAAAGCCAGACATCTGCTTCAACGCTTATGGCTCCTGCTGCGAGGGCGGAGTAGAAAGGTATGGGTCGCCAGTAATCGTTGTGGGAGTGCATCGCTTTGGGAATAATTCCTTGCGTTAGGGATGTTGGGTAGGTATACAGAGGTCCTTGGTGAGCATGGGATAGGATCTCTTGCAGTGATGAGGAAAGTGGAATGTCGGATTGGGAGTTTGCCATTGTGGCAAAGGTTAGAATTGAGCCTGTGAGTAGAGTGCTGGGAGACAACATGATGGGCAAAATCCTACGTTTGCAAGTATATCGCTTCTACGAAAGGGAAGCGCAGGTCGCGTTGCTCTTGTACTATATCTTTTATTGAGCTCGCCGACCTGCAGGCGCGATGACGGAAGCGAGATGTGGAAGGAGCTCGTCCAATGGCAACGCAACATGCCGAGCACGTTTTTGGAAAAGATTGGCGTTGCTGCACCTGCGTCAAACCAAGCGCCAGAACTATGCAAAGCCTAGAAAGTAGTGTTCAGTGGTGTAGGAATAGCGTGCTGTTTAATCTCGCGTACAGCTAGCATAATGGCACCTGATTCAACTCCGCCAACGCCTTCGCTAGAACAACAGGAACGGAAGCAGATGGCTCTAGATTTCTATGTTTCGTGCCGGTTGACCAATTCATACTCTCTCCGCGTACTCCTTCTGGCCCAGAAAGGTATACGATTTCGGATCGATTGCGATTTCCAATGTGGAACATCGCTCGGGGCTTTGAGGAAATATCTGTGGTAGCTGTACCAGCCCAGAAATAAGAGGGTGAATCCGAGAGCGAAACCGAATACGGTCATAAAGATCCAATGTCGAGACATCTGTGAGATTTGTTAGCACTGGCGTCGTAATTGAAGTCAGAGTCCATACCCAGAAGATCAACTGCACATCGTAGCCGTGCCAGCTGTTACCCTTGTGGTGTGTGAAGAAACTCCATTCCTTCCCCTGATACATGTCCGGAAACAGGATTCTGATCCTGCCACCATCTGCATCGTCTCCCACATTGAAGCCCTCGTCGCCGTAATGTCTCCAGATGACACTCAGGAATAGAGGTCCCGTACTGGCCATGACTGTGATATAAGGCAGCACCCAGCTGCGATCGAAACTCTTGAGCTCTTCCATTACCAGCTTGAAAAATGGGTGATGTGGTACTGCCCCCATCACATCATTGCTTATCCCTGTAGGCACTGTCTTTCTCACAAAGGCTGGATATTGCAGAAGCGGCTCCAGCGGCCTTTGACACCCATCGTCCAAATCGAGGTACACCCCTCCATAATGGTCCAACACGAAGTATCGGATCGCGTCCGCTCGCTCAATGGGATAGCGGTAGTTCTTGAATGTCTCCAGAAACTCGGGGTAGTTCTCCGCGATGAAGTCCAACGACATTGCGTCTGTCCATAACTTGTACTCCCACTCGGGCTCGGGGTGCAGCTTCAGACAGCTGGCCTGCGCTTCCTGCCACACGAGAGGAATGCTCGTATTGATATATGTCTGGTGGAGGATCTTGGGAATCATGTGCTTCGAAGGCACATCATCGCTCAGTTCWGATCCCACTGGTGGGACGTCTTCTTTGAGAATCGCGTCGCCGATGCCGTTGATTACGAGCAGTTCCAGGAGAGTCCAGACTTGATGCACCGCGAAGCCGAGCACAATCACGGTGCACACGATGAAGACAAGGACTCCTCGCCGCATGCTGGGCGGGAAATATCTGAATGGAAGAGTGAAAGACCGCTGGAGGCAGCCCTGGAGCATTCCTGAGAACGTGAGACCCTCGGACGGCTCAGGGTCTTCGCGTCGGCGCGGAGGTTTGGTGACCCCGACCCCCATGTCTTCCCGACAACCTCCCTAAGTACCTGAGGTTCGATTCCCGGGCTTCAACCTCACCTCCCGATTCGCGTTCCAAAGTAACGTTACCTCACATTCTTTTCTTCCATATCGACAAACGCGATGTTCGAGTGGATTATTGTGTTTCCCCACGTTCTCTACTGATTCTGACCCACACCGTATCAAAGGAAACCACATCACGGATTCATATTGTTCTTCTGCACTGATTTCTGCGCACAGCAAGACTTCAAGATTGTGACTATGTGTGGTTTMATGACCGGAACGCTGGAATGCTCTCGCGATAGCACACTCTCTCGAAAGAATGCTCTCTCAACGCTATGAGAAGACGGAGCATATCGTCCAGTGTGGGCGCACGCTTCACTAAGCGGAGCAAGATCTGTTGTGATCTTCACCATTCTCGTAACAACCCAGCWGACGTCCCGTCCCCCATTTCCGTAGAACTCATTCCGAACACGCCCTTCCTCTTGCGGTCCATTCCTCAAAATCCGCCGCCATTTGCAAGTTTGGATCATTCGAGCTGAGTGCAATATGCCCAGGCAGAGTTTTAGGATTGTCCACATTCCGACAGCTCAGAACACATTGGAAGACATCCCCATCTTTCCAGTCTTAGGGCGTGTCAGTTTACATCGGAAATTCTTTGTTGTTTCTTGGGGTCATCTCCAATGTCTCGTAGCCCATGGGACGCATTGCGCCTTGAAAGCCTTCATACGCAGCATCGATGCCTATATCATGTTGAAACAACTCGCCTGCCTCGTCGTTAATGCAGGCGATCGTCTTCTCTTGGCCATGAAATGACCGACAAGTGTACCAAAGGAAGGGCAGATCGAGCCTATGTTACGAGTGCAGGTTCCCGCACGAGAAGGCGATGTTGATTTGAACCGTGCTAATACTTGAAGGCCGACCGCACCCCTCTGGGTCCATGTGTTGCTGGTCGCATGTGAGAGATTACTCAATCCGAACAGAGCGGAGCAGATGTCTTCATCAGCGTGGAAACTATGACGAAAGCGAAAACTGCAACATAAAAGGGAAAATCGATAGACGGTAAGCTGCGAGCCACGCCGGGCAGACAAGACTGTACAGGATAACCGCTCTACTCCAACCAAAATTTCAAAGCCGGCCCTCCCAGGGGGCTGCTGCACAGCATGGGGAATTTCTTCAACCAAGCACTTAAACTCGTCAATTGCGACTCGCGAACTATGCAAGCTGTTGCTTTCCTTCTCGCTGAAACTGTGGAGTCCTACGCATCGACCAGCGGCTCGACCATTCTTCTCGTCGACGTTCAAGCGGTGGCGTTCAGCATCCCATCTCGACGGAGCCGATGTAGCTGACGTTGTGCCTGACCAGACATGGAAGTGCTGGGTTTGAGCGAAAGTCTTGGTGAGTGAGACAATATCCAAAAGGAACAGCATGGCACACAACTCTTGTGTGATCCACGGTAGCACAACTGTTGTCGTCGGCGGCCGAAAGGAGTTTTGGGGTCCAGATTGAAGCATATGGGTGTGGCGAGCAGCGCGAACATGGGAGCATGCGGTGTATGATGCTTGAGCGCGGACGCGCAGATGTGCGAATAAAGTGTCTTGAATGCATTTCGTCGCGTGCAACAAACCCGCTCGTCGATTTAATGGCTGTGGCGAGACATGTTTAGTGGCTCATTCAGGAGTTTGCCTTGGGTTCATGTCGAGATTGGTCAAGTAGTTCAATGTGTTCGTACAATCGGCAAAATGTCGGCTAGATGGTACAGATGTTTGTTCTACAGCGCACCTCTCAATCGTCTCCCAACAACACGCACAACGAAAACTACAGCTTCTCATCGATATGAGCTGTTCACGTTGTAAATGTCGAGGCCGAGCTTGTGATAAACCTGATAACAATGACAACACTCCATGCACAAGCTGCATGGAGGCATACGCGACTGGAGGACCCGTCCATTGCCAACGCGACATAGAGGACATCCGTGCCAACAACGGCCGTCCGCACCCCGACCCATTCAGTGATCGAGCAGGAAGTCACGGTACGTTTGACAGTGGTCAAGACGCCAGCGAAAATATCCAGCCCGACTCGCTGCGGGCTCACGGATCCGAAGGACGCCGCGGCGGTGCCCACGGTGCTCCCGGGAGAGGAACGAATGCCAGTCAGGGTGTACAGCCTGGCCTATCTGGAGGTCCTCGGCGTGGAGGACGTGGTGTTGGCGGCGCGCACCGTACATCCGCTAGGAATGTTAGAAATGGCAGTGATACCTCGTCCACCGCAACTCGAGCAGCTGCACTCCAAGGGTGCCTCCTCCAACTACACATGGATGCGGCCGACGACGCTGAAGGCCGCTCACAGTTCTACGCGGATGCAGCCCGATCCCATCGGGAGTTCGCTCGGTCTTACAGCAGTGCACATTCGAATGACGATGGCAACAGATTCTCACAGAAGCACAGTGGCGAGGACGTGCGCTCTGTCGGCTCTATGCAGGCCCCATCTGGTCTTCAACGACCCATAATTCGACAAGATGCACCGATTAGAGGACGTGGCAGAGAAGAATTTGGCGGACATGGACCACCACCTGGTCTTCAACGACCCGTCATTCGACAAGATGCACCGGTCAGAGGTCGTGGGTGGGGCGGAAGAGTTGGCGGGCATGGGCCACTACCTGGTTTCATACCACCCGCCATCCCATGTAGTGCACCGATCAGAGGAGGTGGATCCAGCAGAGGAGGAATTGGCGCACATCTACCACCACCTGGTCTTCAACG